GCCCACGCCGATGGGCCCGAAGAAGCCCACAAACCCCGCTTGGTAGAGGTGTTCGATCTGTTGAATATACTTGTGCATGGCGAACACAATCGGCATGCGTCGGACGAGCAGAATCAGAATTCCCAGAAAGATCAACCGATAAATCGGAATGACACTGTTGTTGAGAAACGACGACCAGGGGCAGACGGCGCCAAACCACATGAAGACCGCCAAGTTAAGAAGCATATCAATAGTGGGCTGCAGCGAGTCGTCCATGGTCTCGAGTCGAAACCAGTCGCTAATCTGTCAGTACCAGCTGAATCGCCAGGAAAACGGTCTCTTACTCTTGCGTGAACACATTGCCAGCCACAAAGCAGGCAAGCAAATCATCGGTCCCAATCAATCCACAAGTACCGACAATGAACAACTGCAACCGAAATCAGCAAATGCACGCAGTCCGGCTGACGCTCGAACCTACCGAAAGAGCGATAGCGAAAACGAGAAAACTCTCTCGATCCACGTAGTGATGCTCCTCTGCCCAATGAAGCAGCTCGCGCGAGATCCAACCGACCGTGATGCCATAGACCACACTCAAGAGCACGGTGTACGCCCAGGTTTCATAGAACCATAGCCCTATGGCCTTCCCCGCACCACCACTGTAGGCATCACCTCCCATCTCGACATACTTGAGCAGATACAGGCCGAAATACAGAAATGGATACCCCAGACCGTCATTAGCCCCAGACTCCGCGACGATAATGCGCTGCAGCGGACGGGGCACATGCTTATCGGCGAATTTCCCTTTCACGATCGAGTTGGACAGCACCGGGTCTGTCGGGGTGATACAGGCGGCCACGATGAGTGCATGCAAGAACGGGAAATCCGGAACCATGGCCCAGATAACTAGACTGCTGCACATCCACATGGCCGCCATGCCCGGTCCCAGAAGCAGAGATAGACTCTTCCATTCCAGCTGCAGGTACCGTTTGGGGAGCTGCACCCCGGCTAGGACGAGCTGGACCCCGAGAACAAGCCGGGTGAAGTACATGGTGATTTCCCCCAGGTTCTGCTCCGACCCAAGGGCGTATTCCTCGGGTCGGATGAAGTTGGCGGCATGCGGGGAGAAGATGACTCCCGCAAGCAAGGAGATTACTACGGGGGTGTCAGTCTAGCTTTTGGCGCATCAATTGCTGTCTAAGGAGCTGACGCACAGGCTTCAGATAGGTACAGTCTCTCCTTGAATAAGTAGGAGACTAGTCCAAAGAGGGAGATGAATCCCCCTAACGTCGCACAGACTATGTTGAAATTGATCAACGATAGGGTAGGCATGGGTGGCAGTCAGTCTCCGGGTGAGAACTGTCAGCTTCGAGAGACAATTTTGTCGCTATTTGTTCTTCTGAGCGTCTAAGTATGTAAAAAGCCACAAGCACGTGTTATTCAATCATAGTAAGAGCACTTGTAATCGCGTGGCAGTGTCCTTGGATCATTCGATTAATCGAGTATTTCGCAGCAGCCAGATTGACGGCTGGCGGGGAAGCAAGCAGTGAGCGGGTGCCAGTGGCTTAGACTTGACGGCAAGAGAGGGTGACGCAGAACAAAGAGAGGGGCAGAGTGCCAATGCAATCAGCTCAAGCAATGAGTGAGGTCCTAGATGGATATACTAGGTAGTTAGTGACAAGATGATTCGGAGTGTGGAGTAAGGAAGAAGGAATAGGTTGAGTTTGGGGCAAGTTCGGTAGTGGTAGTTAGTGGATAAGTTAGTGGGTAGTGGGAGAAAAGATCCGGCTATTATTTTCAAGGCTTGGCCTACTACTACTACTACTACTACTACTACTACTACTACCCTCCCGCTTTGAGCCTAACTCTACTCGTGGCCCTATGTATGCATCCATCCACATATCTTCAGAAATCATCATTTGGGCAGCTAAGCATCCAGTGTAGTCCATTGGTATCTCTCCCTCCAGGGGTACTCTGTCAGTGTAGAAAGCTAAATACACATTGAAGGTAACTGTAACGGAGTTACTCGATGTAACGCAAATCAAGTGTCACAACATCACAACATCACAACAGCAGACCGGCTCGGAGGCATTGTTCAATGCATCATCCCATCCAGGATTTTAGAAAAGCTGAGTAGATTCTCCATTAGAAATCGTCGTCATCATCATTATCATCATCAAACAGATCATCCGGGATATCTTTGGCTGCTGCCGCCATCGCCGCAGCCTTCTCGGCCACTCCACGTTGGGCGCCGTTCACAGCCAGGCGGTCGGCAGCCTCGTTGCCCGGATGTGAGCTGTGGCCTTTCACCCATTCAAACAAGGTCTGGACTTGCAGCTCATTGCGCTCATCAATTTTGGACAAAATGGACTCGACCAGATCTTTGTTGTCCACGGGTTTGTTACCCACTGTCATCCAATTGTTCTGTCGCCATTTGCGATACCAGACGGTCACGCACTTGATGGAATATTGGCTATCCGTGAATATGGTCACATCCCGATGGCGGGGAGCAATCTCAAGAGCTCGAAGGATTGCAGTCAATTCCGCTCGCTGGTTTGTTTGACGGCTACCCTGTAGAGGCTCGGACACATTTCTGCTGAGTGATGAAGAGTTAGTGGAACATTGCGTTTCCAGCGTCTTGCTGCCGAGAGATTGAAAGAACATAGATGATCTCTAGGTAAATCACTAACCTTGAATCTCCTGGGCCGAAATATACGCCCACACCAGCCGAAGCCAGCGCTCTTCCGTTCTTGAGAGAACTACCGTCGGTGTAGATGCGCAACATCCCTGGGGATCCATTCGACTTCAGCTTTGTGGCAGCCTTCTGATCCGCGGATTTGTAGATCACTTTCCCAGTTGTGGGATCCAGAAGCACATTCGGATCAAATCCGTCCGTGGTCCCAGGAGGTAAAGGTCCGGTGCCCGGCTCAAGAGCCACGCCATGCGCATCCGTCGGAACAGCGTCTGTCAGACCTGGAGCCCCCGATAACTTAGCGGCCTTTGCGAAAGTGGCGCCGTTTGCTTGTTCTTCATTCACGAATGCCTCGGCTTCCTCTCTGGTCGCAAATTTCTTGTATCGCGGCTTGGTGAATCCTTTGATCTGTTCCTGCGCCTTTGACCAGTCGGTGTAGACCCCGGGCACTCTCCCGCGCTGGACACCATAATATCTGGGGGGATCGGAGCTTGAGTTGTTTCCGCCGCGACCGGCGCCAACGGTGGCCCCCGTAAGAAAGGCTTTCGCGTCATCGAAAGAAGAAAATGCCTGGACTGAGATCGTTGTCAGTCAGTGACCGCGCGACCGGGGTCGTTCACGACTTACAAACGGCTCCCTTGTACCCAGTCACCTGGGTCAAGCAATCGGTCCAACTGTAGTAAACCCCGGGCTGATAGCCCGCTTTTACGGCATAATATTTCCCTACGACATTGCGCTTGCGTTTGGTGCCTGCGGTGGACGCGGAAGAATTTGTTCGGGAAGAGGTGTTTGTCGCAAGCACGGAGGTAGGGGAAGAAGTGGTATTGTTCATGGCGTCAAAGCCGCCGTTCGGCAGGTTCGAGAGCGGAGTGTTTGATATAAAGAAAAACACAATCTTCGAGACGGGGACAAGGTCAAGACTCAAGTCGTTTGATGAAGTGTGGCGGTGGGATAACTGGCGAAATTCAAATCGTCGAACAGGGATTCGCAACCTGCAGCTCAAAAGGGCACCCCTAGGTCCCTGTTTCGGAGCTACAACACAAAGCCGACAAACAGGCGTGGTGGAATAGTGTCCGTTGTATCAACGAAAGGTCGAGATGAAGCTCTCTTCTGAATGTTAGGAATTTAAATTGAGGTTGACAAAGAAGTTCGGATAGCATTGGGGGGGTTGAAGGGGGGGGATGGAGTTTCTCAACGAAGCGGGGAGGGAAAAATGGGGGTAGAGAGGGAGGAAGGGAGGGGGGGGGGGGGGGGGGGGGAGAGAGAGGAGGGGGGGGAGAGGGAAACAGACCTGCATTAATCAACTTTCCACACCCCCCCAAAGCAGCATCACGGGGTACTCTTTTGCATCTTATTTCCCCTTGTAATTCTTCCCACCTGGAGAAGGACCCATTTCTTATTCTTGGGGTTTCCGACTGTTCTCGTCACTGTACAATCAATGCAGTGACATATCTACTTTTGTCTGGTTCTCCAGGAACAGAGTGTGGCTTTGACGACGGATCTGATCTCAGTGATCCGGTGGATGTTGGAATCGGCCATTGTCGGAGTAATTCAGACAAGATGGACTCAGTCCATCGTCTGTAAGCAGATCCATAGCAATGCTTCTATACGAACCTGTCGCAATTGGAGATCGCTGGACGACGACGACGAGGATGAGGATGAGGATGATGATGATGCGGCGGATGCACTGATCACGTGAATAGGAATTGTCTTCTTTCCCATTTCGGTTACTTCGTTTCTCCAACAATGTTACTCATCCATCATAAGTTAGTTGACTTACCTTCAGTACAAGCCCAAGGTCATCCATATCTTGGCTTGAATATGCATCTTTGACCCACCTGATTGTTATCGTGCATGATGAACCACGCGCATTCGGTTGGCGTGTCTCTTATAGCAAGCTCAAGCTGAAGTCTACCTATTTCTTCATGGTCTCATCTTGGCATAAGCCGACATGGAGCGCATCTTAGAACCTATGCTAATGGGCTTGCCTAACCAGAACCATTCCCCGGTGTCTGATGACCGTTTACCGACATCTTCCAAGGCTCATTGAGGAATTGGATCTTATTGAGTATGTGGCTGCATTTACTGCTTCATTTTGCAGCACACGATAAGCAGGAATTTCCGACAACAGCAGGGCACATTGAGGGACTATGGCGTCGACCCTGAGCCATCCCCTGGTCCCTTGACGTTTACAAGACAATGTACTACGGTGCTTCGGAACCATGTGGGTGGTCGCCACCAGCCTAAACTAGCCAGCCCTATCTGTGAACACGGAACAAGCTCACTAGCTCCTCATGCTTATTTCACTGAAACTCCTACATTTGCCTGATCGATGATACTATTGCGAACCTGATAGTAAACAATTCGGGTCATCCGAGGCTTGTTGGTTCCTGACCCTGATGCGACAATCCTTCCGCTGACTAATGGAAAGTTCTGCGGTCTAACCTCCACTGACAGCGAGAATCTTAGAGCATAGCCTATCTTTCCAAGATGTTGATGCGTTCACACCAAGAGCCGACTGAGCCGGTGGTTTCAATCCCTGGATGTGACGCGTCACCCGGGGTTTCGGGATGCCGTAATGACCCAAATTGCCGTACTCAATTCCTCGTCTCGGTGTTTTGCTGTGGTTTGAATCACCCGCGCGCACTCGGCTTATCCGACTTGGCGTCTGGCCTGGAGTACTCCGTACTCCATAGTCTAGAAGTTGCGAACTGCGGCTGCCGCATCGGTTATAGGAAGATATGATGTCCCTGAACATTACCTGTTCAGATAAACTACTGGTGGGCCTCGCGTCGTAATACTCAGGGACTTCATACCACGAATGTCGGAGCGTCTTTTCTTTCCGTCCATCAAGGACAATGCTTGAGGACAAGACGGGTTGATGGAGACCGCGAGAGATGAGGACTATAAATGGAGCGATGCGCCTACGTAGAAGATGCCTGGGATACGGACTCATTCTCACTGGCTGGCCATATTCGCTCTTTCATTCGTATAATCCCTTCTGACTAAAGTCCTTCATTGATTTCATTTTCTCATACTCTTCTGGTAAGATGAGATTCATCTCACTTGCCGTAACGGCAGCCTTGCTTGGCTTGACAGGCGCCTCGAATTCTTCAACAATCGGTCTACTGAAGGCCAATGGTGGTAAGTAGACTGGCCATGTACTATGATGCTTGGAGCATGCTGAACAATGGACAGTTGCGTTGGGAGACTGGGAGGCTGCATATGAGAAGGCATCTGCCTTCGTGGCAGGACTGACTACTGATCAGAAGCTGGCTTTGATCACCGGTAGCAGTGTTAGCTCGTCCAATGGTAACTTCAGTGCCCTAGAGTTCCTTGATGGGGATATGGGTCTGCAGAACTATTTCTATGTCTCTGCTTTCAGCTTGTCTTCAGCTCTGGCTATGACCTGGGACCGCGACGCCATCTATGCTCAAGCCAAAGCAGTTGGGTCGGAGTTCTACAACAAAGGCATTCAGGTGGTTGCTGGTCCTACTTCTCAGCCAATGGGCCGTACCCCTTGGGGTGGTCGCAATGTCGAGGGATTTGGCCCTGATCCCTATCTCAATGGCCTAGCTACTGGCCTGTCCACTAAGGGTTATGTCGACGCTGGTGTGATCCCCGGCGGCAAGGTGAGATTATCATTCATGGTCGTTATACTTTACGGGCTTGCTGACACGAAATGCGTCATCTAATAGCATTTTCTTCTTTACGAGCAAGAAACCAACCGGACTTCCAGTGGCGGCGGCGGCCCCGGTGGTGGAAGTGGAGGAGGAACGCCTTCTGGAGGAATTGGCTTTGGTGGTTCAAACTCTTCATCGCCGGGGCCTCAGCCTTCAAGTTCATTCAGTAGACGTGCTACTGTCTCCTCGGATTCCGACTCGGCACCCTATTCCTCCAACGCAGACGACAAAACCTTGCACGAAACATACCTCTGGCCATTCTACGATGCAGTAAAGAATGGCCTCGGCGCCGTCATGTGCGCAATGACCAAAGTCAATGGCACTTACAGTTGCGAAAACTCGGATCTTTTGATGAAGACACTGAAGACCGAGCTTGGCTTCCCGGGTCTGGTCTGGCCCGACATGAATGGGCAAAATAGCGCCGAAGGATCAGCATTAGGCGGCGAGGACTACGGATCGAGCAGCATCTGGAGCACTTCTACAATGGAGACTCTTCTGTCGAATGGTACCCTCACTGAGGCCCGTTTGAACGATATGGCAATTAGAAACCTTATTGCCTATTACCATGTCAATCTGGACAATGGCCTTCAACCTGCGATGCCAGATCAGGATGCCTATGTGGACGTACGAGCCAATCATTCTAAGCTGATTCGCGAGAACGGAGCCAAGTCGATGGCGTTGTTGAAGAATGACGGCACCCTTCCCCTGAGAAAGCCCCGTGTGATGAGTGTTTTCGGAGCCCATGCTGGCCCAGTCATGGGAGGTCCGAACGCTGCCATGAACGTTGAAGGGTCTGGCCCTACCTACCAAGGCCATTTGGCTACCGGCACAGGCTCTGGACAGGCATCTGTTCCTTACGTGATCACCCCTTACGTTGCCCTGACGATTAGAGCTGCGCAAGAAGCGACTATGATGCGATGGATTATGAACGACACTTATAGCTCCAGTGGAGGTTCCACGCTGATTCAAGAAGGAACTGACAGTACCGCCGTGGCACCCTCCTATGCCAACTATGCAACTAACTCGGATGTCTGCCTCGTTTTCATCAATGCTCTGTCGGGTGAGGGTGCTGACCGCACTGAGCTGTATAACGAGGATCAAGACACCATGGTGAACACGGTTGCAGACAACTGCAACAATACCGTGGTTGTGGTCAACACTGTTGGGCCCCGACTGCTGGACCAGTGGATTGAGCACGACAACGTAACGGCAGTTCTCTACGGATCGATTCTGGGCCAGGAGTCGGGCAACGCAATTGTGGACCTTCTCTATGGTGATGTGAACCCTTCCGGCCGTCTTATCCACACTATCGCCAAGAACGAGAGTGATTACAACGTGGAACTCTGCTACACTGCTCAATGCAACTTTACTGAGGGTGAGTCGCCATTGGTCTTCGGGTATCGGTGCTATTTGGACTATTAACGCTGACTGCATCCACAGGAGTCTACATTGACTACCGCTACTTCGACGCCAAGAACGTTACTCCCCGGTACCCATTCGGTCATGGTCTTTCCTACACCACTTTCAAGTACTCGGATCTCGCCATCAAGACCCCTTCTGCCACGACCAAAGCTCCCCGGGGTAATAATACTGTCGGTGGAAACAGCGATCTATGGGACGTTGTGGGGACCGTCTCTGCGCGCATCACCAATAATGGCACGCTCGCAGGTGCGGAGGTTTCCCAGCTCTACCTTGGCTTCCCATATGCCGCAGATCAACCTGCTCGTCAACTTCGTGGGTTTGAGCGTGTCGAATTACGAGCGGGACAGGAAGCTATTGTTACGTTCAACCTGCGTCGCCGCGACATTTCATACTGGGATGTGGCTGCCCAGCAATGGCTTGTTGCTTCTGGGAAATACCAGGTCTACGTTGGAGCAAGCTCTCGCGACTTGAAATTGACGGGGGCATTCTCTTTGAGAGCGAAGGCTTAGTATGGCTTGCCGTTGAATTAGTTTGTGCCCAACATCCTGCGACTATAGAATGACCTCCCAGAGGGTTGCTTAGACCTGTTCTTGTTCTTTAGATAATTCAATAAGCTGCTATGATCTTGAGCCAATTCACCTACAACCCTGATAATCAATTTGATTATGTAGTTAATCAAGAACTTGCAACCACATGCCCTAAACTCAGCCTTGTGAATACAGTAGAATCATTCCCATGGCTATTGTCCTGTTCACAAGCACCAAGCCTGGATAGATTTTCTTCACCCATTGAGCTTCCATCGCAATCGCCAATCTGTTCTCAAAACTGTCCGGTCTTCTCCTCTTCTTCCTTTCTTCCATCTTCCAAATCTCCCATCTACCAGACTTCTTTTCTTCTTCCATCTTCATCATCCTCTCTTCTCTCTACTATACTCATGACCACATACCAGATTATGCAGCACCAAATTTATCATCCAAAGAGGGAATCATGATCTAGAAGCCCTCCTCATGTCCAATCTGCTTCTCTGTTCAGTGGTCAGCACCCATGAAGAAGCCCAACAGGCCTGTGGTAGTCACACAATGACAGGACTACCCCAAGCTACAACCATGGTAATTGCCAACCAGAAACCGGCTTCTAGTCCTCAAGCATCAAGCTTGTCCCAGTGAGTGCCGTTCGAGTCTTTCTTACTGAATCGTTGTTAACTCCCCTCGCAGGAAAGGAAGCTTGTATCGATGCAGTAGTGCGGCCGCGGATATCGACCCACAGTCATGGCGAATACAAGCTATCGAGCACTGAATTCAGACTTGTTATCTGACGAAGCTCGTCAACTTTTCGCACAGGCCATCGGTATACCTGTTCGCGTCGAGGTTTCAAAGACTGCAACAGAGACTTCGCAACGCTTCAGGACTACTTGCAAGAGAGACACGCCAGCCAATACCTCACGTCCTGTACAAACACGTCACATTCCAGAAATCCGATGTCTTCCTCGCAGAACTTGACCGGTTCCGTAGAGCCGTGCGAGGCTAAAGCGTACTGCCTGCGGAACAGCCGCATGATTGAGGGGAATGTACAGTGTCGCTTCCACATCTCCCAGATTCTTTGCTTGTGACATTGTCCTTGACATACTTCCCAGACATATCCACGACTCCATTTCGGAGCCAGAGCAGCCCGATGAAGTTGTTGACTCTGTGCGTGGTTGCAGGTCCGAAAACCGAACGGAGCGGCCTTTAGCCTGGGCAGTTTTTGTGTCCGTATTGAGATGTATGGAAAATTTCTATACGGGCTTCTGCCGTCTTTCAGGCGGACCAAAAGTCAAAGTCCGAGGGATAGCAATAGAGTGATTATTCCTACTATCTCGGAAGCAATCTGCAGAGTCGGAGGTTTCATGAACGAACTAGGAACTATCTGATGGAACTTATCAAGCGCAATGCCGACCCCTTCCATCGGTACTTCTTCGAATAGAATGACGGTTGCAGCTGCGTGATATGGCATCTTATCGTACTCTCTTTGCGTGAGAGTGCCGCAAACTTCAAACACCATGAGACGGCGGCCTTCGTTGCCACCACCTCGCCTACCATATCAACCCTCTGGGAATTATAGATAGCTTTCGCTGGCACACGCGGGGAGGATTGATATAGAATCTGGACTCGTACATGGCGTGGGCAGGTCCTGGATCTCCTTGCGTTACTCCCATTAACCGAACACGAGACTCTCCAACCCCAGGATGTACCGGGACGAAAACATGCTGGTTCACAGCGTTACTGACAAGGCGGACAGTACGGGATGGCGCCGAAGTTGATCGGCCTGATCGACCACGGCCTGCGCGCCCTGCACACACTGTTGCGCGTCGGGCGCAGGGTCGGCGTGTTACTGGGCCACATCCGGCTGCTGCTTTACATTGCGAGGGAGCGACTGACTTCGTGGGCACCTGAAGCTTTATCAGTCTTCCCTTAGGACTTGTTCCAATCGTGCTAGGTGCTATAAAAAACCGAACCCTGATTGTTCAATAGAAATGGCATGATGCAAGGCTCCTCACAACAATGCCCATAACTCTCCACTAAAAAAGGCCTTTGAGTATTGAAGTGGTCTCATCACTTTCAAACTCGCTCAAGGCTGAGCTAGGTGGCTTCTGTCCCCGGCTCTTCACTACTGCTGAACTACTGCATGGCCGTTGAATACGTTACGCTTCAAATCTGAAAATCTCATCGGATTGGATATGGTACAGCTTATAAGATTTAGCCGTGCATTATCCTGTACAACAGCGCAAGGGTCAGGCCGCCTCATAATTTAAAATGCAGAGAGCAGATTCGATCATTCGACAAAAGGCTGCTAGGAAACAGAAATACTACCACTGCACTGTTGCGTGTTGCGGTGCTGCAAACATTTGTATTCCTAAGAATACCTATAAGCAGAAGTTATGCCACCGGGGATCCTCCCAAAGCAGTTTTTGGAAGAACATCTAATCTAGCATTGGACCGTGATGCTCAGCTTTGCGTGCCTTGGGAGACTGCCACAGGAGAACAATGTCGCGTCCTGAGATCCGTCTTCCGACTACATGACCCAGCGTCGACCCTCAGCTTATCCGCTGTTTTCTCTCTCTGCGGCAAGTACTTGCCCATTGATTCTGGTTGCGGCAGAAGAAAGAAACCTCTAACTATGCCTGCTTTCCTGGGGAAGAAATATACCTCATCTCCGCATTGAAAGATTCTGGATTTATCGTCGTCGTCCTGTGGCTGCTATGGATCGAAATCAGCGCAGTGATCTCCGCCTTTATTATAGTACACTCTTGAGCAAAAGCTCTGGTAGGGTGTAGAGCACTCAGCCCCTGTTTATGGACCAAAAATTCATAAGATTATTGCTGACATGAAGAAGATCAGTGTTCTGCGCGTCTGCGTTGGATACCACAAATATCGCAGTGTCCGAGTGGATGATTCGATCCAACTCACTGGCCAGGGAGGCGCATGGCATGCGAACCTTGCGGGTATTCTACGCCATATCCATCCGATTTCAACCGATATCGGAAAATCCGGTGCCATCTGCACCATGGTTATATTTGCCATCAACATGATTATCAGACTCATAATTCCTATCTACTCTATCGCTATTCTATTCCTCGACGCTACGATGGCACCCTTTGGTGGGGAACAAAAATTGCCACTCGTCAAGCGGCTAGCATTTGAAGAGAATGACTCAAGCACAACCCACTTGTGGTATTTGGGCATGGCAGTCCTTGGAAAGACTTTTGGACTTGAATTGTCCCTAGAAGGTCGATAATATTCAAGCAAACGCAAGAAGCGTTGATTAGAGGACTGACCAGACACGGAAGAAGGTGGCAGTAGAAAGTTCAAGTACTGCAAGACAGGCATGAATGAAGAAAGATGATCGTGGCTCATATTATCCAATCAGTTGCATTGAATCTGGGGCTCAACGAGACAATCACCCATATCATTGACGTCCAAGAACCCGGAAAAGAGTGGCTCAAGAAGTTGAACACCATAGTTCCGAAGGCTCTTCAGGATTCTAGCACTGTCGCCTGTGTTCTCGAAGAAATTGACAACCGTTTTCACTATCTTCATGGGACTGTTGTTCTTCTTCGCGGTGAAGGTGAGGAAATTGATGATATTGAGGAAGTCTGGGATCCGATCGTGGACATCAATGTGCCAGGGTGCAGACATTCCTAAAGCTTTGGAATCATGTCAGACGACATGAATCCGATAGGTGGATTGGTGTCTTCAGCTGCTGCTTCAAGTTTCTGGATATCATCAGCGCCTGTCTATGCCTGGAATACAATATCATGTGTCTTCTATTCCACAGCGGCTTATCTGAGAAGGATCGAGCCCCCAGACGTGTGGAGTTCATCCCTCTTTTGGTTACGCTTATGCTAATGCTCATTATCACGAACATATCAGCACCGGAGATTTCAATTCCAGGATATAGTGGTGAGGGACATACTGGCTCGCCAAATCAGAATGACTCATCAGTTCTTGACCCAAGTACTTTTGATCTCACATAGGAGCGAGCAGTGCGCATCTAACCCTCTATGGACATACCTGTCCATCTCTGGTTAGACGGCGATCGATTCAGATTTCCATCTCCCTTGTTCGAAAACTTGAAGCCAAAGCAAAGAAATTTGGTTGAAGTCTTCATCAAGGTCTGGACTCTAGGTCAAGAAGGACATCTTGTTCTCGAGCAAGGGGAGGTAAGAGTCTATCTGCACTTGGTTCCTGCCTTGCCATATCGCGGCCTATGCATCTATCCCCCCCCCCCCCTATTACCGCAATCCCTTGCTCTACCACCTGCCCAAGTACCCAATATACGAGCATCTACTACAAACCAAGAACAAGAGCATGAGCCTAGAAGCTCTAAAAGTGACAAAGATATCAACGCAAACAGCGCAAAATGGAGAGACAGACTGCTAAAAGAAATGGCCCAGAAGAAACGTTATCAGGACAATCTTCAACGCCTATCAAGCTTTACGCAAGCGTCTATGTCTTTACTCGATCACCCGGAACTTCTTCATAGCTGCACATCAAAGGAACTTACCAAACAAGCTGCTGCAAAGAAGGCTGAAGAGAATGCTCTGAGAAAGGCTGCTCAAGACGCTGAGTGGAAGGCAAGCAACATTCACGCTACAGCTGCTAACTTTCAACCTACGGCAGAAACAACCAAGCAAGTCTTTACCAAGGATGCGATGGAAGCAGTCTATGAGGCTTTATTTGTCAACATCTTTGCCAATTCAAATGCGTGCAACGACATCGCATATGGCGCTACTACAATGATGAGACACCGCCCCCTAGAACCACACGAGCATCCCACAACATGGCTACCCAAAGACAAAACCGACGAGATTTGATGACAGCGAGACGGATTCTCACAGCAGATTGACTTGAAGACTGAGACAACCGCACCGACCACCGCACCAAACACTGCGTCTACTGCACCACCGGTTACCACTGCACCAGACACTGCGTCTACCAATCTTGCAGCACCGACTACATCTGCATTTCCTATCCTTTCAAGTACACCTATAGCTCGTGCGAAGCGTCCTATTTGGAAGGAACTAGTCATCACTCCGTCGCTCAAACCCTGGTGTCTCGGACGAAAAATGTTAATGGAATCTTTTGCTCCCTATTATTATTATGGGATTATAATTGGAGCACAGAGAAAAAGCGATTCTATGATCCCAAGTCCAAGGTGATGCCAAACGACTGTCCTTGCAGTCTGAAGGACATGTTTGAGGTGGCTGTATTTGATGAAGCGATGTGGCTACCCGCATGGGTCTCATACGCTTTCAGATATCTTTTTCCGACTTGCTCCGATGTTGAGACTATGTTTTACGAGGCCGGCATGATCCCCAGCCCCCTGCTCGAACAGCTTTTGTATTCGCTGAAAGCCCCAACCGTTTCTGCCTTGAGTCTCCTGATGAAGCCTCGGCGTCAGCTATAGGGCGTCTATGGTGTTCTACTTGAAAAAATGACCCCTGCCAAACGCGATTTCGCAGCTTGGCTCCACGAGAAGACGAAGTATTAAGTCCTCTATTCTCACAGTTTTCAAATCCTTACTCTCCCCAACGCATCCCAACTCAATTTTCCTGTATCCGAAAACTCTTCTCTCCGTTTCCGAATCCTCACTCTCCCCGGGCCTTCCCAACATTTTTCCTGTACCCATGAAGAAACACGTCTGTATGAACAAGAAGAAGCTTGCCTTGAAGCCGCATCGCCGAGAGGAAAAACGTCAAATCAAGAAACATGGTAATTTCCTGAGCATGGAAAGGCGCGAACTCAATAATTCGCTATCTTTCCACGGTCTCCCAAAACTCTGCCCACAAACACGATCTGACCCTGGATCTGATTACGAATCTGTCTTCAATTTCCACTAACGGCCAAATAGCCCAGTTCCCGACAAATCCGCTCACAATTCTCCTGAAGGCGAAGAACCACTGAAGAAGCGCACCCTCGACTTTCATTCCGACTCAGAGCAGGAGATTGAAACTCCTAAACCGAAGAAACGCATCGAACGCATCGAACGCATCGAGACCCCGAAAAAGCGCGTCGTCCCTACTACCCCTAAAACACCGACTACTCCAAAGACACCACATAGACTCTAATTAGAAGGGACCATATGATATGAACTTTTCTTCTTTCTGCAAATGGCCTGGTTTGACGAATTCAAGGATATGAACTACAGCGACTCTTTGATGGCCCAGATGATTGAGGTATCGAACCACTGTCGCCCTTGATGCGGCGTCGTTCGGAGCAAATCCTCGCTCGGCGTGATTCCCGGACATATATGCCATATTGATGCATGACTAGGATAATACATACGACGAGCAATTCGAGCTCTCCTCCATCTCGAGTCGAAGATGCTTTTACCCAGGGGCCGTAAGATTGCCATCAGTGGTCCAGTGACGAAGTGTCTAGAACCCAAATGACAAATTGATCATCATCCGAGTACTCCTGATGTTGATTGAGGCGTTTCTGGCAAATGGTTGTGGTTCTTTTGCAATCCCTACGGTGTTATACCTGCACGGATACCATGGACTCAGCGAGTCTCATGCGATTATCTCCACAGTTCCGCCTGCCTCGGCATCTGGTCCTGCTTCTTATAGCTTTGCCAATGAACAGTGCAGGTAGGGGTCTATAGGATGCATAGGAGTTCATGCTCTCGAAGACGAGGTTTCCATGTAAAGCTGCAGTAATGCACTGCTCCTACATACCCCAGGCACAATCATGACTGCAAGAAAAAAATTGCACAAAGCGCACATCTTGGCCAACGTCTATAAAAAAAACTGACAGCGATGTACAGATGATCTACTGAACCCTAGCAAGGGGAAAGCTGGCAGTTTGACAGGAGCACAGCTTGACCAAGTTCGAAAGCTATCCACTTACTGATTCGGTGACGCCGACAGTACACTCTAAGCTGGCGCGTAAGCAAGAGGGTTGGATTCTGATACCTCCCCCAGGATGGAGGTGAGATCCGCTTGTATATGGACCATATGCATCCTGGGCAGAATGGACATCAGCCCTATGAGCAAGCAATGCGACTACTTCTGGCTTCATATCCTGCACCACCGTCAGGTACGAACGAGTGACACGACCTGCTGCAACGCATTTGCGGATGGCTTTATGACTTGATGATCTTCCATTATGAGGTTCCGATTGCTCATCTTGAGTTTTTCCTTCGCCTTCCAGTTTACGGTGCTTTGATCTCTTTTGTTTTCTACTTGATGCTTACGGATAGTAGGCAGTGATTGAGCCTTACCACCTCCCTTCTTCTTCCCTCCCTCTCTCCCTCGCTCTCTCTTGATCCTCATGAGTAACTACCAGTCATACTCAAAGCCATAGAACAACCAGTGTTTGTTCGTGCTCCTAATGAGCATTATGGGGGTCATTTCGCAGAAGAAAGCTCAGCGGTTTCCGCGCAGTAGTCAGAATGACTGAGAGGGAAGTACCGTTTCAATCAGATAAAACTATCAATGCTATCTCCTTTATCCACTCCAGAAGACCTCATCCCATCTAGCCCTAAACCTAGACCAAGCACCAAGCACATACCACCCCCCACCCCCAACCAGCAAATCAAGGAACGCCCCTCCCCTTGCGCACCGCCCTCGCCAGCTCACTCTGCGCCTTATCCTCCGCATACCGCTGATAAATGGGCAGATACCAGTCCCGCTCACTCAGCGTCTCCCGGACGCTCCTCCGCCCTTCCACCGCCGCCACCCAGCGCCGCCACCGCGCCCACACCCTTTCCTCCTCCTCACTATCCGCCTCCCCGGGCGCCGGAACCCCCAACCCGCCCTTAAACTCATCAAACACCCACAACCGAACCGCCCACGGCGCAAGCACGACATCCACGAGACTCAGCTCCTCGCCCAGGAAATACGGGCCCTGCGGGTGCAGCTCCCGCGCGAACTCCTTGAGCGTGGCCCGGAATTCCTCTCGCAGGGAGTGGAGCTCATCCCCTCCCCCTCCCCCTCCCCCTCCCCCTCTTCCGGTCTGCTTCGTGTCCGGGGACGACGAGGCGGGGGTGGGCTGGTGCTGCAGGAAGCGGTGGAAGGCGGGGATGATCCGGGAGGTGACGTAGTCGATCCAGATGCGGGCGCGGGCGCGGAGGTACGCGTCCTTCGGGAGGAGGGCGGGCGTGTGCGTCGGGTAGGCTTCTTCGAGGTATTCGAGGATCACCGTGGATTCGTAGAGGGGGCGCGCAGATCCGGACTCGTCCGGGGAGGTGATGGTCGGGACGAGGCCGCGCGGGTTCAGGGCCAGGAAGGACGGCGCCTTGTGGTAGGGGTTTACTTCGATGTATTGGTAGGGGATCTGTTTCTCTTCGAGGGCGAGCCAGACGCGTTGCACTGGTTTTGGGTTAGTTTGGGTTGTGGATGGTGGAGAGTGAGTGGGCGAATACCGAAGCTGGAGGTGTTAGTATACTGGATGTATTCATCACTTGTAGATCGTGTGCTGCGCGGGGGAGACTCACGGACAGAACCACCCCGCATAGAACTTCAAGGGCTGTTCGGCTTGGTGGGAGGCGACCAGCGCTTTGGCGGGGCCGGTGGCCTCGGGGTGGATATCGGCATCGGGCACAGGCATGTTGATAGAAAGATAAGCTCAATTCAATTGGGGGATTGAGTGGTGATGGGTTGAAAATCAGAAAAAGGTCAAGTAGGAGAGGAGGGGGATAAATAAGGACGACAATCGATGGTGTCATCAGATACGATTATTAATCCAGGACTATAGCTCAACAGCTATACAGTTCTTGTCAAGTACAACCACCTCAACCACCTCAACCACCTCATTCAACCATACTTCTTCAGCAACTTCTCCATAATCGACACAGCCCCCGACCGATACCCCGCCCCAAAGATCGCATGATGATTCAGATGATGATACCTGTAGCCCGTCAGCCCTCTCCAACCCTCTTCATCAAGACATAGGCAAAAAAAAAACATACAACTCATACAGCCTCACGCGATCCTCATACTCCTCGACCGGCTTCGTCCTCGGCACCAACCGATGGTATTCCTCAAAGAACGCGCTGCCAAACCCCCCAAACATCCGCATGATCCCCAGCTCGAACTCGCTGTGCGCATAGCACGCCGAGGGATCATAGACCACATCCCCGACCTTGGCCCCATCAGCCTCTGTATCAGCTCCACCCACAATCCGCCCCCGCCCCGCATTCCCACTCCACAGATCCCCATGCACCACCACGGGCACGATGCCCTCCCCCTTTCCAGCAGCAGCATCACACCCCAAATGCCCCTTCCCCAACAGCCGAGGCACGACCGTCCCGGCCGTCCGCTCCACCAACGCCCGCAACCCGCCGTCGCGGCCATTCCGCCGCTCCGAGCGCTCGAGGACCGCGCGCAGCCGCTCATCCGCGTAGAACTGCGCCCAGTCCTCGCAGAACCGATTCGGCTGCTTCGTGTCCCCGCAGAACGTCGGCACGGGGAAGCCGAACCGTCGCCGCCCGGTTGTCGGGTCCGGTGGGGCGGGCGTGGAGTGGAGTTGGGCGAGTCGGTGCGCGAGGGACGACGGAGAAGAGTCACTCGCGCGCCGGCCGCTGCCGCCGAGTTCGAGGTATTCGGTCAGGAGGTAGTAGCTTTTCTTCTTGGGGGAGCTGGGTGGTTCGTCATCATCATCATCATCATCATCATCATCGTCCAGGCTTCCCCACGCTAGTGCCCGTGGACAGAAGCCCGGCACGCTGGACGCGATGGCGTTCAGGGACTCGTACTCCCCCCGGAACATCGCCGCGGCCGAGGCGCCGTCGGCGGAGGTCTTGACGAAGTACCGCCGTTCTTCGTCGCGGCCGTCGGGGCCGGGGACTGTGGCGCGGATGGCGCCGGTGCTGGTGAAGCCCGAGCCGAGGCCGGAGGTGGAGAGGCTGGCTTTGGCGGGGTCCGTGATGGAGAGAGCCCGGAGGATTGAGGCGGGTACGGGGGCCATGATGAGGATCTGAATCCGCTTGGAGAGGGTGCGTGAAAGTGTGGAGAGAATCGAGTGAGGGGAACAGAGCAGATAAATTGGGTGATGGAGCAGCAATGACGTCGGTTGTTGATCTTATCGCGATAAGATAAGGTATCGGTCGTGTCTCACTGCCGACGGAGTACGGAGTACACAGGATGAATTGCGTTCAACATCACACAACCAGCCCCAAGGATAGCAGCACGGCACCAACTGTAGTGCGAGTATAATTGTAGCTACAGATCTACACCATCAGCACTTCCTGATCTTTATACATCAAGGTCCCATCCAACGCCGCCTACCGCAACCGCAGCATCCCGCTTTCCAACAGAATCATCGCTATGCATGGGTCAAGGAATTCAGCATATCCCGGGCCGTTTTGGTCCTCTCGCGCACATCCAAGTCAGGATCATCATCCAGGCTGGCCAACCGATCCATCACGCCCATCGTCCGCATCCGGATCGCCCGATCTCGACATCCTTCCCGGTCACTCGAGTCATCCTGGTACACCAGGTTGATCACCACCCACACACAGTTGATCCGTACATCGCGTTGGCTGTGGTTTAAGTATGTCATCAGGTACTTTAACAGATCCCGGTGCATCTGAAGCAGTTGTCGGTGTCGCGGTAGGCCGGCCGCCAGATGTATGATCACGTACGTCACCGACACCAATATCTCCGTCGGGACGGACATCGTCCGCGAGGTCGGCACATCTCGTCGAGGCGGGAGGGAGATGGAACGCGGCCGCAGCTTGTCTGCCAGCGCATCCAGAAGCAGATCCTGCCCAATCTCCTTAAACAAATGGTCGATCATCTCAAATGCACCAGGCCCGCAGATGACGTTGCGCAGTAGGTCGAAGGTTTGTTCCTGTACCGCAATATCATCCTGTCGAGCCCGCGTCGTCTGGTCCAGGTCGCCTTGCAAAGTCAACTTGCGTCGTCGGGTGGCATCAGGAAGGAACATGTCGAGACTGATTTTGTGCGAGGGCACCGTATCCGCCATTTTCATATCCTCGTCCCCACCGCTCTCCACCGGGTTCAACAGGTCTACCTGCTCCCCAGCCGAGTTGGCTCGGCTCATGCCCGCGCTGGTGCTGCTGTCCACCTCCTCGTCCATTCCGCGTTTGGCTAAGGCAGTGGTAGGATCCTGGGTGATGATCTGTTTGATCCATTCCGCACCTAGTCCTTCTATAATCTTTATCTTGACATCATTGGTGGAGTTATATGCAACATGCTTCAGGGCCCACAGCGATTCTATCCGCAACTTGGTGCTTTGGGAATGAGCATGTTCACACAGAATGGGAAGAACATCAGCCGAGATGATTGCCTATGCACCGGTCAGAATTAGTACACGAGAAACCCCGGATGACCGGTTGACTGACCTCTTTCATTGGACTGAAGTCCAAGGCCAGGTTACAAATGACCTGCGTCGCTGCAATCTGGACCTCGATGTCGGGGTGTTTGATCAAGACAAACAAGGGCGTCGCGACGCCCGCATCAATCAGACTCGTGCGGAGGACACTCACCGAACGAGTGAGCATGCGTGCCGCCCCGCAAGCTGCCAACAGGGTGGGTGTGGGGTTGCCATCGGCCACAGTGTTCTTCGGAGTCGACGCGTCTTCGGACAATTCATCTGAGCACGGCTTGAGAGAATCAATAATGTATGGCACCACCCCGTTCTCACAGACGGCTTTGCGATATTCGTCCTTGAAGGGAACCAGAGCCGCCAAGGCTTTCAGAATGTTCTCACGATACCGCATGACATGGCAGTGAATCGGTGAGAAGCCCGAAGGACCGAGCTGGCATTCTGGGGAGGTAGTGTCAGGGCCCAGCAGGCCCTCTTCCCCGTCCGCATGCCACATGGGGCGGACGGTGTCTTGAACTGGGTTGTAGGTCTCTTTCAACAGCTGCGACAACCTCTTGATAGCGCCTCCCTCATAAGCATGTCTCTGCAGTTCGTGATCATCAATCACTAATAACGCCAGCACGAACGGGGCTTCTTCTCTGAGACGCTCGGATGAAGCGATCAGTCCCCCATATTGCACCCCGTCATCGGCGGTCACTTCATAATCTTTATCCAGCATGCGAATCAAGATAGGAATCATCAGGTAGCATAGCATAGATATGCGATGCTTCTTTGTAAGGCCAAGACGGAACAGAACTGTGGCAAGGCGTGCCGCCATCAACCGGACCATCCCGCTCTCGCTACGGACAATGTACAAAAGCCATGGCACGACCGCGTTCTCTTCGTCCTCGGCAGAAGGCATTTCGAAGCTAGGGAGCGGCGTCGGAAACGACTGGCTTTGTCGGCGATGTGCAATACCCTGGTGGCCAAGTGGAGGAAAATTGGAGGTGCTAGGAGAGGCCTTGATCTGCGCCAGCGGCACCGATGGCAGTAGATACTCCAGCGGGCTAGCACCTGCATGCCGGGGTACAGCCGAGCCCGACAGGTAGGTAGCACCCCATGGTCCTCGCTTGATATCCCACGGAGCAAATTCGGCCAACTGCTTGGGAAACACAGTCACGATGCCCGGCGAAGAAAGAAAATGCTCCGCGCGCCACTTAGAATGCTCCACGATGACGGTGACAGCGCGGAGGATAGGCGCCAATTTTGCGCCTGGGGGTGCCGGGGGGGGTAGGGACCCCAGAGCTCCAGGCTCTTGAACATGCTCCTCGGCACCAGGATAGACAAATCCCTGCGCGACCACGAACGAGGCGACTTTAACCGCCAAGGCATCCAAGACTCCGCACTCCGCCAAGACCGCCTTATGAGATTCCTCCGTACACAGCTTCCCGATGAGGGATGCGGCGAGCTCAATTGCTGCTTGATCGTGGTAGTTGCCGTAGTCCCGACCTAAAATGCGAGCGAAGCAGCCAATATACTCGCTGGAAAAAATGAGATCGGCCAAACGGGTATCTTTAAAAGATCGTTGTGGACTTTGTAGCGGTAACCGGTCGGCAACATTATTCAATGTTCGAAGTATCGGAAGGATATAGAATGTCGGGCAGTCAGGTTTGGACAGTATGGATAGGAGGGTTGAGAGCATGCCGCTGGCAAGGATAGGGGACAGAAAAGAGGCACCGCCTGTTTCGAAACCAAATCAGTCACTGCCTGCAACATTCTGAGAATACCAGTACCTTGTGCTAAACTACCCATGATGACGATTGCTTGTAAGCATGTCTCATCTTCCTCGGACTGAGGACAACGAAGCTTCGCGGCTCCGTTGACTTCTGGTGTAACAATATCCTTGCCATGGCGGGCTGCGAGAATATTGGCTAGTACGGGGATGATCCCCCACCGCACCCAGGCCTCTTTCCGCTGGTTATGGCCTATCGTCTCATTCTTTAGGCTTCGCAAAGCCGCCGCCTGTGCTGATAGGGAGTCCGCTGTCTGAAGTTGAAGCAGCAGCGGAGGCGCTGAAGCACGGGTCATGGTCCGAAGTCGCCGCCTCCCGCGGGAGGGCCGTGGGATTGATTACGTCGAGGAACAGGAGGAGCGCTGATTGCGCCGAGAAACAATGGGGGAGAGACACAGGTATAGGAATAACCAGACACTCTTCAATTCAATTTGATGGGATCTTCCCCTAGCGATGGAAAAATAGTTTTGAGGATCAGCTAGTTGGCAGCGATGGTTGAATGGCAATGGAATAATGGATGGAGGATGAAATGATAACTGGTCAAGGTCACGGCGGCGAAGACCCTCGGCGACTGGGGAGGGGTCCAGAAGAGCGACTCGTGAAGCACCACCAACCAAGCAAAGCAAGGTCCGATAAACAGATGCTTTGAAGACAGCTAGGAAATGGGCCTCACAAGGAACCCAGAAATCGATCTCACAGCGACCAGCTCCGAATGACTGAGTGGTTGATGCAGCTGTCGATAGCTCGCTGTCCGTTGCCGGCCGCTGACCGCTTTCGGCGTCTTCTCAGGTGATGTCACCTGATAGGCATCTGACTGTACTGTACAGTCGGGTACATTGATGACTCATACTGGTATTATGTACAGGACAGTCATGTGATTCAGCCCTATCGTCGATTATCAGCGTTGAGGAGATACCTCCCTCTCAATTCTGGTGTTGCAATATCATGGTACGAGACACTGAGGCTTGTGTAGCAGCGGAGCCAATGGTATACAGCCATTGCTCAACCACGAATTGAGTTTGAGCTCGGTGTTCCCACGAGGTCGAGGTCGGTCAACCCGAAAGAAGGAGCAAGAAATGTGTAACCCCAAAAGTTGAACCCTGGAGGATTGGGGTTGGAGACCATCTCGGAGTTAATGTGTGTGTGTTCGTGTGTGAACCCAGACCGCTCGCTCGTATGGGCAAAAGCAATGATCCGAAGCGCATGATCATCAATTGACAGCTGACTTGGGCTATAATGGGAAGACCATGGGAAAGAGTGTCTTTTCCTAGTCCCAATAATGAAGAAGGATACATCCATAGACCCTGTCAAAAGGCAAAGGGTCTGGTTCCTTGCTTACGCCAGCCCCGAGATCCTTATTCATTATCTCCAATCCCCATCAATCCATTAGCCGCACTGCGCGCTCCGTACGGGGCGGTTGTATCGATGGTGGCTTCTCTGTAATACGCTAACGGGCGGTGGTGCCGATAAACCCGTATCACTGGTACTTCAGTACTGACTAACGAGTTCTAATTGGTGGCTTGGACCCCCTGACAAGCCAAAGACTGGAGGCACTGGAGGGAGATAGGAAGTCCTCTCCACATGAAGGTAGTATGGTCTTGGTAATTACCCGTAAGATGCTGTGATAAAGCCGCATGACAACTCAAAAAAAAAAAGAAGAAAAAAATCGAGTTGAACTTGGCATCGTACTAGTACGGTACTAGTACGTAGCGTACGGACTAGTACTAACGGAGTCGTTCCCCCCTCTTTGTTCGAGTTCCCTGACCAGCGTCATTGTTTTATTTTTCGCTTCTCCTCCTCTGCGTTCCTCCTCCTTTTCTCCTCTTCTCACTCACCTCCACATTGCTTCAACCCTTATCTTACTCGGTATATTTGTTGTGTACGGCTTCTTCCTCTTTTGCTCCCAAAAGAGTCGAAGGTCTCCTCCCCCTATCTCTTCCCCACAGATCACAATGTGTCTGTGCACGCCGCCCTTGCCTCTCGCCGCAGCACAAGGTTTCGCAGCGTCTGCCAGCTTCGTTGCACGTCGTCTAGTCGTGCGCCCACGTGGTGGTCTCGTTGGGCGGAGATGCTAGTTTCATCGCCTTCACCTTCCGCCGCCTTGCGTCCATCTCCCGCCTCTCCTCATACACACCATCCTCCTCATCCCTCTCATCTTCCTCATCCTCCTCATCCTCCTCCATCTGCTCCTCATTCTTCGCATTCCCAACCTTCCATCCCTTTCTCCTCCTCTACGGTTTCCTCCTACTCTCCCCGTCCGCGTTCTCGTCGCCCTTCGATCACGACGACCTCCATTCCTTCACATGACCAGTATGAGCCCTCCGGGCCTGTTCCTGCCGCCTCGTCCAGTCATCGTTTCGATCTCCATTCTTCCCGCGCCGCCATCGAAGAGCTGCGCTCGGCTCTAAAGCGGCACACCGTTGGTCATTTCCCTTCGGGGCCCTCAGGGGATCTGCCTCGCGGTCGGATGTCCGCCGGGCTGACCTCCTCTGGGGGCGGAAGTAGCATCACGTCTGACGCCGCCATTCCCGCCTCCCACCATCACAGTCACCATCACCCTCACCCTCACCCTAACCCTACTGCTCCTTCGCAAACGTCTGTTCCTGCAGCCGCCGCCGCTGCCGCTGCCGCTTCTTCCGCCCCTGTCCCCGTCTCCCAATCAACCGCTACGCCTCCCATGCCGGCTCCCAGCAGTGTTGGTTCAGGGTCCAACAAGCGTAATAGCCCCAATGGCCCGACCAACGATGGGACGCGGCCCGGTGCGATGGGGCATGCAGACCTGGAGGGCTCCCAGAGTAAACGGTTGCGCCCGGAGAAGCCCTCTGTGAAGCTGCTTCCGGCCCAGTACGAACTGGCCGATGCTCGAGATCTAGTGGTGTTGATCTCCAGCATGCTGATGGAACTGATCCGATTCAACGATAAGATCCCCCTTCATCAAGGTCGGCTGACCCGCTTTCACTCTCGCACCCCACCCCGCATCTCCGTTCATGACTACCTGCAACGACTCACGACCCACGCCACGCTCTCGCCCCCGATCCTGCTCAGCATGGTATACTATATCGATCGGCTCTGTGCCATGTATCCCGCCTTCACGGTTTCCAGTCTGACAATCCATCGATTCTTGATTACCAGCGCTACAGTGGCCAGCAAGGGGTTGAGCGACAGTTTCTGGACCAACAAGACCTACGCACGAGTGGGAGGTATCAGCATGACCGAGTTGGCACTGCTGGAGCTGGAATTTCTCTTCCGCGTCGAATGGCGCATTGTTCCCGAGCCGGAAGTGCTCGTGGACTATTACCAGAGCCTGGTAGAGCGCTGCGATGGGTATGCAATTCAACGAGATAGCTGAATTGTGCATGTCCCGGGTATTCTTATCTTTCAACCACTTTCCTCTTATATGGCTTGCCTTGAATTTGAGTCTCCGAGAGCAGCCCGCACAGGGGTGTAACCGCGGACGTTTCATCAGTGTCTGTACTAGTACATACATACACATACATGGGGCTTGGAGTTGATACTGTTTTTGTGCATGGATACGACGGCGATCAAGTGATTTATATCCATACCGGTTGTTTTCTTTCTCTTCCAAGTTTTTTTTTTTTTTTTTTTTTCTTTATTTTCCTGCGCTTTGCCCTTGTGTTTGTCTGAATTACAATTCTTGTACAGCCCGCATTTCCGGATTTAAGTCCAAATTCTCACACTTTCACCATGTGTGTCTACTGTAGGTAGTCAATCAAACCCCGGATACGGATTTCGAATAGAACCATACTTAAAGTGGTTGGCGCTGCATGACGTCTACGATTCATCAAGTCTGCACTAAACCGGACCGGTCAGATATAGGGCTTAGGGTACAGGGCTCAGGGTTGCGGGAGCTTCCATCCCATCCATGGAAAACCATCTTTGCGGTTCGGACCTCCATCTCCATGGGAGAGGCTCAGTCTGGCGATACCTGGCTGCTCACCCAAGCGCAAGGCATGAGTCGTCTTTATACATATAGAACTGAATCCTCACTTCCGGTCTGCTCGAAATCTCCAGGCTAAAACTGCGGTCCTCACGACAAGCTTGCACCATTCTGACTACTCTTACAATGGATGTGGAGACCATCCTGCGTGGGGTTCAACCCCTCGTGGGCGAAGTGGTTCCCATTCGGTCCGTCCAGGAGACTCGCCCAGTTGAAGAATACGGTACGTCTCGAGGGGAATCTGATCTCGCTCATTCAGCTAATGATTTGAACCAGCGGACGCCTACGTCGCTGAAGTCAACGTCAAGACCGCGTCGAAAGTCATCAAGTCCGTTTGCCCCCCCTCACCCCTGCTAGCTTCCTTTCTATCTGCCCCGATAACAAGAACAATCACTAAGCATCACAAACAGAGCCCTCGACTCCGCCTTCCCCCGCGACTCCTCCCACCCCCTGAACCACCTCCGCCGCTTCGCCAAGCACAACCAGATCCCCGAGTCACTCCGCCCCACCCTTCTCAAGGAAGGCTACCTCCCCTCGCAAACCATCTTCGTCCTCATTCCGTCGCCGCTCCCAGCTCCCGAGGCCCTCCAGACCCTCCTGGCCCCCTTCGTACCGCCGCCCCGAGAAAGCCGATCCCTCCCTACCATCCACTTCCGCGCCAGCACCCGCCGCCGCCGCCGCCGCCGCCGAAACCACCACCCCCTCCACCACCGCCCCTGCAACCAGCACCATCACCCTCCACACGATCACCGTCCCCATGCAACCGCCCTTGACCCCCACACAAGCGGAGCACTGGTCCTCCAAGATGTGGCCCGTAGTCTTCAACCCGGCCGCGCCGCGCGCGCTGATCGCCCCCCCGCCGCAGATCCTCTCGCGGGTGCGCGACGCCATCGCCCCGAAAGCCGGCCGCTACCTGGCGCTGGCGCAGGCGGTCGCCGCCGAGGCGGAGCGAAGCGGTCTCGGCCGCGGGGTGGGCGCCGTGGTCGTGGACCCGGAACTGGAACCGACAGAAGAAGAAGAAACTGAAGCAAGCAGCTGGACCGACGCGATCGTCGCCGTCGCCGGCGACGGCCGGTACTCCCGGCGGGAGGGGGGCCAGCCCGCGCCGGCGGAGATCGCGGGCGGCGGCAGCGGGCCGAGTCCGCATTGCGGGACGTACGATGCCGACTGGGAAGGGGGGCCGGAGCTGCATGCGCTGATGCGGGCGGTGGAGTTGATCTCGAGCAAGCGGCGCGAGGACAAGCCGGGGTCGCGGAGGCAGAAGATCCGACCCGTGCTGTACGGGCTCGAGGAGTATTTTCTCCAGAAGTCGGAGGTTCCGCTCCGCGGAGCGGAGACGGTGGCGGGAGCGGGAGGGGCGGATGTAGAGAGGGAGGATGCGGCTGCGCCGCCGCCGGAGAAGTATCAGAAGACCACGGAGACCGAGGCCCATGCGATCCACCTCCACCACAAGGAGGTGGAGGAACAGGGGGCAGAGGCAGGTGGGGGCGCAGGAGGTGTGGGGCCGCGGATCCGCTCCCGCGAGCAGGGCGGCTATCTCTGCAACGACCTGGATGTGTACCTGTCGCATGAGCCGTGCATCTGCTGCTGTATGGGGTTGCTTCTCTCGCGGTTCCGGGCGGTGATCTTCCCGCGCCGCGGCCGGATGGTGTCCGGCGGTCTGGCGTCGGAGCCCGTGGTCAAGCCGGTGCCCGTTGAGGCTGGGTCGGACCATCCAGTGGAGGAGGAGGCTGAGGGTGGAACGGAGGAAGCATCGACGAAGAACCGGGAGTACTACGGCCTACATTGGCGCAAGGAGCTGAACTGGCGCGCCCTGGGGTTCGAGTTCGTCGCTGCTGGGGAGTCGGAGGGTGCCAGTGCCGAGACCGGTGTCGCGTTTCATGCATAGTGTGTGGGAAAACCTAGCATAATAATATTTGTATTATATCATTGAGACGTATACTATAGACAAGGACCATGAATGGGACAATACAAGCATAGCGAATCAAGCCTATTGACTCTTGTAGGGCGCAATGCGAACCTATTCCTTGATACTCCAATCCATCAGGATTCCCCTTGAGAAACTTCTTCCGGATACTGGAATTTCCGTGGGCGTGAGGCAACCAAAAGTTCAAGATCTGATCAGGCGTGGGCATTTAGCTGTGTCGATGACTCCCATCGAAGTGATTTCATACCCATTGTCGAGTGCATATTCCACCAACCTAGGGAGCGTATCTTGTCTTAAAGTGACGAATGTAACAGCCAAAACAAGCATGACACCTATATCCGTGTTCCGCTCCAGACCCCATGTCGGAGCAGGGAGGATATCTGTTCCTCTCCATGGGGGGGGGGGCCGCTATGTGCGCTTTATTCTCCCCTGACTCATTTCAAAAGAGCGTTCTTCGGCCCCAGATGTGTGGAGTTCCGGGAGAATATAGCAAAGGCAATGCTCGAGGAGTGCGTGGGTTTGCGGTTATATTTACTATCTGGAGTCAGCGTTCAAAAGACTCTGGGAAAGGTGGTAGCGTGTGATCGATCTATCCCGGCATCGAAAAGTACGGTACGCCTGTGGAGGGCTATACCAAGAACTAACGAATCTTGCGATGCGGTTGGTTCGATTGAACAGGCTTGGAATGAAGCGCGGAGAGGATCGATCACCCCACACCACCCCACACCAATGGGTCTGGTGATGTGCAGAGACGGGTGCAGGGGATCGGGGCGGGAAGTGATCTCTGAATATGACGGTAACGAATTTGAAGAAGTTGGGGAGGGAGATAATGGTTCGCTCAGACATAGGCAATCTAGAACGAATCCTTAAGTCCCTGATCGTCGTTGATTGTGGTTGTCCTCGTTCTTGACGGACTTCTTGACATGCAGATTGCTGAGTAAATTGTTTCGCGTCAGGTAGCTGGACCATCAGAGTTCTTATTAAGTGGCTTAACGTGAAGCCAAAGTGCTTTCCCAGAGCGGAAATAAGATAATATGTATGATGTTGATGTCTTGAAGGACTGTCTAATGGCCAGTCTGGTAATCGGTCTGGTGGCCTGATCTGAATCAACGGATGGCCTCTTGTAGGTTTGCTGAGTGCATCACAAAGCTCAAGGACTTCGAAGTCTGTTTGATAGAAGAGATATGTGGATCTTTGTGGAGATGTACTGCCTTGGAAATCTCAGGTATCTGGGTTATTGGAAAAGGCTTCAAGTTCAACTAAGTGGGAGAGAGGAACATGGAACAGGACTTGTCCCAGAGTTCAAGAGGCTCGGGGCTTATAATCTGTGGCATGTCGACCAAGCTCAGAGATGGGTAATGTAGAACAATTCCTTGAATGCTTAGCTGTTTAGGGTTGTTGTTATTCACCGACTTCCGTAGTCCGTAGGTCTACTGGTGAATTGCTTTGAATCATGTAGCCGGCCTCTCAACTACACCAATAATGTGAATATGTAGAGAGTATTACGGCCCAGCTGGGCTACTCTCTGCTGGGTACTTGCAGCATAAAAGAGTATAGTTCTCACATTTGGGTATATGCTCGAGACAGTATCAACATGAGGGTCTGAGGCCCGCATACCGCCTTCCCCGGCCGTCGATTCTGATACAAGGCACATTTCTGTAGTAGTACTTTTGAAATCAGATACCAATCAATATTTGTACAGATCTATTATCGAACACGTGTATGTAAAGGTAACAATCAAACACCAGATCCTCATCAATGACACCATCCGGATCACCAAAGCCGTGAAAATCATTCCCAAATAACGCAGCCCAAGAAGACAAGATGACCACCCCCCGCCAATTAAGTAGTAAACCAAAGCTTGTAGGTATGTACAGAAACTTTCTCAGTATAGAATACAAGTGAATTAGAGACGAAGTAAAAAGAACCGTGGTATCATGTCGCACAGTCGTGGTGAACAGAGTGGTATCATAAGTGGCAGGAACAGAAGCGAAAATCAAAACAGATAGGCCAACCCCGATAATAGGTGGAAGGGCAATGTGTAAAAGAGGAAAAACAATTCATTCTTCCATCAGAGCGTCGTCGCCGGTCTCCCGCCATTCTTTGGAACGGTCAGTCAGGCGGCGGACCCCAGCCACGCGCTGTGCCCAGTGAGCTTCAGCAGGGGAGCGGAAGGTGTAGCCACGCTGCGAGGAGATCACGCCAATTCCCTGCAGAACAGCCTTGCGGGAGTCGCGCGAGAAAACAGCTGGGTGGTTGATCCACTCCAGAGCAGCCTTCAGGTCTGCGTCCAAGGCGGTCATGGTCTGCGCGTCAACCCCAGCTCCTGGCGTGATAGTTGCCGTGTCTGAAGATCCGGAGTGGCCATCGTATGAGGACGATGTGGGGGTTCCACCTCGGCTACCAGAGTCACTAGTGCCAGAGGGCTTCGCCCCAGGAGGAAGAGGAGGCAGGCTACCCTTACCAAGACCCTTCAGGATACTGCGAGTCTCAGTCAAAAGATGTTGTGCGCGATCATGCTGCCCACGCGACACGAGAATTAGTGCTCTGGTTAGCATATCGGACGTCAGTAGCTCCATGCGTCGCTGAACAATGGACGGAAGAGGTGGAATAGGGGGGCTAGAGGGACGGCCAGGCTTGGCTTTCGGGTTCGGAGGAAGCATGGTAATGGCCAGCAGCGAAGGTCGGGGAGAATGGGTGAGATGGCCGTCCCTCAGAAGGTCACCATAAGTCAGATCTGCCTGGATCAATGGGACCTCCTCCACACTGGACACACGCTGGTCATCAGTGTCCGATACACCTCCAAGTGCCTCGAGTCCAGACACTAGACTCTCCCAAGCATCTTGGGGCAGGTTTTCCTGACTCGAGTTGTCCGGGGGGATCACGAGTTGAACGAGAATATCGCGCTTGTCTCCAAAGCGGAGATCTCCAAGAGCAGCCTCCGCATCCCGCCCCGTAGCGCGTTTCGTGGTGTGAAGAGCGCCGCTGATCTTAACGAACTTGGCCGGAGACCCTTCGGGTAAACGAAGCTTGAGCTTGACATTTTGGTGCGAAGTGGTTTGTAGTGAACCCAAGCAGCCAGCCACGCACTCACGAAGCATCATCCAGTCCTTGACATAGAGGTATGAGCCTTTGGTGCGAGTTGACAGTTCGATCATCGTGTCCGGTTTGTGGGTCAAGCCGAGACCGAAGGAGTGAATGCTAATCCTGCATATGGTCAGTATGAAAGCACTTCTCAAGGTGGTATGATGGATACGAACTTGGCGGCCTCCGCGCGGGAAACAACGAAATCGACACTCTCTGGATCGGACGTGGAGGAATCGCTGATCAGAAGGATAGAGGAGACAGGGTTGGCCGACTTGCGCTGCATAAGCAAGTCCATGGCCACATTAGCACCTTCAACGACATCGGCACGAAGACTCTTCTGGCCCACCGGGCGGATAGAGTCAAGAATCTTGCTCCAACCACCCCAGTTTTTGGTAGTCATGCCGACGAGAGGCACCCCTCCACCACTCGAGCCAAAGGTTACCAACCCCATACGATCGCGGGGGCCTAGGTTCTGTACAAGAAACTTGAGAGCATCGCGGAGCAGCGTAATCTTCAGTCCTTGCATGGACGAAGAGACCGGTATCACGACCACAAGGTCAAGAGGGATGTGAAATGAGGATTGATATGGGCTCTCCATGCCGGCATTGGTATAATCGGTGATAGCCGTGTTGTTAGAGCGAGCTCCTCCGTGGGACGAATTCAGAGAAGCCTGGCGCTTGATCTGACTGGCTCGGTATTCTTCTTCCTCGGCACCAGAATTGTCCAAGTCAAAGTCGCCGTTTCGGGACATGCCATCCACTGGATGCAAATCTATGAGGGCCCGGCGCCAGATGTCAAGCTGTTTCCGGGTAGGGAAGCGAAGGTAAAAGCAAGGAAGCTCAGCCACAGACAAGTTCAAAGCCAGGACGAGGTCATCTACACCACTGTCAGTATTCACGGTCATCTAGTCCTGAAACTTCAACTCACCTGGCGAGACCTCCATGCTCTGAAGGTGCTTCTTGATCAAAATTGAACCCTTCAGTGTTGACCTCGTAGATTTCGCTTTGGCAGGCTCCTCATCCGGGTGACGACGGGGGTTGCTTTTCTTTTCCTTCACACAGATGAGCATCTCACCAAACAGATAGCATTCCAGCTCCTGCCAAGATTGACGATCCTTGCCCACGCTCATCTGGCCATGCAATCTAAGCTTGCCAAATCTTCATGTATGTCAGCTCCAGGATTTCGTTGGCAACAGGTGAAATGAACCTACCGTTGGAATTCCAATCCATGCCAATTGTCCACCTTCTTACGCAATTGCTCCGCAAGTTCGTCCAGATTCTCCTGCGGTTCGAAAGGAATCTGTCGAGGCTCTTGAACGGTAGGGAACCGCATGGCGCTCAATATCTCGTCCGGTGGTTGCGGCGTCGCGTTTTCTGTATGACGCAAGTCATCGTCGTCTGGACGCCAGCTACCCTCGGGCACTTCGACGGTGATTAGACAGGTCAGGGCCTGCTGTTGGCGGGAACGACTGAGAGTGGGGAATTCGCTGCGAATGGTCACCGTCGGTGCCGGGATTGGGTTTTTCGTGATAGGTGGACGGGGGCTGATGTCGGACTCCATGGCTTGCACGTCGTAGTCATGCCGTCTGACATTGGCCGACTGTTGCGGATCATTGTAGTCCGCGGACGACCCGGCGGCACTGCCGTTTCGTGAATGTTGTTGACGGGAGCCCTGGGTGAGACGTTCGACACGATCGCGATGGCTGCCAGTGTCTCTGCTATCTCGACGGACATACATGTCCCGACTCTCGCGGTTGGTGTTGGGGCGACTTCCTGCATCACTGGGACGACGTCCGGGAGCTGAGTTCGAATCCCATGGCGTAGGGGTCGTATAACCACTTCGTTGCGTAGCTGCGTCGCTGGTCACCGAGCGGACAATGTTGCTTAGTTTTTCTATGCGTAATCGATCAGCACATGCCAATATGACACCTAGAACGCACTTTCCACCTACCAAGATCGAGCACATTGCCTCCCCGACTAGTGTCCAAGCCTAGCGGCGCATCGCATGTAGGGCAGTACTGGCCCTCGCATTCCCGAATAAACTCATAGAAGCAGGCCTCATGTGATACGTGAGCGCAGGAGAATTGCAGAACTCGCTCTCCGCGCAGGGTATGCTCTAAGGGCTCGTCACACACGGCGCAATCACTGCCCACAAAGGTCCTCTCGCGCCGCGTCCGGCTGCGGTCCACGTCCACGGCCGCCATGGGGTTTCCTGCGCCGACAGATCCAGAGGATGAATTGAGGTTATTGTTCGGATAGCCGGAAGCACTATTCGCGTTGGACGATGCGCGGGGTCGAGTGGGGTCGGAATGGCCAGAGTAACCGCTCCCTGGACGGTCTGAACGGTGGGTGAAGGAACGAAAAGGGCGTAATGAACGAGTGTTAGAATCGGAACCGGAGGTGTCTGCAAGCGGTAGTTCGTTGATCGAGGTCAGTCCCTGAAGAGAAAAGACGTAGCCGGGGGTGATGGACCTCAGCGGTAGAGATGAGAGTAAGGAAATGGCTTAGTAGGGTAGCATAACACAGCAGAGACTCAAGGACAATGAGCGCTGTGCTCTCCCCGTGGGTTCTGGGGTGATAGCCGTCCGCTTCACAGGCAGAGAGCAGCAATGCAATGCAGGATTGAGGGGAGGTAGGAAAGAGAGAGGTGAGTGGAGAGTAACTGCAGGTGAAGGGATTGGAGGAGACAGAAATGGGTCCAAAAGAGAGACAGCAACAGGACCAGAGGCAGAGAGAGGCAGCAGGAAACAACAATATAAGATTCAAGCAGCCGAAACTTAAGACATCCTCATGACCAACGCTAGTACGAGAGCAGATAAGAAAAGCAGTCAAGACAGTGGTATAGACTTACGAAGCGGAGACTTCTTTTTCGAGCGACCAAAGAAACCACGCTCGGATCCGTGACGGGCTGGAATGTTGGTTCCAGGATTGGAATCCGATCTGGAGGGGGGCCGATGTTTCCACATGGGCCTGTTGAAACGCAAGATTGACGGGTATAAGACAGGATAAGACAGGAGAGGAGGGAACGGAAGCTGAAGGGGGCAGAGAGTTCTGGGTGCAGCTTGCGTGAAGCCCAAAAGCAAGCGAGAGTTACTGCTTAGGGGGGGCGTGTGGAAGGAGAGAAGGAACCAAGTGGGGGGGCGGAAGAAGGTCTGGTGGGGGTAAAAGCAATTCTGAAGCAGAAAAAAAAAGGGCCCCCGATGATGATGATGATGATGTTGAGGATGAGACCAGAGCCTGGAAAAGTTGGTGATCCAAAGGTTGGAAACACCAGGTTCACCTCGGAGAGGGGAAGGAAAATTATCAAGAGAGAGGGGGAAAATAGAAGAAGAGAGTGACGAAGAGAAAAGAGGAGGTGCAAGTTGGAGATATCGTGATGGTGCGAATAATTTTACGCCGGCGCCATTGATAACCCACTTCTACCGGAGAACTCAGTACGTACGGAGTAAACTGTATTGGTATAGTTGATTTCATTTTACTTTATTTGATTTTATGCCTTTTTTTTTTAATTTTCTCGTCGTCTTCTCTGCTGAGGATTCCTGGCGTCATCTTTTTTTTTTCCTCGCATGTTTCTCCAGAGGTGCCTTCTTACCACTGGAAAGGCTGCAGGTACTGCAAATGAGCCGTGGTTGCGGCCCCCGGGAAGAAATCAATTCATGGCAAAAATAAAAATAAATAAAAGTAAAAAGAATAATGAACAGGGAAAAAGCAAAGAAAGGAAACAGAGAAAAAAAGAACCGAACTAGGCTCTGAGTGGGGCAAATGGCAGCCGAGCCATGGATGTTACAGACTCCCCAAGCCCACTGCTGTGGGGCAGATCCAGGGACTTGATACCGTCCGGTTACCGTGCCAATTCCTCTTGAGTCTCCCCCCCATGAACAGAGTTTACTTCATTTATTCCTTTCTATATGGTTTGCCCCTGAAGACAAGGTCGTCCGTCGGTCTTGATTAGATTAAAGCCACACGAACCCTATAGACTCAATAATATGCAGTATGCATTGGTATAGTCCGGCACTGGCACTTTCCTGGGGTCCTCGGCAGGCAAACGGGAGACAGACGGGCATATGCGAGGTAGACTACGGAGTAGGAAGGGCATCATCATCATCGTCATCTTCTTCATCCTCCCTGAGAGACTTCAAACCCATCCCTTTCAATCTATTCCTAGAGACTACTTCATAACCTGACATGAGAGCCAACCAAGTATGCCGGTAGAGAGGCAGGTAGGCAGGGATCAGTTGATATCAGACTATCAAATTGCCTTGCTAAGGACGTGGTCATCTTCTCCCAGCCTGGATATGTCCATTCCATCTATCAGCTCCGCATCCTCGGAGATTTTCTCTGGTGCATCATTCATCAGCCCAGCCACGACCGGGCTTTTAGTATCTGCAGCTCGCCGCTATCGGGGACCGTCATGCGCCTCATCGGTCTTCTTGCTGCCTCCCCAAGGCTACCATGGAGAGATAGACCTTGGAGAAATAGTGACATGCAGAGCTGACGATGTCTATCGAATTCTGTTATAAGGATCCTCGGGTCTCCAGCCGATACTCTTGCACAATGCAGCAACGATTGACCTCAACAATGCACAGTGGGTTGTCGATCCCTGAGCGTTTTCTGTCAGGTCTCCTGGGTGACTGAGTGGGAAAGCAGCATCTCTGGCGTGATTCTCCTGAGTTCCTGAGTCGAAGTTGTCGACTAGTGTCGAAGGGTCGACCCATGGGAAAGCATGGCAGGACTGTTAGGGTGTTTAGAAGGAGGTAAGTACGTAACCCGTCGGCCAACGAGTGGTGGTGGTTGCTGCATAACAGCGGGATCCCCACCGTGGGTGAACTTCCACCCGCATGGCTAGCCTAGTTGGAAGGCTAAGGTACTGTACGAACTAAAGGTACATACACTTTTACCGTACTGTACCACACGCTAACCCTACTCTGTCTTCATCCCCTAGTCTCAACTCTCCCAACTGTTCCCTCTCTCCCCCCCTAATTGTCTGAACAGTCAAAGAGAAAAAAAAAAAAAAAAAAAAGGGGACACAGACAGACACTCAGACTCTCTCTTCCAACTTCCAAGGAGGATAAGATTAACTAACTTACTAGTTGGTTGCCTTGGTTGTTCCTCTTTGTCTGCCAGACTGACTACTGAGAGATTCTCAATCTGCACCCTGGCGGATGAATCATCCACCGGAACCCGACTGCTGGGTTCAGTCCAAAAATCCGACCATGCGGGGAATCCATCCATGGGTAATCAATCTATCGGCTCTCTCTCCACACTCGTTTTCCGACCGCAATTGAAGCGCGGCAAGCAATTGATTGCGAGGTGAACTAAGGTACGCTGATGGTCTGTAGCCCGGTACGGTCCCTCAGGGCTCAAGGAGCCAAGCATGTCGTCAATGTCTGCAATGTGGTCAAAGAACCGTTGGCATGAGACATGAGAGAAAGACCTGGTACCACCAGACTAGTTAGTGTGTAAGCAATCTGAAGGTAAGGTTTAGTGCATGGACTACAGTATTTAGTACGAGGGCATACAAGTTGTTCATTTGACTTGCTTGGACCATCGTTCGTTCGTTGGTTGGTTCGTTCGTAGGCGCAGCAATGCTTGTGCGCCTCCGCCTCCGCCCTCGTCCCCATCTTCGTCCCATGCATACCAATGCATACAGAAACGCAGACACCCTCCGTTCCTCCTGCCCTACAGCATGAGGATTCAGCCCCCAGTCAGCCGAAATCCTATAGGAATTCAAGAACGACTACAGGCTGCCATAGAACGCTGGCCAGCCCACGGATGATCGGCCCCCTTCCGGCTTTGCTGGATGATCGTCTGATCCGAACCATAGGACGGCTTTATCGGGGGTGTGTTATCGGTGCGGTAACCTTGTTGGAGGTGGAGGAGGAGAATCATGGATGCTTTTTACCTCTCCATTCCTCCAACTTGATAGATGTAAACTTTAATTCAAGGGAACAACGCACCACATTTGAACGTATGACCACACTCCAAAGCATAATCGGGTGCTTTTCGACACGAGGTAGCTGATGAATGAATGAAGCCGGTGCAAGCAGTCCCCGACCGAGACTTGACCTCCTCCTGGCGATAGCCCTTATCCGCCCTGGACGACTCCGTACCTATTCAGCACATTCTATGGACGAACAGCACAGACAATGGTACAGCCAAACCTATTTCTCCCGAGACGAGGTCATAGCCATCGGGGTCTTGCCGATGTATCACGTTGCCGTTGTGCCCAAATCTTTGCACCATTAGGGTCAACCGTGGGTCGCCAGTGGCAAAGCACGCGTGCTTGTTTAACAACGGTAGGGCCAGCGATAACTGAGCATTTAGCTTCGATGGAAGGTTGGAACGCTGTCAAGGGGTCACTTGACGGCATCGTTCATCTATTGCCAGCCTACTCCAACCGATTTCCATTATTCTTCCTCGGTCGGTTCCTTCGAGAACCAGCCGGCCGACTCGGCTTACTCTTGCTCTGCCAGATGCCGACCGCCCATCAATTCATTCAGTACTGTATCGATGATGGATCGTCTATCCCGTATCTCATCTGGAGCCCCACGATTCAGATCTCTATTCCCCCAGAACCCGGATTTCAACCATATGCACAGACGCCAGAATTCATTGAATGACTAGTCATGCACGAGCTTGGGGGGGACTGGACGGAAGTGGTCGGGGACAGTAGCCACCTCCTTTCATCTCCACTGTCAAAGGCGTTGGACTGGTCAGATGTCGCCTCGCCCAGCTCGACCACCCGACAATTGAGCGCAGTCGGAGATGCTTAACAGAAGTACGATCAACTGAAAATGACCACCTGAAGCAACGGCAGTCTCGGGCATTCCGTGCAGACTATCTCCACTCCACTTAGTTGCGAGGGAGAAACTACCGGAGCGACCATCCTTGAACAGAGTAAGTCCATTGCGCTGCCAATGTGGCCAACAACCCATAAATTACCGCTCCAAGCCAACCATGATCTCCGACAGGTTCATGTAAGCGGCCCCTGAAATTACCACCGCTGACAAAATGGCGCGGAGTGAAGCAGATATCCTTGTTCTTGAAAGGGGGGTTGAAACAATCGTGAAACTCGCCTAATAACCACTTTTTAAGAGTTAATCTCGGCCGTTCCGGGTAGCACGGCCCTGGACAATAGATGGCGATACATTCCGACTGGCAATCAGGTGTATCACGCAACAAAGTACTCGAGTGTACGAGCCAAAGATGTTTGGACTGAACACGATCGTGTTGGCAGGTCGTTGCCTCGAATGCGACCTGTCATGGACGAGGGCCGCAAGAAGGTACATAGTAATTCGGAAGTGTGGGACCGATCACACCCCCCCCCCCCCATCCGCCCGCTATGACCGACTTACAGCGCCCACTGCATCATGTAGTTACTGCAGACAGAGAGATAGATTATCTGCAGAGGGCTTGAGCATCGCAGAATAAGGCGGAATTTCCATCCGCCTATATGCTGCCCTCCGCGTTGTCGGCCAATTCACCTTCCCAGAAAGGCTGTCGAGGAACCAATAAATCGCATAGTCTGAGCCTCACGCAAGGTAACTCCATCGATCAGTGGGTTGCAACGACGATCTTCCGCAGGTCGCTATGTAGATAAGTCGCCTCGCTGCGGGATTTGAACATTGGTTCATCATGCATGCCAATCTATTGACGCGAATGTGATTCAAGGTGTCCTGTTTTGATTCTATACCTCGGTCCAGACTGACAGTGCGTATGTCCGTAGGCAGTGGAGGGCCTCGGTCACGCCCCTTTATCGATAGTACTATAATTAATTCCAGGGCATACGGTAGGTCTGTACTGTACTTTGTAGTGAGCAAAGCGATCACGACTCATACATCATTCACCGCGGAATCGCGGATAGCCTGATACTCTGAAGGTCAGACTAATTAATTTAGCAGTGAACGGGTCCTCGGAACTCCGGGGGAGGAATGCACTTCTTGGGGTAGTGCTCCGTTTCGCAGAACCATCGATCTATTCCATTTACAATGAATCCGAACTTGGAATTACCCGGTGCTTTCCCATTGAGATTTAGTTGCGATATTGGACTTAAGACCTAGACTACCATCGGATCAATGGTCATGTGTGATGTCATCGACAATCCGCATACTACGATGGTCTCCAGACCCTCAGAAGAACAATCGATGAATCCGTACCTCCCTCCTCTGTTTGGAATTCGCATGGGTATCGCATCCAGAAATCATCCTCAATTACCAGCGGCCATACCATACCGATCCATACATCCCGAGCAGGCTAATTGTGACCATGAAAGATTCACTTACCTCCGAACTAGCGAGGACTAACCGCCTAAGCAAACTTTAAACTGAAGCAATGCGATGGCGATTCCCCACCAGAGTCATGAAAGTTTTCCAGCTTCAGAACACAACAAATCGCACTCTTCTGCTTTCTTCTAGAATTCCCCCGGTCTGAAACTCCTCGCGATCTACCGAACCTTGAGACAGTAGTCGATGAACTATCGTCGGACATGGTCCAGAAGAGGCAGGTCTCCTAGCCCCGCGCATTCGAGCCGTGAGAGTCATGCACTTGGCTGCTAATCTACACCACTCTACCAGAGGTCCGACTCGACCTCGTTCTTCCCGATCAGCAACGCGATGCTGTTCGCAGCTGGAAAGAGCATGTGTGCTGCGATGTGCCGTGTCCTTATGTCTTTGTAACAAGATCTACAACTACAAAACACTTACGCACATCACTGACCCAAAATCTAGGAGGTTTTGACAAGCGCGGCCCCGAAGAGTCAGCAGGACTTATCCCTGCCCAACACGTACAACTCCTCCATTCAATTGCACTTCAGGAAATGCTCCAGAAGCTGTGCAGAATAGCTAGAACAAATTCTTCGATGACTATGCCTTGTTCGAGTGCTGATTACTATTTCCAGTTTTCGGGCCCCATGCAAGAGACCCCCCCTCTGTGACTGTCACGAACAGTATCACTGATACCAGTCTTGGGCTTATCCACCCCGCTGCCACGTTTCGAAGGGAAACAAGAAATTCAAACGTGGGCTGGATATTAATAACAACGAACTATGGAGACTTGCGGACGAGCGATGGTCCCCCCGCTGTCCTATTTACGATACGAGAACAAGCTCAGTCGAGTTTGCGCGAGTCGGTGCATAATGAAAAAAAAAAAACCCTTGAATTGTTTGGCAAAAGCCTCAATAGCAAGGAGTCGCATTAGGCTGACATGATTACCCTAGATTTCGCCCCCTTTTTGTATTGCGATCACCAACTGATCTACGACCTCAAGGGCTCTGAACACAATTACCGCATCGAGGTAAGTCTGAGGACGGTGTTCAATGTGTCCTGCGCTTCCAGATTAGGTACTGTTAAGGTGCAGCCCACCCTGAGCGATCATTCGGGATCTGCCCGAATTTCTGGCTTGTGTTCGTGCCGATGCAGTGGTTGTGGTCGCTTAAATAGCCGCATGGGGGTAAGCTGATCTGGAGCTCGAGGACCCACCAGGACGGACGATGAAGCATTCGGAGCATCAGATTTATACCTACCCGTCCCCATTCTTGACATCTTGGTGTGCGTTGCTGCCATGCGACGTCAGAAATAGCAGACAGGTGACGCAGGTGTCAAATCCCCGACCTCTACTCGTCCCAAGGGAATCGAGGTATCGATGATCGCGCGACAGGAATTAAGAGACTCACAGCTATACTAGCCCAGGTGCACAGCCAGGATGGCCTTTAGCATCACTACCTATCATCTTGCAACGCTCGAAGGAACAATACCCTTGTCTCAACTTCCGATTAACGTACAAGCAAACAATCTATCTGTTGGGACTCGGACGCATGTCAGCATAGTCCAACGTGCCCGCCATGCACGCCATTGCTGACCTGCCCAGCTTGCCGCTTACGGTTTCGCGTGGCGCTCCCAGCTAGACTTCAATGGGAGATGAAGAATCAGAAAAAGCAAGCATCTCATTCCACGGTCTTGTTGAGCCTATGCTCAATGAGTGACAGTTGCACCGCCACGCCCCAATATTATTTTGTGGTATGGATGTCGCAGTGAGATTCTGGCTCCTTACTTTTTCCCATGCTCCCGTCACTGGGGCCAAAATGTCAAGGCGGGATCTGCCTCGACGATGCTACCAAAGGATAGAGTCGGAGGAAGTTGGAGCATGGACAAGGCTTTTTTTTTTTGGTTTCGTAAATAGGCATGCCTTGTCATTCGAGTATACGGTCGAAGACGACTGGGATCATGCTGGCAAGGATACGATGCTCAGCAGCCACCCAACAGACAGCATGTATTTTGCAGTGCGTCTGGGGTAGCTATACTTCTTATCTTGCGAACGGTGGCACAGATAAAGTCTAAATCACTGACCACTTGAGCAGCCAGAGGTAATGTACTTGGATGGGGATAATGGTGCTCTGTAGTCCTAAGCATCAGATCGTGTCTCCGGGGGTAAAATTTATATATCGAGGCTAAGGCACTGAATCACGAGCCGTGGATCTGGTGATAGCTCCTGAGCCATTACCACAGACCTCCTTTGACTTCAACTCATCATTCCTTATAACTTATCATCACTTGGAGACGGTCACATAACTTCGACTCTGCCAGACTAAGCTAAGTCACTTTAGCTTCAACGTTTAACCGCACTCAACGGAGGAGCTCGGGGCTAACATAGTCCGAAGCTGCCAAGGCTCCGGCGGTGACGGCCGGAGTGATGGGAGTTGACCGCGACAAGTCAAGGGCAGGGGTGACGGAGGGCATGACTGAGGAGGTCCTAGGATTCTGGTAGAACATGACTCCTGAAGTATCTACAATAGAGTTAATGTCAATAGAGAAAGAAAGTACTCCGTAGTTGAAGTACAACTACTGCCTCAACACTCGACAATCATTCGCCCGAGTCACTCGGGGGCGGTTTGCTCGGTTTGCAACGGCTACACCGGACGGCCTCTAAGGGATGCTTATCTAAGCCCAGCCTGCCGAATTCCGCCTAGTCGCAGGGGAAAGTTTGTTCCCAACATATCCGGGTTGTTGAAAGATAACAGCAGCACTTGCTCTCCCTCTGTTCACCTTCATCAGCATCTCGCTGTCCTCCGCTGCCTCTCATCCATCATGTTGTTCCGTGCTGCGGCCCGTCAAGCCGCCCCCTTGAGGCGTCAGGCCTTTGCCCCCGTTGCCCGTCGCTCCGTCACCACCGACGCTGCCTCGGCGCATGCTGAGAACGTCCCTCAGGTAAGACGCGCCTCCTCCCAGTCCACCGATGGGACTTTTCCTCAATGCTTCGTCCCCAATTTCGATGCTTGCATCCAGCTAACAGTCCCTGTAGGAGGATGACAAGCCCTTCACCGTCCGTCTCTCCGACGAGAGCTTCGAGACCTACGAGATCGATCCCCCTCCCTACACGCTGGAGATCACCAAGAAGGAGCTGAAGCAGATGTACTACGACATGGTTGCCATGAGGTATGCTGCTACTGGTGTCCTATCCCGCATCAATCCCCCTATTAACAAGATTGGCACAGACGCATGGAAATGGCCGCCGACCGCCTGTACAAGGAGAAGAAGATCAGAGGTTTCTGCCACTTGTCCACCGGTCAGGAAGCCGTCGCCACCGGTATCGAGCACGCGATCTCCCGCGACGACAAGATCATCACCGCCTACCGGTGCCACGGTTTCGCCATGATGCGCGGCGGCACCGTCCGCTCCATCATCGGCGAGCTGCTCGGTCGCCGCGAGGGTATCGCCTACGGCAAGGGTGGTTCCATGCACATGTTCGCCCCCAACTTCTACGGCGGTAACGGTATCGTCGGTGCCCAGGTCCCCGTCGGTGCCGGTCTGGCGTTCGCCCAGCAGTACAACAACCAGAAGGCCACCAGCATCATCCTGTACGGTGACGGTGCCTCCAACCAGGGTCAGGTCTTCGAGGCCTTCAACATGGCCAAGTTGTGGAACTTGCCCGCCCTGTTCGGTTGTGAGAGTACGTTTTGCCTTCACCACACCCCCAAACATCAACGCAGACGTTCCTTGAGTCACAGTACTAACCACCCGCCTCTAGACAACAAGTACGGCATGGGTACCTCGGCCGCCCGCTCCTCCGCCCTGACCGAGTACTACAAGCGCGGTCAGTACATCCCCGGTATCAAGGTCAACGGCATGGACGTGCTGGCCACCAAGGCCGCCGTCAAGTACGGTAAGGACTACGCCACCTCGGGCAACGGACCCCTCGTCTTCGAGTACGTCACCTACCGCTACGGTGGCCACTCCATGTCCGACCCCGGCACCACCTACCGCAGCCGCGAGGAGATCCAGCGCATGCGCAGCACCCACGACCCCATCGCCGGCCTCAAGCAGAAGATCCTCGACTGGAGCGTCTGCACCGAGGAGGAGCTCAAGGCCCTCGACAAGGCCGCCCGCACCCACGTCGACTCCGAGGTCGCCATCGCCGAGAAGATGCCCGTCCCCGAGAGCAACTCCCGCATCCTCTTCGAGGATATCTACGTCCGTGGCAGCGAGCCCCGCTGGATGAGAGGCCGCACTGTCGACGAGACTTTCTACTACTAGAAAGTTCCTCTTTTTTTTTTACCTCCGTCTTCAGTAAGCCAGTCAAGCCATTGGTCGGTTGTAGGCAAAAGAAAAACCGAGGGAGGAGGACAGAAAGTTTAGGGAAGAGAGACAAGAGATGTCCGCTGGTGATGAAAGAAAGACTCCAAGGATGATGATGGTGTTAGCGTGATGGGGGAACGACCCAGAGGGGAGAAGAACAAGATCGGCCTTCCCGCTACGATTCTTGTTTTCTTTCTGACACAACGCATCTATAAAACCCTCCCACACAATCTCACTCATACACAAAGCTCTCATGGAACGGTTGTTATCAAACTATGTAATTTAGCCGGGAATTATCATTATTTTTTTATCGTTGTTTTTTTTTTTGACTTCGTTCGTGCCTCGTGGGGGGAGGATCCTGCGTGCTATACTATACCTACCATGTTCTAGGTTTTGGAAGGGCAATATAGACTGCGATGTTCGTACTTCTATCTTGGTTGGCGAGGCTCATGACGAGATGTAGGACTTCGGAGTGGATGGTTCTTTTGTGAACCCTCCAGCGGAATTAAATATGTATTTCAGGTATCTTGAAGGGTAATAAAAGTGTGTATAGGCGGAAAGGGGGAAGATGTAAGGAAACTGTTGAAGTAGCAAAAAGGCTGGCCGAGCAAACCAAACAGACAACACTGCTCTAGACCAGTGGGTATCATATGCAAACATAACGCGATAAAGGAGAAGACAAAACGAAGAGGATATAGGGTATGAACATGAAGTCAATGGGGGAAGACAAACTGGAGAGAAAGCAAAAGAAAAGCACGTCAAGACGGCTCCTGTCTCAACATCTCCAGGATCATCTCCTGCGTCCGTTGCACCGAGTCCAGCTTCTCCTCGAGACTCGCGCGGTCCTTGGCCAGCTCGGACCGCATCTCCTCGCGCATCTCCTCGCGGAGTTCGGCTTTGAGCGTGGCGATGAGGTGAGTAGGGATCGGAAGGGAGGAGGCTTGGGACATCTTCGGGGCTTGGGTGGGCGAGGATGGGTCGTCGGGGTCCGAGCTGGTGTCGGATTGCGACTGGGATAGCTGTTGTGGTTGCTGCTGCGTCGTGGTGGTGGTGACAGCGCGTGAGCGGCTGTCAGTGGTTTTATTGCTTTTGGAAGAGGTTGGAGTGGTGCTGGAATTGGCAGCGTCGAGGTGCCGGTTGAGTTTGCCCAATGTCTCGAGAACGGCACTCATCATTGATGACGACTCTGCGTTACCCGCCTCGCCTCCTGAAGAGGCGCTGTTCAGTTGTTGTAGAGCGAGGGACCCGTCCAGAGACGGTCGGCCTAGCATAGTCGCTGGGACTGGAGTCGGGGTGTGGTACTGGGACTGCGGCTGACTGGCGAACATATTATCGAACCCGGGGGGTAGACGGACCTTGGTGTGTTGGGGGGTGGAGGCGGGCGGCGTTGAGAGCGCTTGCTGCGACGGTGTTGGAAGCTGCGCAGCAGCACCACCAACGTTCACCAGCGGACTTCCACTGCCACTCACGCTCCCCATCGCTCTCCAAGCCCCCAAGCCAGGACTGACCCCGTCATTGTTGCCGTTAACCCACACTTCCCACTCTCTGTCCTTTCTCTTCCTCGGCCTCCTCGAGTCCCTCTTCTCGATCCGCCTCGCCTCAGCCTCCTCCCACCTCTGCCACGTGGGAATCCACGCATCCACAGCAGCCCTCCATCTGAGATTCGACCGATCATCGCTCTCACTGCCCCCTCTCTCGCGCTGCTCGTCCAGAAACTTCATTCGTTGCTTGGTCACTAGTTCCACCTTGCGTCGGACCGAGTGCCACGAGTACGGATGACCCTGGTCGCGCGTGAATTCCTCCGTGACCGTCATCCACCACTTGCACAGGTTACTGCGCTGACCAAACTCGTGAGCATGGCGGTTGCAGATATCGAACAGCGAGACTTCCTCAAGGGTGGTCAGGCGCTTCCCGTGTTTGCGGGGACCTTCACGGTCGCCGGTGAGGTTTAGGCAGTTGTCAGCACTGTCGTTGCCTGCGGCGGCAGCATCGAGGTCGAGGTCATCGCGATCGTCAATGAGTATGGTAGTAGTTGTAGTGCCAGGTCGGGTTGTTGTCGCATCCCCGTTGGGGATGAGTCCGTCTCGGTTACTAATGGAAGGAGCAGTGGTAGTGGTGCTGTTGGCGTTTCCGCTATTTCCGCCACCTACAGGGTGATGGCCATGGCGACGTTGTTGCGGCTGTTGCTGCTGCTGCTGCTGCTGCTGCTGCTGCTGCTGCTGCTGCTGCTGGGCGCGAGCATGGGAATGCGCACGCGCGATTTTGTTCGCGCCCATCCCATCGGAAGAAACGTAGTCCTGGTCTCCCAACGCGTCCGCGGCGGTGATCCGTCGTACGCTGCAATCAGAGGTATCGAAATCACTCTCTTCGCTCGATATGGAGACGGCTTGCTGTTGCTGTTGCTGTTGCTGCTGTTTTTGCTGTCGCTGTTTTTGTTGTTGCTGTTGTTGCTGTTGTTGCTGTTGTTGCTGTTGTTGCTGTTGCTGTTGACGTGCATCAATGACCATGGGAACAGGCTGCTGTTGTTGTTTTTGTTGAGAGTGCCGAGGAAGTGAGTGGGGGTGCGAGTGGTGCTGGTGCTGGTGCTGTGTATCAAGTGCAGTAGACTGCGACGTCGGCTGTTGTCGTATGCGCAGATTCGTGGATAAATTAGGGAGCGTTGCATGCTGTGGGTTGGCTCGCGCAGAAATCATCGAGGGAAGCCATGGCATTTGGGGCATCTGAAGGGCCGAGGCAGAGGTACTCGGGGGAGCAGCAGTGGGTGTAATGGTGGTCGCGACCGAGTCAATGCGCGGATTTGAGGCGGCGGCGGCGGCGGCGGCTGGGGCGGCGGCGTTTGCGGTGTGATGGGGAAGGTGTGGGAGGTGTTGGTGTTGGTGTTGGTGTCGGTGCTGCTGCTGCTGCTGCTGCTGCTGAGGATGAGGTTGAGGATGTGTACGATGACCAGTACTGGCAGTGGCAGTTGAACCATGCCAGGGATACATGGACATGGTTTTCAGGGAGCGTTTCAAGTCTCCCAAAAGTGTTGAGAGGAGCAGAAAGAAGGCAAGAGGGAGAGGAAGAGGGAGAGAGAGGGAGCGAGAGAGAGAGTGTGGGAGTGGGCGTGATGGTGAACCGTGGACAGCAACTGCGGCGGGCGGAGAACTTTAAGCTAATAGTCTACTAAGTAATAATGGAGGGGAGGGATGAATGCGTCAGTCACTCTCTCAATATTTACAACAACAATAATCATAATAATGCCATTATTGATAGAGTCGCCAAGCCCAAATCAATAAACCCTTGGTCTCGTTACGCCCCTCTGAAAAATTCGACCCAAATGTCTGCAATTTTAAGTCATTTCAGCCGGATGGGTTGGTCTAGAGCCCCGCGGTGGAGGTGGTGATTGATTTATCATTTATCGTACTCGGTATTTTTCAGGGGCTGCGCTGTTCAAGGTTGGTTGGTGTCTTACTTACTACTCATACATAAGTTACTACCTCATAGTTCGGAGTGATGGTCAGACAGCGTCTCGCTTGCATCAAACATCATACAGGCACAAGCGATTCGCGATGTGTTCAACAGAATAGAATAGAGAATAAATCCTCAGGAGTATATTCGTATTGATGATGTACAGTACAGTGGGATCCTCTAGCTCCGAATACCCTGGCTACTTCATTGACTTTTGCCCTCTCCCCCTGGTGATCGAGGGGAAACAACAAATCATAAAAAAAGAAAAAGAAAAAGAAAAAGAAAAAGAAAAAGGAATACACTGTAGATAAGCACCCAAGATGCAGGTACACCAAGAAAAAGGACCAAACCAACACATCGAATAATCAGACACCCAGTAATACATGAAGACTGTGGAACAGGCCCGCAGAACGGAGAAACAGAGAAGAGAGAAGAGAAAATACAGATGATTGAATTAAAACCCACGTGAAATGCACCTACCGCCGTCTCAGGTACCACACAAATGCCGGGGTGTTGATTTTCTCGCCAAATGGCGTCGGCACCTCAGCGAAGCCAGGACGAGCCACGGGGTGTCGCAAATACACAGCAGCGCAGATGTTGTGATTGACCTCCAAGTAACGGGGGATCGTGGCGAACGCACTCATGTAGTCACGCGGCCTCCAGGGGGTGGCATAGGGCTTGGTGCTATCGACCGGGTTGTCGCGCATCTGGACGAGCGCCCGGCGCAGCACCTCGAACTCGTCGTCCGAGAGTTCCGATGTGTCCACATCTTTCTCCGGGTTCTGGATGGCCTGACGGAACGCCTCAGACAGCTTGGTAGTGATGGGGCCGTTCTCGCCCGCCTTCGGGGTAGCATCCTTGGACTCGGACTTCTCGGTAGCAGACTCCTCCGTCTTTTCTGCCTTCTGCTTCTCCTCCCCACCCTCCTTCTTCTCGGTCTCCTCCTTCGCCTTAACAGGCTTCTTCTCGGCGCGCTTGGCCTTGAGCAGAGTCGTCAGCTCGGAGAATTGCTCCTCGAGGTTGGCAGTCAGAACCGTGCTGTTTCCAGAACGCGACAATACCCGACGAACGGCTTTCTGGAATCCACGCAGATCTTGCTTGCGCTTTGCCGGGAGCACATCCTTGCTGCTATTCATGATGGCCTTAGCCTGAGCCATGAGCGCCTTGAGGGTCTCGCGGGGGGCTTCAACTGGCGTCGGTTCCTCCTTGGTAGCCTCCTCCGGAGTTGAGGCCTCCTCCGCGGCAGCCTCCTCCGCAGCCTCCTCGGCCTTCTTGGCCTCCTCAGCCGCCTTCTTGCGGGCCACTCGGGTTTGTCGTCGTTCCACCTTGTCTTTAGGCGCACCAGTGGCATACATGACGCGCTCGGGTTCAACCTGGAACATGTCGCCGGGGTTGAGCAGGTAGCCGGGGTATCTCATCTAGCATTGCGAGCCTGATTAGTAGTCGTCCAACCGCGATTATCGGATCAGGTTGAATAGAGCTTCTCCGGATTACAAGAAAAGAGCATGACGAAGGAACCTACCGGCTTGCCATTGACCTTGACGGCGCCGTGCACCACAAACTGCCGGGCCTGTCTGGCGCTGCTCGCAAACATGGCACGGAAGATAGCCGTGTCGAGCCGACGCTCCAACGGGGCGAAGGTCATTTGAACGTAAGGCGTTTTTCTATCCGCCTCAAACCCAGTCAGCTTAGACCGGGCAGCCTCCTCCTCCTCATCGAACTCCCCAAACGCAGGCTGCTCTTCCGGTTTGGGGGCCTTCGTCAGACCGGAACCGCGGCCGGCCGACATGGCGGAACCGTCATCTCTGGCCAGGTTGCTGGGGGCCATGGGCACGACGCTGCGCAAGCGGGGGGAGAACATGCGTGACCATTGCTTTTCGGAGACCTGTTCGCCGTGGTAGGCACGGGCCGCGGCCTTGGACTTCCATTTCTGCTGGAAGAAGGTGGCGCTGGGGCGGTAGCTGTCCCTCAGCCGACTGAGGTTGTACAGGTTATATTTGCTCCATGATTGCCGGATTTTCTGGAACGGGGAAGAAGATATTAGAGCAGGACTAGGGAGAGAGGGGGAATATCAATTGAAGGGCATACCGGTTGCTTCAAGGGTGTAGTAGCCCTGTTCCTCATGTTGGCGGCGGAGCTTTGGGGGAGGGGGGAGGGGGAGGGTGTGGTGTGTGTTGCTGCTCCGACTCTGCTGCTGCTGCTGCTGCTGCTGTCTTTCTCTCCCGGAACTATCGCCGGCGGCCAAAACTTCGCTGCCGCGAGAGCACGTGATTGAGAAAGCACATGATCTGGGGGTTCGTTGCTTTATGGCCTGAGCGCTAAGGCAGACATAGCCTCCCGGCTGAGAACAGTCCTGATTGGCCAGATGGAAGCTCGCTTGCGACTAGCGCGGACTCACCGCCCGGTCGACGGGTATAAAATCTGCCTTCCCCCGTCACCCTTTTGGACTTTTTTCTTCTTTCTTTTCTTCATACTTACCTTGTTTGGGTGGCTGCGATCAAGAAGGCGGTCCACCACGGATTGGTCCCTGCATTGCACAGCGCGGCGGAACAATCCGTTCAACGGCCTTCGGGTCATTGACAGGCGTATTCTTTGGCACTTTTCCTTCGGGATATCTTTCTTTTCATCATCGCTTCGCCTTGTGCGGGGTCATGGAGAAGAGATCTTCACATAATTAAGCTAGATAGATCTACATGTAAACAGACAGTAACCCGCATCTATCTTCCAATGCTCTACGTCCAATCTCTCCGCTCTATAGCCGGGCTGTCTATCTAAGCAGACTTCGGTGATTGATACGCGTGCTGTGTGTATAATATCCTTTGACATGCAGTTCTCATTAGTCGTTACACATTACGCTTCGAACTCGGCCTCAGACATCGCATCACTCTCCATCCCGATTGGCATTGGGAAACGCCTCCAGCAGCGCCTCTGCTTCCTGCGGGTTGACCGCATCATCGAGGATATCATGTGCCATCTCCACCGTGTCATCCGTTATCCCCGCTTCCAGTACTAATCCTTCACTGAACGCCAGCCGGGTGAAGACAACCAGGAACTTCTGTTTCCCGCCCGCCACGCGACACAACTTGGCCTGCAGGTCCACCTGCTCATGGTGGCGCTGGATCACCCCGTACACAAGCCTCATCAACCCATTGATCATGGACGCGTGGAGATCCTTTTCGGGCGGTAGGGTATATAACGCGTGCACCTCATCGTGCATGGCCCGGATCAGTCGTGCGAGCACAGTGGGATGAGACGCCAGAATCAAGCTGCCGTGTGTGCTCTCCGGCGCCTGAGAATTGAACGCCACCGAGGTGAGGAAGGACAAAGCCTCCCGCCGCATATCGCAGATCTCATATGGTAGATACGGATCTTGCCCTTCATCCAGCTGCGGAGTCTCGCTTAGCAGGTTCGCAACGCGGTCAACGATGTAGTTCTCGTTGGCGATTTGGTCCTGCTCGGTACTTTGGATGGATCCGAACGAGCCTTCTCGGATGCTCGTCGACAGCAGGCTAAGCATCAAGCTGATGTCTCTTAGCGGCTGCGAGCAGTTTAACATCATCAAAACAAAGTCGTATCGCATGCAGCGCCAAAACATCGTCATCTCCCGCTCCACATGCATGCGTCGACAGGCCAGTTGGAATAGAAGACTCAACGCTTCGGTCGAATCTACTAATGGTTCCAACTGCGACAACGGGGTTTTCCGTACCTGGCCCAAGTTTTGTCGAGAAACAGGAGAATGTTTGAAGCGGGGAACACCGTTGACATCCCCGGACTCCTGTAGGATGGGTATCAAGTGCTCAATTAGGTCCGGATCATACGATGGCAAATCGATCGAGATCAGGAATCCCATGATTGACATAAACATGGGGATGGGCAGATAATACTTCTCGCTCAATGCCCGACCCCACAATGAGATGATGGCCCGCCCATACTCCACCATATAGTTGCCAAAGTCAAGCTTGGCCGTCTCACCCAGTAGGATCGTAGATAACATCTGCTGGGGATCGGAGGGAAAGGCCAGCCCGGCCATGACTTCAATGTCAGGCTTTCCATCCACAACTGTGCGGTGATTCAAGATACGCTTCACGATGCTGCTGTCGTAGCTCCTGACAAAAGGAACACCTTGTTGGGGAAGGACATCCACCATTGCATCATCGGACAAGTCCTCCGGTGCTTCGTCCGGCAGGGGCTCTGCCTGCGGACTCAATTGCAATGGCGTGGGACTGTCCTGACTGAGCTTCCTCTTTCTCTTTCCAGGCACAGTTGGTGTAGTGCGCTTCGACTTCGCCGACTTGGTAGGCGAGATAGCGAGGATCTCATCATCGTCAAATCCGTCTCGGAAAGGCAGGACCCTGGTTTTCTTGGGAGTCACCGGCGGCGCTTTTTCCTCCGTCCGAGGCTTTGCCTTCAGTTGGTTGACGCGCATCGCTTCCTCAGCCAAATCCTGTTTGAGGAAGGCGTTCTCCGTGGCGAGCATCTTGCCCTCTGCACGCGCAGCCTCAACCTCTTCTCTGTGCCTGGCGGCCTGCTCGGCCATGGCCCTGCGCAGTGCCGTCATCTGTCGATCATAGTCCTGAGTGACCTTGGCCTGGTTGGCGCGAATGATGGCAATCTCGCCGGTTTTCGCTTCCGCGATCGATTTGGCTGCCGTCAGCTCTTCTAGTAACTGCTTGTAACGTTCATTCTCCATCGCCAGCTATTTCAACGATTAGTTCTGTAGGCGTGCAGTCTCCAATCACCTCTCCCTAGCATTACCTTCTCGCTCAGTTCCGCATGAGTCCTGTGCAGCTCAGCGTATTGAGAGGACCCTCCTACCCCTTCAATCTCCATGGGATCGGGCAGGTATCCATACTCGTCCTCCGCCTCGGCTCGTAGGTTACCATGCTCGACGTGAGGCTGCGTTTCGTTGTGATGGGCAGGTGTAGCAAAGAGAGAGGCTTGCTGGAGCGCATCGTCCGGTTGGATGGCGACGCCATTGTCCAGGACCTCCGCGTCGAGCTCGCCTATGTCCCAGTCGTCATAATCATTGGTCAAGCCGGAATGTAAACGCGGAGGAGGCTGTAACGTCGCGTTGGAAGGCTTGAGATTATCTCCGGAGATAGCTTGATGATCGGAGCGGACATAAGGGCGAGTCGAGACCGTCAACTCCGGCAGGGGCTGTTGTGGTTGTTGTTGGGTAGCTGGAGCTTGAGTGGCGCGGTATGCATTTTGTTCGAGTTGGTAGAGGGTGCCCGGTGGCAGGTCGTCGAATCCATCGTCGGAGAAGAATTCATCATCGTTTTCTTCCATGCCCAGCGATGGACGATCGCCATGAGATGCACGTCCTGGTTGTAAGAAGGTAGGTAGGTAGGTTAGTAGATGTGTTGAGTGTATGTTGGACGATCAGTTAACGAATAGAGAGACGATGAATGCGGGAGGGAAAGAAAAAAAAAAGGTAACAGTTCATTTACTAGCAGTTAGGTTAGTAAGTGCCGTACTGTACATACAGTAAGTGATTGACTGACGTCGACGGGGTTTAGGCGCGTAATCGTAATCAAGAATTCCCGCCGGCTCCCTCCTTCTCCCTCTCTCCCTCAACCTTTCTCCTCCTCCTCCTCCTCCTCCTCCACCTTTTCCCATCTCCACCTCTTCTGATACAAAAAACCTTCCCTGCTTTCGCCTCGACTTTTTGTCTTGTCGACACTTTTGTGGAACGGTCAGTCACCCTAGGTGATCTCTCAGGCTTGCAGTCATATCAGACCAAAAGCCACCTTGATCGTAATTGCTCGAGGTTCACGCCTACTTGTTGTCTTCATTCCTCGGTCGCCAGTTCACATGAATTTTTCTTAAGCACGACGATCATTGCTGCTTCACCCTTTTTTTTTTTGTGCTCTGGCATCTCTGCTACCCTATCCCCCTTTTCTCTTCTGATCAGTTCCACCCTTACTTTGTTCGGCCCCTTCCGAACCTTTTTCTCAGCTCCCAAGCTCTCGCCAGCTTCTCCTTCCGGCCCCGCGCGCTCCTCAACCCAAGCAGCCGCTCTGTTCCGGTTTCCCCTCGTCTGTACATACATACTCTTCCACCATGTCCAAGACTCGTCGGAACGTCAGATTTCCACACAGGATGTCGAATGCCTCGGAAGGTCGTCGGTCCAGCATCTCGGAAGCCAGTGACATCTTGTCTGACCCGGGAAGTCCGTCCAAAGACGGCACTGTCGCGAAGCCGGCCACAATTCCGGAAGAGGTGAGCAGCGCACCACCACCATCTGCACAACCCAACAGACATGCTAACCACGCGCAATTAGAAATCCGAAAAATCCCAATTATCCGACTATGAAAAGAAGAAGCAGACCTTCATTACGCGCACGATATGGACCTTTGTCATGATCTTCGGCTTCTTCGTCGTCCTGTTCTCCGGTCACATTTACATCCTCGGTATCGTCACCGCCGTTCAGATCGTTTCGTTCAAAGAAGTCATTGCGATCGCCAACGTGCCCAGTAAAGAGAAGAACCTTCGCTTCACAAAGTCGCTGAACTGGTATTTTCTGGCGACTACGATGTACTTCTTGTATGGGGAGAGCGTCATCTATTATTTCAAGCATATCCTATTGGTCGACAAGGTCTTGCTCCCTCTGGCGAATCACCACCGCTTCATCAGCTTTATGCTTTATGTCATGGGTAAGTTTAAGTTCTGTATCCCAACATTGTCTTTACTGATTGGCTAGGTTTCGTTTTCTTCGTCGCATCCTTGAAAAAGGGACACTATCGGTTCCAGTTCACTCAGTTTGCCTGGACACATATGGCCTTGTACCTCATTGTTGTTCAAGCCCACTTCGTCATGAATAATGTTCTGGAGGGAATGATCTGGTTCTTCCTCCCCGCCTCTTTGGTCATTGTCAACGACATCTTCGCTTATGTCTGCGGTATCACGTTTGGTCGGACCCAGCTAATCCAGCTGTCGCCCAAGAAGACCGTTGAAGGCTTCATTGGCGCATGGATTTGCACCATCATCTTCGGTTTCTTCATCACCAACATTCTCATGCGCTACAAGTACTTCATCTGCCCGGTCAACGATCTCGGATCGAACGTGTTGACTGGCCTCGAGTGCACCCCCAACCCGGTCTTTGTTCCTGAGCCGTATTCGTTTCCAGAGTGGACCGGTGTCGAGAAGACTTTCTACATTGAGCCTATGCAGTTCCACCTCATGGTTTTTGCGACCTTCGCTTCTCTCATTGCCCCGTTCGGCGGTTTCTTCGCCTCTGGGCTGAAGCGGACCTTCAAGATCAAGGACTTTGGCGAATCGATTCCCGGCCACGGCGGCATCACCGATCGGATGGATTGCCAGTTCATCATGGGATTCTTCTCCTACATGTACTATCACAGCTTTATTGCCGTCTACAAGGCCAGTGTTGGGGACATCATCGAGGCCGCCATCACCGGCCTCACTGTCGAGGAGCAGCTAGAGGTTGTTCGTGGCCTTGGCAAGTATCTGTACAACCAAGGAACTGTTTCTGAAACGGTATGTTATGCGCAAAATACTTTGAATACCAGTGTGTTAATATGTTTGCAGATCTTGGAGTGCCTGAACACTGAGCTCAAGCGCCGCTAGAGCGGCACAATTCTATGATGACCTATTCTTGTTCCGAGACCTTTCTCCGTGATGAAGTCCTCCTTTCTTCTTCTTTCCTTCCGACGTCTCGGAGGGTTAACCCTCCTACAGCTCACGATCAAAATATGCTTTTTATAATCTACTCTTTTTTTCTCATCCTCCCGAGCGCAACCGTCTGACGGACTCACTTGGACCGGAATCGCTAGGCTCGTCTACAAAATCCGGGCTCTCTTTGACATGTGCATATGCCTCTCGCTCTCGCAGCATCACCATACCATCAGAAAGCCCCGGGACATCTGGGCGAATGAGAAGGACACGATGAGATGAATCGACCGGAAGCGAGGGAAGGAGGGGTATCTCCCTACGTGACGTGACGGACGATTTGTCGTCTAGCACCTCACCATAATATGGGTGGGCTTTTTCGTTCTTTTATCTTCCAATCCCCTTCTTCTGAGTCGTGGCGACAACGGGATAGAGCATGTCTCAGTAGGTAGACGTCTTTCTATATTGTAAAAATGTGGATATATAGCAACATTTTGCTGGGTACGTCTGTTCTTGGGCTATAATTGTGGTTAACTATGGCTTCCACATCTGATTACTGAGTCATGTTTTCTGTATGATGAGGAACAAAATGGTCGTGCCTTCGTTGCTTTGCAACATAATATCCGGACTTTTGGAAGAGAAACATGAGGGTAATTCAGGTATATACAACATGCCATACGAAACAATCTTCTTTCTTTCTCTTTTGTCTATCATAATGATCGGTGGTGAGGTTCTTGTGGTGTATGCCGCGCCTGGGGCAACTGCAGTATGAGCGCGGTCCGGCCGGGTTGGTTTCTGCTGTCATGCCTTCGCCTTCACTCCCACCTGGCCAACTTGCTGTAATTCCTCCGCTGGCCCCATCGACACTTAAGGGCTCTCGGCTGCTTGGATTGCGACGACTCATGGGATGACGCAGACCCGGTTCTTCGTCCTCTCATGATCGGGGGCGTTGCGTGGCCCAAGCCGCCCCATACCTGATCTGTGTATGGGAGATATGAGTAGGAGCATGGGCTCTTAAAGCGTAGTGCATGGTAGGGTTCCAGCGCATTCACCCAGGGATGATCGAATGCATCACTGGATGACGGATGGCGTGCCCGATGGCATGAACAGCATGGGCAATCAGGAGCCCTGAGCAGCAGCGGTAGCATCCAGCCGCAGACTCCCATCTTCCCGCCTATCCCAGCTGATGCGGATCTCTCCTCCACCCACCTATCACCCATACACCCCCTCCCCGCCATCCATATCAACAGCCCATCCGTCATCCAGAGATCCAAAATAAAACCAACCCACCCAAAAAAGAATCTTACATCAAGAGTCCAGAATAAAGTCCGGGGCTGTTTCACTCCTCAACTTCATACTCCTCGACCTCGACCCGGAAATACTCTTCCACGCGGGCCCTCTCCCCCTCCGCGCGGTCGGGCTCCAACATGAACCGCACGGCGTTCTTTTCGCCGGCGCGGGGGCGGTCCCCGTTCGCGGCGACCGGGGTCAGCGGATGGGCGGGTTTGTCTGCGGCGCTGCCGTTGTTGTTGTTGTTGTTGGCGGCGCTGCCGTTGTGGCTGCTACTGGGGTGGTTACCACCGCTTGTGCCATTTGTGTAGGCCTTGCTGCCCTTGGGACCGCGTGGCGGCGCTCTCGGCTTCGCGTCGACCCAGTGCGTGTACCGGGGGAGTTTCTTCTCCTCCGCCTCGGAGTTGAGCGGGATGCGGACGGTCAGGAAGCGGTCCGCGGGGAAGTGCGGGCCCACGGTGGAGGAGGCGCGGTTGTGGGTGTAGAGTTCTAGGACGTCGAGGAGGGTTTCTACGGTTTTGGGTTAGTTGTATGGTTTCCAACAGGAAGTCCAGGTCATCCTCTGAGTTCGGATCAGAATGGAGGGAGAAGGGGAAACCACGAACCCATAACCTCCTCCCGGCTCGTCTGCCAATCCTCGTAGTCCACCCCCTGCTCGACTTCCGGGATACGCTGGTCCAGCAGCCGGCCCGCCAGCTCCAGGGCGCTGAATGCCATGGTCGAGGTGGTCTGCTTGATGGGCGCGTAGGTCCGATACAGATCCTGCGTGATGCGGTAGGCGACGGTCGAGACCTCGGACTGCGAGGTCAGCCCGTACTTGCGCGCCAGCTTGACGAGCGTCTTCTGCGGGTGACGCGTGCGGAAGTCGAAGCCGGAGGATTCGAGCATCAGGCGCTCGAGGCCGATGATGCCCCGGGCGGGGATGTCGAAGGCCTGTGTTTGGATTTGGTTAGGCTGGAAGGCAAGACTTGTGTAGTGAATTCGGAGTAAAGAGAGGCTGAGGAAAAGATGGAATTGGGAAGACAACGGGGCATGCTACCTGGTTGTCGGGAGCCACGTGCTCATGCGGCGGCAGCTTGAGGTTATACGCTGCACAGACGATCTCACGGGACCGCTTGAGCGTGTCTTCGACCTTGCAGGCTGTGAAGAGAGCGGCCGTAGCAGCGTCCTGGGGACTTTCGTTAGTACTGCACTATTGCTGGGTCAGAATTACTGAGGACTTACCGTGTAATTGTACTCGTTATCCGGATGAACGAGTCGGAACTTGTGGTAGTACATCACTGCCGTGTTGAAGGTGCGGATTGGGCTATGCATGAGATGTTAACTTTCTTGATTTTCTGTATTGGAATATGGATCAAGAGATAGACATACAGAAACAAATTGCGTCGTACGCTATCAATCCACGTTACTCCCTGTAGGCGGAGGGACTCCTCGCGCAGGGGATTGACTCCCATGGCGGCAATACATTGCTGGATGGTCTGCTCGAAGATGTACGGCTTGGCGACCTGAATGAATGAAGGATGGATGGGCGGCGGGTCTGGGGCCACTGTGGTGTCGGGGGAGGTAGACGAGTGCGCCTCTTCTCTTCTGTCAGGCGCCATCTTGGTTCAATCTAGATGCGGTCGCATGCACTGCTCTGTCGCAGAATAGATGATGGCTGATGGTTGTGGTTTTAAGCTGGGAAGAGGGAAGTCCCATCCCATTCAATGATTGGTGTAATCCAGCATCGCCAGCCGGTGGTCAGGTGATCGGATATGATGCTAGTGCATATGCTGACTAAGGAGGAGCAATACATGCATAACATTCTGTTCACCGCGACAGGATAAAGTGTGAAGAGTCAATCCCAAGAGCGTTCTCCGTTTACTGATTCATGGATAGAAGGTCATGTTATAAGAAATAACTGACTTGCTGGACTCTTCAAAGTGGGAATTGGGCACTCTGGCCATCGATTTGAGTATGACCTCATACATATTCTCAATGCAAGTTGACTTGGATGCGATATATGTACAGTACTTACTCAAGAATGATGCTCATGCATGAGAGCTCCTCCCCTAGTCATGCTAAATGTAGCACCTGAGGCTCTTCTATGATATCTGAGGCACAATCATATTTCAAGTATGGAAGTCCGAAAAAAATGAAAGAGTTATCAATATTTAGCATGAATCTGCTACCTCCTAGTGACTACGACCATCCTAGACTTGGAATACTGATAAGAACCTAGACTTCAGAGATGGATTCGTTTCTAGAGTACTTAATATCTAGAGATAAACCATGGAGAGAAGCAATCAAGGGTAAGTGAATAGTGCAAAGGAAGTCACTAATGCGGTAATGACCCTTCAGAACTCAGAACTACGGTGTTTCCTCTCAAGAACTATTTGCTCTTCGCTCTCCTACATGTTCACATCCGCTCTCAATGTTAGAAAGCTGTAGGGTACAAAGAGGGTCTCCTCTGCAGGTGGGCTGCAGCAGACCGGCGCTTTCACGGTCTCCGTCGGGGTTCATAACTGAAGCCCGGCGGATCAACAATAATATGATTGATTGAAAAAACCTAGTGATTCTGAGAGTACGAATTCTGACGTGCCTTGTGTTCTCTTGATTGGATTGAGTAGAGATTTCTCCCTGACCTGATATCCTTTACAGAGTTTTGGATGCCAGCGAGCGGCTCTGGTCAGCATGAAATAACGCCGGCTTGGGTTCAATACTTCCGAGAGGAAGTGCCGAGCAGAAGTTAGTGACGGTAACCTTGTGCTCCTGCCTGAGTGTTGTGTCCTTATCAGCTTGGCGACACTGTATTCCTGTTTGACTAAGATGATCCCCCCTCGCTTGCTGAGAAAGTCCACGGTGCCTTAGTGAAGTCAAAATGCTTCGGGTATGCAGGCGATGTTAGAGAGCAGAAACAAACTGCCGGGTAACCAGTATACCACCGATGCGATTGACTATTTGAAAAGCTGGATGCCTCCAATACCGTCTCACGGAGCCCCATGAAGTTTCTGGCTGCGATGCATCATTCGTCATTCGATATGTCGCTCCATATCCTAGCAGGTATGAAAAGAGCTGGTTTCTCGCTCCTCTCGCGCGACTCGGGATGCCCCGCCAGACAAGGTATCATTTTTAGTGAAACAATAAGATCCACAAGACCCTTTCCGCTAAGCATAGGACGACAGGAGGATACTCACCAAGCATAATGAGAGGGGTATGACCAAATATAGAAAATGTGGACTTCATCGAAGAGATTGACATGCATTGCAGATTGCTGTCCTCTTTGAATGTTTGATACTGTATCATACATACGATCGTGAGGGTATAAAGTCTTTGCTAGTTCTGACACATGGAAGCTCCATTGCAGGGCCTTGAGAAGGATAGAGGGCGAAGGAAGACAAAAGGAGATGATGCTACAAGCGCCAACTTGACTGTATGATCTAAAATTAAACGTTGACACGGTTGATATCACAATTAGATAGACATAGCTCGTGTTCAGTGGTGGAGACTGACAGGAAGTGATGTGATGATCGGATGGAAGATTAAGGGATGGTGATGATGAATGGGCAAGAGCGTGCAAGATTTTGAGCTTGTATAATCGAGCAGAGGGAATATGAGCGAGGTGAAGACAAAGCTAATTGGCTTGGATCTATTAGCAAAGTGTGGAGGAGCAGACTCGAGTCTGGGAAAGCGCGGCATAAGAGACAAGAATAGAACAGGCGATTACCATGATGCATGTCTGGGTTGCTAGACGCTGGATGGTTTTGACTAAGATTGGCCATGAGGCGATTTTAGAAGACGCTATGCAGTCCCTATCAATGCTCATGAAGTGACGAGTGATGTCTCTACTGGTGTCCGGTGCTACGGGAGGATGTTGGCGAGGATAGAAAAAGTTTGGATCGGCGTGACGCCCCTCCAGCTAAAATGGTATTGGCTGCCTAGAAAATGGAGCAGCGGGATTGCATTAGACCAGCTGCACATGGGGTTGACTGATAGCGGATTGTAGTTGATATACTCAAGGCCAACCTTTGTGACTGAACGACTGTAAATCCATGCAGCATCCTGATAATGCCCGGTTAAGTTTGAGTATTGAGCTGAAGGATAAATAGCTGAAAATAGCATGATGGCTATCGTCTAAGTCATACTGAAGGCAAATCCCAGGAGACCTGGCTTACCCAAATTCTGAAATGGCATATACTGTGCCTGAAGTGAGGTTAAGAAGCCATGCCAACATATCCTTGTTTTAAAAATAGCGGACAGTTGATCTGCAGGGATAGTTATTCTTAGACTTCAAGCACGGCAGTTTGTCCCGTGGTAATCCAATCTTTACACCTATTGACCTCCCCCGGTCTGAAGCCATCCAGCTTATTGGCGCTCAGCAGGCCCGGCCCGGGCGTTTGGACTGTTACAGATTTAGTGGATGCCAGCCCGCACGCTCACTAGTGGCACGTCAATCATGGGCGGCTATTTTACGCAGGAAGACAGCCAGTACCATTGCGTTTCATAGGTCGCTAGCAGAAGTACTTACCTACCTAGTAGCAACCTAACCTTTTAGATAACTTCAGAGTGTTACTGTTTATAGTTCAACCATCCTTCCTTGAATGCATACTGTCGGCCATTGAGCCATTTAACCGCCGAGACGTCTTTGTATATTATATCATACATTGTCGGAAGGACTAGGAGTCCATTGATGGATTGGTTGTGATTGCCACAGCCAGGGACGGGCGCTAGTGAGTTCAAGCGAGCCGAAGGGTATGCGTTCATTTTCATCTCTACTCTGATGACCTTATCTCTGCTCCATTCACTGCTCGCATGTCCTCGCATCGTTCATGGAAGGGTACTCAATGGCCTGTAGCACTACAAAAGGAGGACTTGCTGGCGGCGAGGGAACATGATGGGTATGGCCGTGAGGGCGCGTAGCCCGACCGCCCATTATTGAAGCTATGCCACGAAGCTGTTCCCGGCGGCGCTAAAACTGGTAGTAAAGAGGAGGGGTTGATATGACCCCAGAACAAGTATACAATTTCAATGCAGTTGTTGTTGGTAGTAGTAATTTACGATCTCTAAAGCATAGAGCCCCGGAGATGGATGGTGTACATTGGTCAAGTCCGATATGAACTATGTCAAACACTTAACGCTATCGCTCAGGGTCCAAATGTCTCTTTCGCAAAGCGCCGTGACTGTTGTCTGAGCGCTGTAAGGGGCTGCGACATGAAACAAGACCTTCACAGACGGTTTCGTTTCATATTCTTCAATTGGAACACAGCCCTAGTGCTGGGGTTTCCACTGATGACAACCCCGGTTGTCTTTTCTGCAGGCTATACCGTGTCTGTCCCTAGCACAGCGCGATGCACGTTTATGGTTGTACCCCGTGTTTCAACCCGGACTAGACGACGGGGTCCAGCAGTGGCTGTAGAACCGCGCGGCTTGATACAACGAACCACAGACGTAAGAAAGTAGGAAATGGTAGCAAGATGCTCTTCAAGATCTCTGGGGAAAGGAGTTTTTTCAGTAGGATGTGATTCAGATGGCGCGCGACAATGCGAAAGAAGCGACTCAGGCCGAGTGTAGTAGCGACACGGAGACATCAGGTCAAAGCTTATAAGGACAAGTGCACTCTCTCTCTCTCTCTCTCTCTTGAGATTCACCTCTTCCGTCCATCTACAAAAGTCTATCTTTCTGAGAATTTCAGCCCCTCTTTTCTTGCTAGTATAGTTACCATTGAGCGTGCAGCTGGACTGTCCTTTTCCGCTAGCCGGAGATTCTCCCTCTTCCATCAAAACTCGCCACCACAGCTGCAGAATAGACTATTTGCCATTTTACACCCTGTGCACTAGTTTCCTAGTGTGTTGACCACGGCTGCTGGATCTGCCTTACAACGGCTTCTATTGTACGAGTAAGTGGATCGATCGTCTCTTGAGTCTTGTTGCTATTTCGAGACTCACCTGAGCATGCTAACCGCCTTGAGTTAGATATTTTTACCGACACTTATTAGCAGGTGTATCGTTACTGTCTGGTACCGCATCGGTATGTTTACGCCTGATATCTTACGCATTGTATAGGGTTCTGACCGCGATTCTCAGATCCTGTCGTCGCCATCAAGCCACCTGGGCGAACCCTCACATCTTACGCTGCCTGGCTAGATAAAGCTGGCTGCTACCTGCGGTCTCAGCGTTTGTTATTATCAATCACAACAACTTCAACATTAGCCCCATTCGACAGGCTCAGCGCCGACTACCTACTCTATTAGATCGTCTCTTCCTGTGCCCTCCCACAACTCATTGCCAATTATAATCACTGCTCGTTCGCTCTACTCTTCATGATGGGTCCGACAAAGCCAATCCTGCATCCGTTAACTACACCGAAAAATATGAGCTTTCCTTCTGAGCTTCGGGAGCGAACCTACACAACATGCCTCGATCTGGACAGACCGTCTATCGAGAAGAAAGACGAGGAGACCGAGATCACCATCACTCCTCCTCCAGCATACACAGACTTCCTGAACACATTTAGCCCTATATTCTCCAGCCCAACGTCGTCTCGTGCAAACTTCTCCAAATACATGCTCGATAAACCTCGCTCGCCGCCATCTTCTACTCCGTCGAGCACCACCTCAACCACATTTCCTCTCAGTCATTGCCAGAAAGTCGGTAGTGCAGCTATTCCTCCTCGTGCACCATCCCCTCCATGGGCAAGCAAGAGCTCAGGGCATGGACAACATCTACGCCTACCGCCGCCGTATGCTTGCACCCCGACTTCGGAGTCTCCTCGAAGTGCACACCCACTGCGGTCACCGTTGTCACCCTCCGAGTGGCGCATCCGGCAGTTCGAGTCCCCCGTCAGTGATGTCGGAAACTCATTCAGCATTCGACACGTGGTGACCACTACTATCACGTATAAGCGCGCGCCACAACTCGATCCTCCTCCTCAAGGCAAGAGGAGAAAGAACGCCAGTCGTCGAACTACTTAGTTATGATGTGATGTCCCACAAAGACAGGGATGTCAATCTCTTTTTACACCTTGTTTGATTACAATCTAGCATTACTTGCGGACGGTGTTTTATTCAGATTTATGCTTTTGCGGTCTATGTTATGTTTGTTCCTCCAGAACTTACGACTCTGTTCTCTTTTGCTTGGGTTTGTCGGTATGTAAGGATTACACCAGGAAATGCATGAGGACGTCCGGTGGCGCTTTAGGGAGGTCAGCAGCGGCGTTTACGGTTGATTGTTCAGTCTGTGAGCATCCTTTCTTGTCACCACATTGTCATGTATATTTTGGTCGTCGTGCGTGTTTTTCTGCCTGCCTCTTTGTTTACACCTTGATTCCTTGCGATAACTACATCCCACACCCACTAACCACCACCAACTACCACCAACCACTACCACCAATACCTAGAATCCTGTGCAATAAAGAAAACTCCACAATCTCTCATACCCCTTCCCATTCCAAATTTTCCAATACACCCAGTGGTCAAGTTAGTTGTAATCAAAGGATTACCTACCCATCTTCCCAAGTAGGTATAGACCCCACCCCAAGCGCGCGGACCCCAGCAACGCCCCCCTCGCGCCCCCCACTAGTGTACAGTACCAACCCAGCCTCGAAAAACCAGCACCTTACCTGAAGTGAGAGCCTGAGAAAATAGGCGCGAGCCTGCAAGTAAGTACAAAAGCCACCAGCGGAAAGGAGCCTCGCCCCACTAACCAATGCGCATCCCCTACGCGCGGGCTTACTCTGTTGGAAGGAATTCCGCGCCCGGGGCTATTGGAGGGCTGGAAGTTGAAGATAATACTGTCACTGTACTCCGTCCGTATTACCTACCCAAAAACTCTTTGCTGAATTAGGCTACAGTGGTAAGTGAACTGGTAGTTATACATCTAGACGCCCCGGGGCATTCCCGTCGCCCCACTTGACGGTGACTTTTCTCGGTGGCTCTAGGGCTCAGAGTCGCCGGGGGCGGCCGGGGGCGGCGCCAAATGGCACGTGGTCGACGGAAGTAGACGGCAAAGGGCCAAGCTGGAGGAATAATGATGATGATCCCCGGTGTCCATGACTCGGGTTCAGAGCCCTGTCTATTTTCGCCATCGCCAGTACCGAAGGGAAGCTTTCTCGCTAAGAAAAATGAAAATCCTTTGGCGCGCAAGAATGGGATCTATGGATTGGATACCTTGTTGGTTTCGATGGTGAGAGAAGGCTGTTGGAAAGCGGGCTGGAAAACGGGCTGGAAGTCTGGTTGGGGCTTTGTATTTTTGCGAGTGGGATGGCTATGACATATCGGCGGTAATGTTTCTTTGAGTCATATCCTGGCGCGTAGATGGAGTTTCCGTGGGTCTATAGGGGCTTGGTTTTGTGGATGTTGTCGTGGTTTACGCGCTTGGCTATTGGGTATGTAGGCTAGGGTATGGATAGAGACGGTAGAGGAATGGTAGATGTCTCCTGCGACCAACTCTTTTTGTTTGTCCGGATGTGTGCGCCAGGATATCTGGGGGCCGGGGGTTATTGGTTTCCCTTTGTTGATCTCTCTATAGCATCGAACGAATTTGGTTGATATGCCTCGTAGAAGGCTAGCCTAAGGGCGGGTAGTCCGGTTTTCGAGTCCATTACGCCTTGTTGCGCTGAGTGTCAGTATATCTCGCGTGGCGATTGGGTTGGGTGCATGGTTTCAGATCCAGAAAATGGGGTTCTTGGCTGAAAGCCGCGGGATGATAAGCTGAAGTGTATTTGTTTGTGTCGTCGAGAGTGTGGGAGAAGATCTGGGCTTGGAAGCGCTTGACGCTCAGATGCTTCTGAAATGTCGTGGGTTGGGCTGAACCTTGGAGGGGAGTTTGGCTTTTCTGAGTCTTGTGTTGGTTAGACGTTGCACCATCGTGGTCTTGAGCTTGCTACGAAGGATTGCCCAACGAGACGCGGACATGGTGTTGGATGTTAATTCTGGGAAGCCACAAATCGCATTAAAATGATGATAACTCGTAGCTAAGGATATCCACAAACGCCACATAATAAGGTCAAGCCAAATAAGTTGGTGTAATGAGAGAATAAGAAGGCAAATATCATCAATAGGTCATGAAAGAGGGTATAAGCTAGTATATAAGTCGTGAAGAGCCGGGTTTTTGAATGAGAGAATGAGAAGAGAAATAGCGAGACCAAGGGATGGGGAAGGGAATTCGAACATGAAGAAGTGAGATGAGGGGACCAAGGGCATAATTGCATAGCCCAGTACATTTAATCAATCGGCAATAGGGATTTGAAAGCAGCAAAAGGGTAGTCAAGTCAGATGAAACGGCCCAAGCAGCGGTAGCGAGTGAAGCTGCTAAAGGCAGGACCCGAGGAGTTGTTGCAGCAGAGAATCGTCTCGAGAAATCAAGTACTAGAGATAAACAATGTCAACGGGGGCTCAAAGTGATCGAGGGGTCACACATGCAGGTATGTGAGGGGACTGCGGATTGTGTCGGATGCTTCATACCATCGAAGGTGAGCAGTGTGATCAATAATTGACACATGCACCGTGCCTTTGACTAGTGACCAGTGGTAATGGATTTTCAAACAGGTTGGTATAACGGCATCCGCTATTTAGCGGCGGCAACTGACTACATCAGCAGATAATTCCACTTTTTCTTTCGCATGATCTCGCGCCAGTGAATATGGTTCTTGGTTTCTTCATGTGGATACTGTCCTTCCTCCGAGCACTGTTCAGCCGGCTGCACTCCTACCCCGTCAGCTGTCAATGCAGGGGCGGGTTGGTGCTTGCGAGGCTTGGTGCCACTTCCGGGAAATGAGGCTGTCTCATCCGCAACCCGCCAGAATTGCTTCAGTACACGATACATGCGACTGATGCTCCCAAAATGACCTAGGAAGCCGAGAGCTGCGACCCGTTCGGCTATGGTCTTGCGAAAGTGGCTTGCAGGCACCGAGTAGATACCTGCGATGAATAGAGGCCAGACTAAACAACGGTCGAAGCCTGTTGGGCCTGCAGGAATGCATTGCAGAATCTCTCCTACTGATGTGATCCAGCTCATAATAATAGGATCGTAGCTGTCGAACGTAGGGAGAATACTATGAACATAAATGCGAGCTGCGATGCGGAACAATGCTGTCACGATCTTGGTAAGTTGCTCCGGTTTCAACACCCCTTCTGACGTGTAAGGGCTTTCGACTGCGGGATTCGAGGGCTCGGTCCAGTTGATCTGTGAATTAAGAGCAGATACGTGCTGGAAAAGGGACATGTCATCGACTCGACCCTCAATGTAGAGGGATTCTAGGCAAGTGATTTCGGAGATCAGATACATCACGCGATCATCACACCCCATCATCTGTTGGAGCCCTGATGAGATACCACTCAAATGCTTAGTGCGGTAGGTATGAGCAAATTCCGGTGTGGTACCAAGCATTGTAGCTCCGATAATATCGATCCATGCGATGAGAGAAATATTGAATTGGCTGGGGGTGCAATTGAGTTTCTTGACAAGGTCCGAGACAGCTCGGAAGTGCTGATTCCATGGAATGTCGGGTAGGTAATCATCGGAGGTACCCGCGGAACAGTGATAAAATATCAACCCCAACGTTGCATCCATGACCTGTATATGCCCGGTTCCACGGTTCAAAAGTCGGGAAAGCTGCGAGATCGCCGCGTACCGATGTTGAACAATGTCAAAGTCCATTTGATCCTCCAGGCGCATACTGTTCTTGAGATGTATCGCCGACATGCTAAGACAACAGTGGAGATACGAGCGATTGGTTTGCATAAGATACAATATCTCGCTGGTATGTAGAGAAGAAGCCTGTGTCAACCCCAGTAATGGGAACAAGGTGTGCAAAACATTGTCAACAAAATGGTCGAGAAGTGGTCGGTCTCGATCTTCCACCGATATCAGACTGCGCAATGACTCAGACAATGGTCTGTAGCCACCTAAAAGCAATGATAGCGCATTGCTCAATTGGTTGGACGGCTGCTGAGACCCAGGCTGCGGTGGTCCGACGATTGGCGGAAGCCAGCTTGAACCAGGAAGTTGTAGCGCTCCCGACGACAGCTGTGCCACTCCCATAGAATTTTTCGATGGTAAAGAGCAAGCCGAGCCCACCGATTGCGCATGGGCAAAGCTTTGAGCTTGAAGAGGACAAGGCGTTTCTGTGAATGTCGAGAGCTGTGGGATTGAAGGCGTTCCAAATGTTGCGGTTGGAAGTGCGGATACCGGAGTCGGTGGTAGACACAGGGTCTGGGGATAAGCCGGTGGTGTAGGCAGCACAGGACCCTGGGTAAAGAGCGAGCTCTGATTGAACGTGGAGCTGGGAAAGAAACTCGGGGTCAAAGGAAGAGCTGCGCTAGTCAAAAGGTTATCCTGCTGAGCCTTGGATTGACTGCCACTGGACATAGCCGAGGTTGGGAGTGATTGTAGCAAAGCACTCTGTTGCTCTAGGAAAGCTGGTTGATTGAAAGAAAATTCCACAGGCATAGGTGGCTTTTGAGCAAGAGCGCGAACTCGGTTCATATACTCTGAGCGAAAACCTAATTAGACCACCGTTCAATGGAGAAGTGTTTCTGGCATACCTTCTAAATTTCCCTCTTTTTTCATGATTCTAGTTTGACGAACCCTTTTCTTGATCATATCCATCTGCCTTCGGCGCAGCTCCGGATTCTGCCACCAATGAGGCATTTTGTAATCGCATTTCAGACTAAGCTTGGAGCACGATGCGCATACGGGACGAGTCTCATCGCATTTCTTCCTCCTCAAACGACAAATGAAGCATCCTAGAATGTCCTATAGTCAGCATCGTTGTGGAAAGGCACATGCTAACACAGTGACATCTCAGCCCTAAAGAGACCAATTCACGAAGCAGGGATAGCTCTACCTGAGCGAGACCTCCTATAAGACTTGACTATGGCCTCGTTCTCCTCAATGGGCGCATCAGATATATCGGATGCAGCCCCGTCAGATTGATAGCCGTCGTCAACCAGAGGCTGGCTCGAGGAAGATGCGACTGCGTGTGACATCGTTGGGTGATAGCGAACGATATATACAACACAAGCCCCTATGAAATGACGCGGCTTGAGCTTGTCTGTATAGCAGCCGCCAAGGTGAGGTGAAGCAATGAGACAAGACGAAGCTGCTGAAGTATCCTCGAGATCCGTTCTTGACCGATGTTGTTTCAGAGGATGAAACTCGATCTGAAGTGGCATTGAACACCTCTTTATGATGAAATTTAAGATGTTAGATATAATAAAGTAGATAGTACATCTGCACAAGCATGCCTCTGCCTTGACGGTTTCTATTTTTTGCGCAACTCAGCGGTTGTCGGACAAGGGAGATTGTTTCGGGAACGAATCTGATATGCGAATTGTGTGGAGAAACCAATGAGCAGCAAATCACCGTTGACATAGTGCATCTAAACAGAGCGCGAAAGCTAATTTGGGAACTGTGTTCAAGGTCACTGAATGGATAGTCAAGGGGAATGTGGTTAAAGAGTCGAGTCGTTTGCGATATTTAGACGCGCAGTATTGATGGGTGCAGGGGTTATCAGCTTAACTCGTGCCCATAGGTTCCTGTCAGGGTCTATCCGTTCACCTTAGCGCGAACCTGAGGTTGGCGGATAATCGAAACTCATAGATACTATGCTCAGCGAATCATTATATGAATGCCGACCAATTAGTTCTCTGTCTTTTGCGGGCGGCGCAGAGAAAAGAAAAAACCTGGTTCTTGACATGGTCCAGTTTTCCTTTCTCAGTCTCCCTCAATGGAGAGGTGACCGTAACTATCAGGCTCAGGCTCATTGTAATGGCTATTTTTCCTCTGAGATGCGGCACCCGTAGACGCTGGGTCTATCTCAAGGACCATGGAGACACCAGGAGGCAGTAGACTCGAGCGTTTCCAACTTGCCCTCACTTGAATATGCTCTCCAATCAGTTGAGATTGGCGCTGTCAAGAGAGCGTACTCAGCCGAAGTTATTGGTCGCATGGGTTCCGGGCGCCAAATGAGACACGCCAAGCTTTGAGGTGTGGGATTTTGGAGGTGGTGAGAGCCAGTGGTTAACCTCTAGAAAGTTGAAACGGGGTTTCTTTCTCACTTGGTAAGATGGTACTATGCAGGTGGGGAGAACTCGGCCCGTGCATGAGGGGAGCGGGTGCTTGACGCTCGGGCTTCCGTAGTGTGAAGATCCCTTAATTAGCATCGGTTAACCGCTCGGGCTTGATCCACGAGCACTGATTGATCAATGCTACCAGGAGTGGGATTCCTGATCATGCACAATTATCTATATTTGGTATTTGGCTCTTGTAAATTGCCCCAACCAACCCCAGAATCTGCTATTATTATCCACCAGAAGATGTCATAATTAGCAACACCTTTTTCCGCTAGCACTACGACTACGGAAGCGCTGGACTGGCAACGTTGCCCTTTCATTGGGTCTATTGCATACTTTTGGAGACTACGGAGTAATTCAACACTGAATCTCTCTAGACTGGAGGAGCAACGGACTGAGATTTTAGTAGACCGGTTAATTCATCCAGAATTAGTAGCCAAGGTGAGTGTTTGCAGCAGACCCTCAAAATGATACTAGCTCGATTAGACAATCCTCAGCCTATGCGTCGCGAAATCAGCAACCGAGATATTTGAGTAGCTATTCTACGTAATCATCTGATACGGTAGATCTGACACCATTGTGCTCACTCTGTACTAAGTTTATCAAGTGTCGCTCAGCAAGAAAGGCCTGATTGTGAGAAAGGGTCTCATCTCCATCATTCCCGAATTGTTGGTCGCTGCGCGAGCTGTGTAGCCACTCAATGAAATCTACCCGGTCGCTTTTGATAAGTTCAAGCATTCATTCGATTGTTAACAGCCAAAAGGTCATAGATCTTTAATTTAGAGAGTGTACATACAAGAAGGAAGGGTATCGTAAGAAACTATTGACAGGGGGTGCCAGGGTGCAATGGTATTCTCGAATCAGCTGACATCTTGCGTTCTGTGAATGCAGAAGACGTGAGCGCATTCTGCTTTCATCTTCTGAAAGGTGGGAAGTGAGGCCGGACACCTCCCTCATCTGCTTAATGATCTCTGTATAATCATCATCAACTTATGATCATGAAATCTCAAGACACCTTCACGATTTAAGCATCGATACCACCTTTTTGGAAATAAGTACGGAACTACGCCCGGAGATTGACAAAATTAAAGGCGAGAATCTGTTTTTGGCAAGGCCAGTGCTGTACAGTGGCATTCAATGTTCTGCAAGTCAAACCCAGGAGTGAAGGCCTTGATAGACTCCACAATTGCGGCTAAAAGATGCTCGCCTGAGAAGACCAATATGCGCATTCTTAACTGCCCTAGAAGTGTCAGATAATGATATCAATGAATGGACCAGGTGCTATACACAGTAGAAGGCTGCTAAAGATCAAGTTTTTAATTTTTAACTTGCTTTTATTTCCATCTTCCCATCTTCTTTGCCAAACTACCCCCTCCGCCCCTGGGTTGCTCTGTCAGTATGAATGATATGTGCTTGAGTCCTACACTGCTTGTTGTCACGTTGTAATCGAATACATAGAGCAAAGTCATATGAATCTGCTGATTCGCACATCTCAGTCAAGTTCCAAAGCATTTGGGTTGATCTTGCAGTTTTCGCTTGCAGATTCCATGTGGAACCACTGAGCACATATATGGAGTATGACAGGTGGCACATAATTGATGCAGGACCGGCACGATACGATGGAGTCTCACAGGTGGAAGCATTAATCTCATTAATCTCAGAAAAGTACAAGTACGTGAACCACCTAGGTTGTTGCGCAAGGCTTGGCACGAACAATTCACATCATTCTGGGTCAAGATCAATTAATGTAAGTGATCATCAACAACAAAAGCCTGCAAACTGATAGTCATATGTACAATCGTGTTGCTTACACATATCAGGAACTGGGCCATGTCGTGGCTGGGACTAGGAGGTACTTCTCAGAGTGTGAGCGTTGTGAGCGGAACCGGAACACTCTGCTTGGATAGTGTGTGACAGTGAAGAAACCTGCATGCCGACGTTTGACCTAGACATGCTACTGCCTGCAGGCTATGGAGACGTCAGACCTCTTTAAAATCCGAATCATTTCCATTTGGGAGTCCCCTAGAATTGATTCTTATACAATTTACCTGAGCTGAGAAGGCGCCATCATATTTGAAGCAAGTTGAACATTACCATTGACAGGCGAAGGACGGGATGCACTCTCTTTCCTCAGATGTCTATCTCAAACCACAGAATCCTATGCGCGCGGTAACTACTGGATGGTTGTTCTTCGGATGTTCCTTCGAACCTAGATCTACGATAGTTAACACAGAGACATCGGAAATCTCGCGCGATCATTGCCTGATTATGGGTGCCAGTTTTTTACTTGCACCCGAGAGATCCATGCCTCTTGCTTTGAGTCCGATTGTTACAGTGTCAATCTGTTCGAATATGAGGTCTATTCCTTATATCTTGAGATTGTCAACTTGAGTACCGTACAAATTGATAGCTGCTAGACTTTAGAGATACACTTTTTTCTTTCTTGAGTCGAGTGGGTTACGGGAAAGATGACGAGTCGTATATTAGTTGCAGGGGAAACTTGGAAGCAGGTGAGATCGGATTCATGTGAGGGGAGTTTCTTTGATGGAAACAAATGCACTAAGGGACGGTGAAACCTGCAGCTGCTGGGCGCGTACATCCTGCGGAGCAATCACAGCCAGTTATCCCGTGCTGAGACGGTCGTCACGGCAGTAGCGCCGACCACAGGCCTCTCAGCGGCCTCTTAGCGGTCGCAGTCACCCGCGCATTGCTTGGGATTGGCACCCGCCATCCTTCTTCTCCGCCTTTTTGGGCAGTCTGACCGTCCGACTAGGGCGAGGTCGACGTGCCAACCACCGTTCTCGTCACAGCGGTAACTCGGCGCTCGCTTGCTGTTGCTTCACTGACTGACTTACCTGTGCTTCCAATTCGCCCGATGCAGCCACGGGTGACAGGCCTGCCGATTTGGCGCTGGGACGAGTACTTCGCGGGCAATTCCCGTCAACTTCTGGAGGGGCCTTGTACATAAACTCCTGCTCGACCTGAATGTGCCCGTTCCCCAACAACGCTACGTTACCACCACACCTTTAGTTCCTAGATGCTTGATCTAGGAACCACGAACCACTCCGCCCTGTTTCACGATATCCAACAACTTTTCATCACAATCCAGAATCATTATTCGCTAGCACTGTTTGTTTTTTTTTTTTTTACGTTGAATACACAGTCTCACTGCCCTTGCGGCAATAGAGGTAACTAGACACAATGGTGAGTCTCATGCCTGCTGCGTGTCGCCGTGATGATGAAACAGTACACTTATCAGATGTAGGCCACGGACCTAGCATACAACGTAGATGTACCAGGCCTGCGAAGGAGCGATGTGGTCTCGTACTTCGCCGCTAGAGCAGCCTTGGCTCGACCGCCATCACAGAGCACCCTTATGGACGAGGGCCACTCTGATAACGATGATTCGAGTTATCTTGAGGATTCGCCTTTTACGAGTGTTGTTTCGGTATGCAATAAACATATCCCATTGATTGATAAGCACAGCTTTATGAAGGCTGACTTTTTGGCATGCAGCTTGATAGTGATAGCATCTCTTCAGCGTCAACGTCCAATGAAGCCACTACTCCCGAGTCAACCGGATTGACTGCCTTTGACTTCCATATCGACGAAAAGAACATCAAGGGTCCGAATGGGCCACACCTATTTCGCACATACTCGGAAGCCTCTGAGTATAGCAGCATTGTGGGAACAGATCTGAGCTGGGAGGATCAGCCACCTAGTGCTATGGCACCTTTTTACCAATCTGCTTCCAAGCTTGACCCTATCAGAAAGGATACTCCAGTTCCCAATCGAGTCTCATCAACGCCCCAACCTCAGCCGACATCACAGTTGCAGCAACGGCCTCGGCCTCAGCTGCAGCTCCAACCACAACCTCAACCCCAACTCCAGCCCAATCTTCAGACTCAGCCACTGCCCCACCCCCAACATCCGCAGCAACGTGTTTTCGGACAACCGCAAGTTCCAGTTCTTGATGAAGCAGGGATTCGACAATGGCGCCCAGAAGAAGTGGTTCAATGGCTTCATGCTCATGGCTTTGACAGTGGCATAACGGAGACATTCTATGTTAATGACATCTCGGGGCCTATTTTGCTTGAGCTTCAAACCGAGGACCTCAAAGAACTTGGCATTCAATCTTTTGGCAAGCGCCACATGCTAATGGGCGCCATCAAGAAGCTCCGGGAGCGTCCCACGATCATCACTGCTCCAGTCCCTACCTCAACAGAGACTGATGCTGTCCCCGCCACCCCTCATACTCTCGTGATCCCCGCTACACCTCGGACCGGGGTGACACACGCAAGCTCAGAATGCCCGCCTGGCTCGGCCTCTGATGAGTACTCCTGTGAAAGTTTCAGCGAGGGTCGGCGCCACCGTCTTCGCGAGAGCGACAATCATTCACGGAGGCCCCGAGACCTTCAGCCAGGCGACTCGGTGTCAATTGTTGCGATTGAGCAAATATTGCCAAAGCTACACAGTTGCTCCAAAGGAGAGAACTGTCGCAAGTGGCAAAAGCAACAATCTAAACTTGCACATCTGGCCAAAGATCTACCTACAGGGAACATGAATGGTAGAATCATTCTCACTGGCGACCCAGGCAATCCAAAGACAGCACCAAACCTCGTCAAAACCCCAAAGTCTGACATTACTCCATCTCTGATTGCCTCTTCCGATGTGATGGGACCACTGCAAACCCCTGGACTCGGTCTGTCGAAAGAAAAGCTGAACGAGGTCCAGCCTAGGGACCCGCAGGAGAATGTGCGCAACTTTTTGAGCTTCCAACACCTGAGCAACATACAACCAGCAAGCAACCCCCCGACGCCTCCAACAGAGTCACCTCAAAGCCACGAGACCTCTGTATCGCCCAAAGCAAACCCTACACTTTCGGAAAATCTTAGACATTTACCCAAGTTGATGATTCCAGGAACGGTCGACTTAGAAAGAGATAGTCTTTACACTGCCAATCTGTCGTCACAGAGGACTGTCACTCAGGAATATCCTACTGCCATTCCTCGGGGCCAGCAGCGCTACGCCTACGGAACGACAGAGTCTCCAGGTGATTTCTATCGCACAGATCCCCACTATGGCCAGGATACCCCTTTGTCCGAAGTGGATGTACCTATGACTGCTTTCCCTGTGGGACTCGTTCCCCGTGAGGAGTCGCAGTCTGTTCCGCCAAACATGCGGTTTGGATCGGACCGCATTGTGATGCTCGACCCTGTTCCCCGGCCGGCCTCAACAAAGGTGGAACATCATCGCCGGAACATATCTCACCAACAAGCTCCACCAATGCGTTCGCTTGATGAGCACCGCGTGTTGGAGCCAATTGATACCCCTGAGGATATGGCTAGGATTGCTCGCAAAGGCTACAGCTCTCCTACTCGACGGTCTCCCGATGATGTCACTCACAGTGGCTGGATGCGAAAACGCAAGACCACCCGCCTATTACGCCACGAATGGGAAGAGGGACATTACACCCTCAAGGGGACTCAGCTTGCCAGGCATGCTGATAGAGAATCAGCTCAGCGCAATTCAAAAGCTCTGGAGTACATCGATGTTGATGACTATGCCGTCGCGTGCTCTTCGCTTGCTTCGAGCTCCAAGCTCACTGCCGCGTTTAAGAAGACCATGTTGAAGCGCAAGGAAATTGGACCTTCTGAGTCCGCCTTTTCCTTCTCTTTGGTTCCTGCCACCGGCACAGGAAATACCGTTGTGGACAAGAAGGCTTTGTTTCTAAACTCTGGCAAGAGCCATCACTTTGCTGTCAAGACACGGGATGAGCGGATCGATTGGATGCGAGAACTCATGCTTGCCAAAGCTCTCAAACGAGGGCGCGAGAACGGTTTTGATATGGCCAACAATTTTATATGATGAAGCGTCGCTGCTGTGCGAGCTTGACTACGATTCTTATACTTTCATTGTTATGTTTCTTCTCCATTGACGTTGCACGATACCCGTTCCCCACCCAGCCTTCTAAGGCCGATAATGTTTTTGAGCGGTGGGATGACGATGGAAACGAATTTCCTTCTCTGTTTTGGATCTAACTTCTCTGTTACTGGCCGTGCTATGACACTGGACGGTAACCATCTTCTCTGGGTGTTTTCTTGATGCGATTCTGCTTTTAGCCATGGTTCCCCAGCTCCTATGTCTTTTCTTCTTCACATTGGTGAATATCTACGCATAATCTAGAATGTGTTCTAAGTGTGGTGAGTGGCCCACGCCATCATCAGCACTGCGGAGAAGGATCGGGCCTCAGGGGTTTCAAATGTGTTCGTACCCGTGGAGTATCCATAGGGGCATACCTGTATGTATTGTATCTAGTTACGAGACAATTCAAGATCTTAAAATTAAAGCCAATTATGCGTGAAGTGAGAAGTGGAAGAAATAGGATGGAAGAGAGATGAGTGAGTGTAAAAGGGGGGGATGGACAGGGAGGGGTTGGATAACGTGCCATCTGTATCCGAGAGTGAGACTGAGGGGAAAGGATAGAGACGTGTTTCGGTGTGCTGGTGAGAGCCATTTCGTTTCCTTTCATTTGTCAACTGCCAACGACGCCAACGCTCAAGATCCTGGCTCCATCACACATGATGCCATGATAGATGTAGTGATGTATCAGAGTGTTCCCATTGGACGACCAGGGGAATTAAACCTTCTCTAAGGGATCAGTGCGACCAGTCAATAGTCTGCTTGTCTACCTAGTACGAAGTACTGTACAATACAAAAGCCGCGGGGGGCTAATCCCCCCCGCCGGGCGCTTAACTCTGAGCGGGGAGTGGCCCTGAACGTTATCCGGACGGGCTCATTCTGCGATAGCCCCTCCCACCATTATCCACCATCAGCCACCCCCGTATGTTTCCATCGTCGACTGATCTTCGGACTGATCATGGTATCGACAATGTTGTCTGGCCTGATAGACGCTGACATGGAAGCGTGAAGTCTTGCTGTCTAACCTGTCTGTTCCTGGACGATCGCTGCACAGGGACCACGTTGTTAGTGCTGGCAGAAAGCCTCGTGAACTGCACACCTACTGGCTGTCCCCACACACTTGTCATTCCAAGTAGTGCAGGGTTCGCATCCTTTTCGATCAAGCTGGAGCACGGCGCTTTCTGGCGGCTAACTAACCTCCGGCTTGGTCCTGTTTCTTTCTTGCTTTCATTTTTTTTTTTTGAATTCTGTGCTGGTGAGCGGGTCCCATCTCTGGAGCAACTTTCAACCTCGAATTGTTTGTTCTGTGGTTCTTCTATTTTGTTTTAAATGGGATCTCAGTGTGACAAGAGGCGCCCACTATCTTTTTCCCAAGCATGTTCGAAGTCCCCGCCATCAGCTGTCGCCTTGCGCAGGCTGCTCATTCTGTACGAGCCGCCATGCGTTCCCTCGCGAATGGACGGGAGTCCCAGGACTCGTCGCAGAAAGCCCTCTTGGTTATGAGCGAGATACTCGACCTCCTTCACCAAGTTCATGGGCAGGTCACTTGGGGTGAAAATGAATGGATCGTCACGCAGACCCGACTGGGGGTCTTTCAGGAGCTTCTTTGTGCATTCGAGATCACCATCACTGCGATTGAGACCAACTTTCAGCCCGGAGGAGTGGGAAGTCGCGTTTACAGGAAAGGTTTACTGGAACAGACGTTCATCCCGCGGTTAGAACAGTACAAATTCGCGTTCCTTGTGGCAATCCAGCCAGACTCCCGGTATTGTCGGACCCCATCAAGATTGCCCCGTAAGGGTAACTTACTTCTTCTGCCTGGACCTCACTAAACTTCATATAGTGAGAGGTCTGCCAGTGAACAGCAGGTACGGAGTAATATCCGTGCATGTCGCGACTTAGAGCCTGGTAGGCATTACCATGTCCCAGAACGATTCATATCTGCTGACTTAACATGATCAGGGCGATTTAGGTACAGTCCTTTGAGCGACGACGACTTTCACACCATAACCAGCCCAGTGACGTCCAAAAATCTCATGAAACTCACCAATATATGCAACAGAAGGGAGAAAGATACATGCCAGTGGATATTTCAGGAAGACAAATACAAGGCTTGGCTCTTTGGTTCCTGTCGAACACTATACTGTGTAGGACCAGGTATTCATGCTCCGTCACTTTGAACAAGATTGGACTGATGCTTATTCCACCCCGCAGCTGGCGCTGGAAAGACGTTTCTCTCGTATTTGTTCGACCCTCACTAATGTACTATCAAAATGCTAATGCTTGTTTTTAGGTCTTGCATTATCGAGAACTTGCAGGCAACATTCGCCTCACCAGACATAGCAATCATATACCTTTTCTGCGAATATGAGAAAGACGACGATCATGCTTCTTCAAATACCATGCTTGCAAATATCCTTGCACAATTAGTGCACCGTCGAGGAGCAGCATCACACATGACTGCATCGCTGTATGGATCCGAGTCCTTTTCACGCGGCCGAGCGTCGGCGAAGGCGTATCAAAGTGCAATAAGAGCAGAGATCAACCATTTTTCCAAAGTGTACTTCATCATAGATGGCCTAGACTCCTCGACCGAGAAGGATCGGATCTTGAATCGCTTTCAAAAGCTACCGGAACATTCACAACTACTCATTACGTTGCGTGAAGCACGGAATGAAAAGCATGCAGTCATACCAATGCTTGCGACTCGGAAAGATCTCGAAACCTATATCCATACAAGACTCGACCAAAGCAAAGCTCTATCGGCTCTCTTGAAGCAATACCCAGCCGAATACCAGATGGAAAATGTTGTTGTGGCGCAAGTAATATTGAAGTCACATGGACTGTACGTTCTCCGACCACTTTTGCGTAGACTGAAATATTGACTACAATTGGCTGGACAGATTTCTCCTAGCTCGGCTGCACATGGATGTAGTATCCCGATGCACTGATGCAAGTCTCCTGCAAGCCACCCTCATGTATCTACCAGATACGTTGAATGATGCATACGCCGAGTCAATGAAGCAGCTAGCCAGTCAGAATCTATACGCTAGTCGCTGTATATTCTGGACTCTCTATGCATATCGCCCTCTTACCGTTGCGGAACTGAAATATGCGGTGTTTTTTGAACCCCAGAACGGAACAGCCCAGAAGAAACAATCGTCTTTCGAGCACGTCCTTGAAGTCGAGACGGCCGGTCTCTTAGTTGTCGACCCGGTAGCGACCACTGTTCATTTAGTCCACCGAACTGCAAAGGAGTATCTCACCGGAGCTGCCGCTAGAGTGTTCTTTCCTACTTCCCGTAAGCACGTCGCGGAGACCTGCCTCACAGTGATTGCATCGGACGAAGTAGTCGATGACTGCTATATTAATCATGGCACTACCCCGCGGAATGCGAGGACTGATCTTCTTAGTTACGCTGCGAAATACTGGGGAGATCATGCTCGCGAGGCCCCCGAGGAGGAGCAGACAACCCAAGTGCTTATTGGAACATTCCTCAACAAGCTTTGCTGGAGGCGGCCTCCCACCGTTGAGGGAGCAGTACCTGAAGGAATCACAATACCTCCTGAATTGGGCCTTGGAAAATATTTCTCTGATTGGACCGCCCTCCATGTTTTAGCTTACTTCGGCATTATGGCTAAAGCGAAACGATTCATTGAGAAAGGTGCTGACGTGAACGCTTGCGACAACTCGATGGGACTAACTCCACTTCATTGTGCTGCTTATCGCGGGCATGATGAAATGGTGGAGTTGCTGCTAGATCACAAAGCCCACATCAATGCAATCTGCAAGCAAGGAAATACTGCTATGCATTTAGCAGCTGAGCAAGGACAACGAAAAATCATGCGAATTCTGCTGTCAAGGCGGGTCAACTCGCGGGTGGCGAATCGGAACGGTCTTACAGCTTTGCAATTAGCTGTTGGGACCGCCTATGACGAGGCGACTGTCCCACTGCTGATCAAAAGCAGGTCCGACATGGATGCTCAAAATGTCCTCACAGGAAACACCACCCTTCATGTCGCCGTAGAATTGCGAAGACCCCGGATCCTCTTGTTTCTGTTAGAGAAAGGTGCCAATATGAACGCATTCAATAAGGATGGACTGACGCCCTTGCAATTAGCTGCTAAAACAGACAATTGCGAGGCCTTGGCTATCCTTCTCGAACACGGTGCCAAAGTTGAAGCTTGCTCACTGCAGGGGTCTAGAGCCATACATATTGCGGCTGCCGAGGGGAACTGGATTGCATTCGACATTCTGGTGATCGGCAAGGCCGATATCAACGCATGGGACCAGGACGGTGAGTCTTTGCTGCACAAGCAGGCACGGCACGCTTCGACAACGACGATTGCTACTCATCTTCTCCAGAAGGGGGCCAATGTCGAAGCCTGCACTTCGCAAGGCTACACCCCCCTGCAATGCGCTGCCATGAGCGGGAATAGAACCATGTTTTTCTTTCTGCTCATGAACGGTGGCAAGATTGATGTTCAAACCCCCAAGGGCGAAAGCCTACTGCACATTACACCCCCTTCGAGCCAGGACTGCCTGGACATTCTTGTCACCCTGTTGGATCTGGGACTGGATCCTAAAGCATTGTGCAGCCGCGGCTGGACGCCGCTTCATCAGACCGTTTTCATGGGTACTGGCGCGCCCGACATTGAATTCGACAAGACCTCCGAGTTCATAGACACCCTTCTGGAGCACGGTGTTGAGATAGACACGGTGGCTTCCTCGCCTAGAGGCGAGACACCACTGCACCTGGCTATCATCGCTTCAATTCCTCGTCCATCCCTCGTCTCCTTCCTGGTTAGTCGTGGTGCATCTGTCAACCGCATGACAAGTGAAGGCAAAACACCTCTCCACCTGGCGGCTGAAAAGGGGCGCAACTCCTTGTTTCGGGCCTTACTCGCCGCAGGTGCTGACCTGACCATCAAGATCCCCGGTGGCACAGAAGACGGCGATGAAGAGGATGGGGGCCAGACACCTCTGGATATTGCTCGGAAGCATCCTCTGGGAGCGCTGTGGTTCGACGATACGGGAAACCTACAACTTTCGCTGGAACAAAGTCAGTGCGGCAGTCTAGCCACGCCTATCGAAGATATAGACACGGAATCAGACACAGATGATGAGACCGGGGGCTCGACATTAGTGGAAGACGACGTATCGCAGTGGAAATCAGTCAGCTCAACCCAAATTGTCTCGGTTGTCAAGAGTACTGTATGATGACGACAGAAGCAAATGATGGCTAATAAGCAAGGTGTCGTGGTGTTTGGTGCGGAGGCTTCCCTACTTTTCTTCGGTGCTCTTTCTCCGCTGTTTCTTCTTCTTCTGTCCCAAAAATGACCATGACCTATTCAGCAGCGTTCACGTTCTTGTTTTGCTTTCAGCACTTTGCTTTTCCCTAGCGATATACCCAACGCAGAATGATATCCTCACGATTATACAAAGCACAGATTCTAAAGCTCTTCTCCCTCCAGGCCTCAGGGCCACTCACCAAGCACGTGAAGAATATTCGTCCAACTTTACTACAGCACAACCTGCTATCATCCATGCTCCGATTTCGCAGCCTCAAATATTCAATAAGACCCTGATCTCAATGTTACCTCGACATACACGTCACAACCCCAAACCATGCGACAGATGCATACTTATGCCCAATCAAGCCCCACATTACATTGTAGTACGTACCTAATCCCATCACATATAATCCCTCCCGACCCCCTTGAACCCACTTCTCCACCCACGCTGCACAGCGAACAGTTATTGGCCACAACGAACCTGGAAGTGACATCCCCGCCTTAGCGCCGGCGTCTACAACGGCGTACCAACCTCGGAACTTGGAATTTGCAAGGCATATCGTACCACTCAAAGACCTCTTGCAGGTTTTCTTGGCAGGAGACAAACGCACAAGGAACCGTACAACCATCCCCGTGGATCTTCGAATATCTCAGATTCGAAGGGTACTTAAGGGGGTAAGTCAAGTAGAAGGTGTTTGTGGATGCGATGGTCGTTTATTTGAGCGTCTCGTGTTGTACTGCATATTACCTACTTACGTAGTAGGTGAGAGGGAGACATTTGGACTTACTCTCTCCTAGTAGGCACAGATTGGATAGAAAAGGAACAATGGTCCGACCAAGCAGATAATGGCGCGTTGCTCTGGCGGTATGAGCGAATGTCGTACTACTGGTAGGCTTTCTTGGGGTCACTGTCCGAATGAACTGGAAGATGAGCGGTTGCCAGAGTCAACTGTTAGGTCATTATTGTATGGGGGTAAAGATCTGCTTGATTGAGGGTTTCGGGTAGGCTTAGTCCAGCTTAGACTAATTAGTTAGTGCCCAGGGGCTGTAAAATAGGGTCGACCAAGAATGGTTGTTAATTTGGTTCTCATGGGGTCTTGACTCTTGTTGACGGCTCTGGTTTGGTGTGCCAGGTGCAGGGTATTTGTCGTGCTTGGAGGCTGACGCAGTAGCAGCTATGAAGTGTATAGAGAAAGGAGATCAGAGAAAGGCTTAAAAGTAATGTTCTACTAATTGTAAGGGCTGTATCTATTCACGGACTCTGGCTATTGTTTTGGTTACCCCTGTCTACTCAGTATAGTGAACAAACTTGTCTCTTCACTGCATACATTACTTAGCTGGGGAAGACTAACTGATCCTTACAGTCATTCACAGTATAAAGTCTTTTGTTCCATCTCCAGTAGGTTGCAGCTGTTCACATTTTCTAATCTCCTACCATACCTTTCTGTTTTTCTACTCTTCTAATCTTCTATTCTTCCACAGTTCCACACGTCCACACTTCCACTCTGCAACTCTGCAACTCTGCCTCTTTTCTACTAATCTGATCCTTTCCATCTACCAGTGACCTAGGTTAAACCTGCCATGGCTGTATCAAATCTCAATATTTATCAGAGTGACTGCCGAGCAAGCGGTTCTACACCCAATCATTGAGCTAGTGGCTGCCTACAACCCGGTGCGATTCCATTCGAAAACTATCTACTTATTATCTTTTTCGTGGTGACAGATGCTGCTATCGATGCCATTCTACACGTTGACTGCATTCGACTCGTACGATATCATAAACTGTATCTCCATTACGACTTTCAACGCGATATTTCAGAAGCTTAGAAACAGACTCCTCAAAGACTGTATTTCTACCAGCATATTACTCTCACAAACCTAGGTTGCTTTTCCTTCTCCTGAAGAACTCAAAAGGACAAAAAATAACAGAAATAATAGCCTCGGCGAAGAGCGCTAACACATACATCACTTATCATCCTCCGGTGGTTGCTGAATACAATACCAACTGGGAAATGCTTGACTTTATCTAGTTATCTAGCTGAACTCCCAAGCAACAAGCTCTTTCGCTTCGAGGCTCTCCAAAAATGAGGGTGATTTTCTCTCTTCGCCTCTGCCGGGACTGGGCACACGGAACCAGAGGAGAAAACGACCGTGTGTCTCACCATATATCGAGTTAATACATATAGCCCTCGGTAGCATGTCTATTGGAACAAGAAGGACGGCCATACATTGACCAACTGAGGGGCGCGAGAAATGTCAATGTATCACCACCACCAAGCAGAGCTGGGAGAAAGACCGAACTACGGCTGGCTGCAAACCATGTACTTTTCCACTAGTCAACAACTTATACACCAAGACCCCGTGTATTACCTACTCTATATCCTGGCCTGCTCTGATCACAACTGGAAGCTTATTTTATACCCCTGCTACGCGACGTTTACACAGCCGAACGACAGCACCTTCTTCTGTTATATTGATATCAATATGACTAAGGCAGTGAAGACCGGCCGTGGAGCCCACGCTATACAAGGATCCCTTTTGCTTGATAATAAATGGAGGGCAATTGTACTGAGGTTCTACCCGGTATGTACAAACGCCTGCCCGAGTGGGTACAACACCTGAATACTAGAGGCGAGGCCGCCGACTTCTTTGCTACTAAAATTCTCCCTAAATATTGGACGGAGGATGATAAAAAACAGATTCTTGTGCCCTGCAAATCTTTGGACTTCTGTATTACTTATCCATTCCTACCCCACGGGTCAACGGGCCCGTGTAAGAAGCTCCGGAGAACGCTTCTACCATGGTTTGTAGGTATCCAGGAGGACTACGAAAAGTCTAGAGATAACTGAAGGTGGCACCTGGTCGGAATTGGCAGTGGTATACAGAGATCTGGTAACTGGTCCGATGGTACCATCATGACTAGCCAATTGCTATTTGATAGTGCTATACACCTTCCCCGCTATCCTTTAGCTGACAGGACTAGGAGCCATATCAGACACTCTTGTTGGCCGGGTTAAATGGACTAACCCTGCTGTGCTCCTGGGCGACAAACCTGACGTCCCTGACCTATAAGAGATACAACACGATTTGTGGGTCTGCAACGGCCTAAGCCCGGAAAAGATTGCCTAAACAGTGCTGGAATTACGATAACATTGAGACCACTCACCCGGACAAGCGGACTGAAACTGACCGGATAAGCAGATTCCGAAGGCAGCTGAAGATATCGCCGATATCAAGCCAGAACAACTCAACCTTGAACTCAACCAAGAGACATCAACCAAAAGACAACCATTTATTCGCTCACCAAGAAGCTAAGTTCTATCAACATTCTACCAAAAATGCCTCACACCACCTTCTGAGCCTCCTATATAAAAGCCAAAGCTTCCGCGATTTCTAGTGGGATGGAAACAAGGCAAATCGCATATATATCGTCGCATAGTAAGTAGTCTATGACGGACCAGTACCAAATGCCCGCCTACCAAAGAAAGCAGCCAAGGGTGACAACGTCAGGAGAGAAAAAGTACTGAAGCTACGTTCAATTCAGACTGTACTCACACCTAGAAATGAGCAGGAGCAGTTTCACTCTGCGTTGACCGGGCGGAGAGGAGCGCCAGCTCAGTTGCCCGTCTTTTTATTTCGGATATGCTGTTCAAATGCGGTTGCGGGTGGACCCCAGGTGTCATCTGGGACAAGTAGTCCGAAGCGGCTTTTGCTTCGCAGTTATTCTGTGCCATGCCCTCTTCACCTTTTGAGCTTGACTCGTTGATAGCCTAAGCCTACATGGGCGAAACTATTACCTTTGTCATCAATGAAAACCCGAGTGGCTAATTCGATGGCATACGCCGTGCCCTTACGCATCGATAGTCTAAACAATGGTCCTGCTTTTGTTTGGAAGCAACCAAAATTACGACCGCGGAGCATCCAAGGCATTGATTAATAGTTGGTAGTTCCTAAGATATTAATCTTCCCAAGCCGGAACAGTCCACGTGGATTGAAAGGCAACACTGTTCCTCAATCCTTGATAGATAGCCACTGCATCGACCCTACTCACTCGTAAACGCACAGCTCCCCATATCCAACTGCACCACATCGCCCTCCGGCCGAATGTCAAAGTCGAAGATATCCATCGGCACCCCCAGCGTCGTACACGCGTTGGGGATATCTACCAGCCCGGCAATATGTCCCTGCACCGGCGCGCAGCTCAGCAGCAGGTAGATCTGGTAGTCATTATACCCATACCGCCGTAGATACTCGATGACCCGCAGGCAGGTCTGGCGGTAAGCCACCGTGGCATCCAGGTAATGCTGCTTTCCGTTCTCATCGACCGAGAATCCCTCGAAGGTCAGGTATCGACCCGGCCCGAATTGCGGCTCCACGGGGCCCGGGTGGAAGATCGGGGACTTCATGCCCATCTTGGCCATCCCGCCCTTGAGCACGGTGAACTTGAGCGTGATGACGCCGGCCATCTCAATGGCGCCGCAGAAGGAGATCTCCCCGTCACCCTGCGAGAAGTGCAGATCGCCGACGGAGAACTTCGCGCCGGGGACGTGCACGGGGAGGTAGACCTTGGAGCCGCGGGAGAGGTTCTTGATGTCGCAGTTGCCGCCGTGCTCGGGGCGACCCTAGCGTAGAAACCAGGATTGTGTTAGTTTGAGCTCGGCTCCCAAGTTCACCTTGTTCACGCGAACGCATGATGAGTGAGGGAAGCATACCGGAATCGTCCTCGCGCCTTCTCTAGCGATCTGCTCCTTCAGACTCTCATCGGCACTCCCCGCATGCGCATTCTTCGGCTCGGGGGGCTTCGCCACATCACGCTGGAGATCCGCACTCGCCGCGATCAGCTCCCCCTCCCGACGATTCCACTCCGCCAGGACCTCGGCGGACGGCGCGCAGCCTAGAATCCCAGGGTGGATCAGCCCCGCAAAGCGGACGTGGGGAATGTGGCGCGACGAGCAGAAGATCCCCTCAAAGTCCCAGATGGCCTTTGCTCTGCGGTATGCACTCAGTCAGATCCAGACTCGTTCTCTCCCAACTCAGATTACGTTAAGTAAGAGTCTGGCTCACGCGTTAGGATAAAGCTCATCAAGAAACCCGCCTCCATTATTTCTGTCAAAGATCCCCGTAAACCCCCAGGGATGATCCTCGAAGGGCTGGACGTCTTGGATCTCCACCAGCAGAACGTCCCCCGGCTCGGCGGTTTCGATCTCAAAGGGACCGGATAGGTAGTGAATCTGGGTGAGGTCGACGTTCTTGACGTCGTCGGCGGAGTCGTTGTTCTTGATCTGGCCGCCGGTCCAGTCGAGACATTCGATCTTGACGACTTCGTTGTTGGCGATCTTGCCGCATGCGGGGACTATTTTATGTGAATGAGGTTATGATTAGCATTGTGCCTGAATATCATGGTAGGTGGGTGGTGAGGCTGGAATGGTACCATCTGGATGCCATCGGTTCTGCAGGACGTCAGTATCGAGGTGAAGACAGGGACTGTATCAGAGTAGGTGACACGCACGTGTAAGCCAGGCTGCTCCCAGGCGGGCTTGTCAAGATCAACGGTGAGCGCTGTACGGATCTTCTTGTGGCCCATGGTGAGGGAGTGAGATGTGATGGTTTCTGTTTGTTGTCTGGTGGAGGTGCCTGTGGGTGTATGCACTGTAGAAGGGAAGGAAGAATAAATTTAGCTCTGCAGGAAAAGCCCCTCCCCCGGGCTGACAGTTGCCAATTTAAGTACTCGTAGCTGCACGATCCTCCCCTGCAGCTAAGAAAAACATTCCCCGCCTCGCCAGTTCAAAGAAAATGTCGCTCAGACCCATGGTTATCAGCAGGTATGATGAGGGGAGGGAGAGAAAGTGGGACAAGGTTATCTTATCGGAGGGTCAATGACGCTTATCTGCGGGGAAGATTCTCCCACTCTTTCCCATCTGCTTTGCATTCAACTTTTTCTGATAACGATATCGGAATTGTTACACCCATACAGCTTTTTTATAAAAGCTCTTTACAAATCTTCCCAAGTCACCCCAAATCTATACAGATCCCGGCTTGTCTACTCCGCCGCTCATTCAAATCCCGGGGCAACCCTTCAATCAAACCAACCCTCTTTTCTCCCATCTAGGACAATTGCCGGCTAGAGGTATCAGGTACCTTGGGCTTCTTCTCCTCTTCTTCCATGTTGATCTTGTCTAGTTTATCCAAGGGAAGACTCAGGAAATCGTGCTTGTTCTTCCAGGTCGTCTGAGTCTCAGCGAATCCCTCCTTCAGCGCAGGGCTCGGTGGGGGATCCGTGATCTTGGTGACCAGATAGGCAGTCGATGCCTGGGCCACGCCGTAAAGGAGGACTCCGATAAAGGGCGCCTTCATGACGTGGGTGAAAGCGAATGCGAAGCCGAACAAAACTCCTTCACGATCGGCGAACCAACGCTTCTTCTGCTCATGGGTGAAGGGCACACGGCTGAAGTACGGCTCCAACTGTTTCTGCTGTTAGTCGAATAAGCCCGAGAGGGAGGCCAAGGAAGGACCTACAAGTTCACGCATAAGACTGCGGGACGCATAGTAACTGTGCAAGAACGAAACCACGTAGCTCTTGGGGAGAATGAAGCCGGCCCCGAAAATGACAGCCGCAGGGGTCGTTCCCACGGCGCTTTGAAAGGCGAAGAACGAGGCAGCCGGCATCACGAAAGGTCCGATGACGGGGACCAAAGAGAAGAGGTAAGTGCCGAGGAGCAACCCAGCCCGCTTGCCGTAACGCTTGAGAAACATGAAGAATGCTGCGAGGCCGGCGCCCTTGGGAGTTTTGACCCTGCCGTCCGCGGTGGTGTACATGGAAAGGTTAGGGTAATACATCTCGCGCAGGTTCTTTGGGTCTTCATGCTTGTGCTTGTGCACGTAGGTAGCGTCAACCCACTTGAGGGATTCCATGAAACTGCCCACTAGTTAGCGTGCCCAATCAGACTGAATATCCATGAAAATATTCGACTTACATCTCGTCCAGGGTAGGTGTGATATAGCGCATTAGTGTCATGAGCAAGAAGGGCACCTGAAGCACCGAGTTGGAGATGAAGTCGAGACCCTCGATGAGGGAGTTGTCCCAGGTGGCATTTTCTAGGTCGAGAAACCATGAGAGAATCCAGAGAACGAATTTGACCCCGATGATCTAGATGTGATTTGTTAGCTCGGGGGTCATACATCTTGAGGCTAGTAATGGGCACCGCTCATACCGGAATTTGAATGATAAGTTGGATAGCAATCCCAACGGCGACTGCAAAGACAGCCTGTCGAAAGTGATTGTACTTAAATAAGTCGGGATTTCCCAGCGCGCGGACAGCTGTCGAGCGAGGGTCAGCTATCCAATACTCGTGCTCCGATGACGTAGGTGTTTTGCTCAATGCCGCCCAATCGATCAATCTGCACAATAGCAGATCTGGTGATCGGAAATTGGAGAATCCAGGCATTGCAAAGCAAGAGTAGACTTCTCAGACACCCCTTTTCTGCTTCACATGGTGCATCCCATGGAGCGACAAGCAAGCTCCACGCGGCCGCGTAGAGGTAACAGAGGGGAAGAATCTCACTCACTTCCAACAATGGTGAGCTGACAGCCGCGAATCACGGCGTTAGGCTCGAAGTTCGGCATGATGCTCGACTATGCCCAGGGAGACAGCAGATGTGAGCTCAGGGATAGTTGAAAGAGAAAGAATTGGAGATGTAGAGCTATTTATAGTGGTGCGTTGGCTCGAGGGGGAACAGCCACAGGCAACCACATAACGGAAATGTCCAAGTATGGCTGTGATTGTGGATTGGTGCAACTACCGCTAAGCGCCGGAGCTAGCAGCGCAGCCGGACTACCCGCCCAGCCCCACGACGCCATATTTCACGTGATTTGTGTCTAATGCCTTACTGCCTGAGGCCATAAACATCATACTCCACACCAGCCCCAACAGACTTGCAGCGTGCAGAGCGCAGGGGAGATCCGCGACTAGTCCAGATTGGTTTTTGCCATGATTATTCCAGTTTGAGTTCATCCATCCATCTTCCGGGGTCATTCGGGCTCGATTATCTCACCACCACCACCACCACCACCACCATCATTCTTTTCTATTCTCCCCCCCTCCTCATTATCCCTGCTGATCGTCTCTCCTTTTCCGCTTTCTACTCTTCCATATTTCACATCACATGCACTTTTCTCTCACCCTAGACTTCTATTCAATGTAATCTTTTGTTTCGGTCCCTTTCTTTTTTCCTTATATTCCATTCCCATCATCCAAGATCCCCATGATTGATTGAGGATGTCTGATTCCTCCGATGCGCCGCTCCCTCAGACCTTGTCCATCCGTCGGTCTGCTACTCTCCCCACCAAATTGAACCCGCGTACACGTCGTCACTCAGAATCTGTGAAACCATCCGAGAACGATCTCTTCTACCATCCCTCCGCTAAAGTCGTCCATTTCGCCCCTAGAGCCCTCGCGCCCATTCCTTCGAGCACCGCGCCCGCGGACTTTGATTACCCGGTTGATACCGTGGAGACACTTCCCTGGAGATCGCCTACCGAACGCACGGTCGCGCTCGCGCCTCTCCGTCTGGAAAATGTTCACGGTTTGACTGTCTTCCTGAAATGCGGCAATGTCGTCCACGCCATCCTCAAGAACTCACAATGTTGGTGTGTTGATGGCGAGTCAACATTCGTCCTGCGCATCCGACCTCTCACTTATTATCGCATCGAACTGCCCAACGAGGTGGAGGACGACAAGACGCTGGTCACGGAAATGAAGAACGTGTTGCCGAAGATTCTCCGATATGAAGTCACGCCCTGTCCCTTCAAGAGGGGCTTCACCGTCGAAATCCCCGAGGAGGCCAAGGCGCCCAGAAGGAAGAGGGCATGGCGTCCCAAAGGGCGCAGAGAAAGCGCCCCCGTCTCTTCCATATACAAGCAAGACCGACTTCGGCCGATGGATGACTTGGCGACTGACTCGCCTAGCGCTGGCGAAGACACGGACGGAGATGCGACGGACGATAGTGGCTTTACGACCAGAGGCAGCAACAGCACCATTTTAGAGACCATCGCAGACGATAATGAGTCGTCTGAGCCGATTCAGATCGCAGGGCCAACTCAGCATCCGGGCCAGTCCGTGGCCGAAACACAGCAGAACTTTCAGACCTTGCTGGCAAGGTTCGAAGATAGTGCTGAAGATCAGGTTGATCCTGAACTATCCTTTTCCTCCAGTGTGGAATCATTCCACTCGCTTGGCCCTTCTTTTACAGCTCTTCCGGATTTGGACACCTGCTCTACACCTGCGTCAAGCGAGAATGACGACCACTATGACAATGAAAGTGGTGATGTTCACTCGTCCTCGGAAGACTCACATCTTCCCAAGTCAAAGCGCTCTGGCAATAGGGTCTCTGTATACGTCGACTGTTGGGATCACATGTCGCCGGCAGACGAGTTGGCAAGAGACTTTTCCGAGCAGGAGGCCCAACCAATTACCATCACCCCTAACTCTCCTTCGCCCGCCGCAGAACCTGCCGGGCTTGCCTCCAGCACCGACTCTAATTCTAATCTCTCCAGCATGAGCGCAGAGTTTCGCCGTCGCTCTAGGGCCTCCCGCCAGCGGGAGGTCTCTCCCATGCCCCCACCATCCACATTGACGCTTGCCAAACCTGAGAAGCACGATGCGGCTTCTTTGATTCACAAGACCGCCTCACTCGTTTTAGTCCCTCCCATTCAGCTCCTGGTCGTGCTCATCCATATTGCTGCCCGGATTGTTATCGGGCCTGCTCTGAACTCGACTATGGGTGAGCTGAAGCGCAATATCGAGGACCAATTGGCTGAAGGTCAGGATATTGTGGATGATTTCGACCTTCCTCTTCCTGATTGCTTTAGAAGGTCCGAAGAGTCTACCGACAAAGACTCGTGAAATGTGGGCGGAGACAACGGCCTCGCTGGCTCAGCATACTATCTTTTCCCCGTTCAACATACCACTCTTTGGCATATTTCCTTCACTCCCATTCGTCCGTCATGATATTCTTGCTTCATTCCCACACACGCCTTCATTCTGTGATGATCTCTCTACATGAATTTCCGTTATCAAGTCCCATGCATGGTCCGGGACACATTTGATTTGTGGGGGGGCCAATCTGCGGGCCAATCTGCATTGGAAATGTACCCTAATGTCTTTATTGTATTCTAGCGTGTACCATCAATTATACTTAATTTGTGAGACGTTGACATCTAAAATCTTCATTCTGCCAATCAACTTTCTGTGCATTATGATTAATAAGTAGAGACGCAGCACGGACCTCTGAAGTTGAGAACTTGAAAGCAATGGCATGATCTAGATCGGGAATAAAGAAAATGATAGGTCACATTGGCGTGAGGGGGCGGCGGACCGGGAGGGAACAACAGTAGGTAAGCACCCACGGCAACAACCTAAGGTCCCCAGGTCCCTCCCCCATACTTCAAGTTCCAGTTACCATGAAACCACCTCCCTAAACAGCAGCGCAGTAGTAACTGGCTACTACGTCCATCTTGACCTCTTCCACCTTCACCACCACCACCTCCTCCTCCTCTTTCGCCTTCTCCCCACCCCATCCCCCGATATTCCTCCCCCCTCTATGCACGTCACACAACCACAACGATGTGGCGGAAAGTCCCCATGCGCCTCCGCCAACGAAGCCGGGTCTGGCTCACGGCCCTCCACGCCTGGTGGAAAGTGCCCCTGAAGTTCCAGCAGAAACGGGTCCTCTTCCTGGCCAGCCTGATCCTGTTCACCGTCCCGCCCATCCGCCAGCGCGAGAACGGCTACTACCGCTTACCGGCCCCGGGCCTGCCCGCCTTCCCTCGCCTGCCGGTTTCCAAATAACGGGGTTGTCTTGATCCTGTCATCCGGGGGAGAAACAACGATGACCCGGGGTTCATCGTCTCGATCTGATCTCGCGGTGTTTCTACATGTGTTTCGTCTGGGTCTGGGTCGAGGCTTTTTGATGTCGCCCGGGCGTGGGGGGGGAGAAAGAGGAAGGATATGGCGCTAGCATTTGGGGAGGGAGGGGCTTTGAGTTGAAGGCTTGCGGGTTTGGGTTATACTAGGTGATGGGGATTGGTCATTGATGATCGATACGGGGCCTCTCGGCTTGGACCTCGTTGGAGGGTTGGCTCCTTCGGGGATGGGCGACTATCTGAGGGGATTGCGGCATTGATAAGCACTGGTTAGTGGGTGGGTGGTTGTGTAGAGGACGGCCTTTCATCGCGTATTTCGTTCCAACCCGTCCTTACGTATTTTCTCGGTCACTACTGGGTTGGACTGTGTCACGGGCTGGATTCCTGGCTATAATGCACTGCGGGTCTCAGTGAATGTCTTTTGCTTGATAATGGAGGATAATGATTGGGTTTGCAGGGAAGAGAGACAAATTATTCTAGCCGAGAGTATGATGAGGGACGGACCCGTGACGGATCCGTGGCTGGGGAAGGGCAAGGGCGGATGGGTAACTCTGGGTTCTTCTTTCAGTGCATGTAGACATTCGGATGGCCCTTCAATCATATCTATGGGTACCTTTCGGCAAGGGGCCATGCTGTCATGCTTCGTCCTTAAGAAACTTATAGAGCATGCTCACATACTACACAATTGATGGCTCGAGAACTCGATTACTGCACACCCAGTCGTATGAAGATCAATCGATAGATGAAAGGAAAAAGAGATAGACCCATGAAACGCCCAATAAATGCAATCAACCATACACCGAACAAGCACAACAGACCATCTATCAGATCCTCCCGTCCCTCCAACCTCACTACCCACGCCTAATCCAACCCCCTAAGCTAGTCTATAATCCCAACAACTCAATAGGACCCTCAACCCCACATCTCCTTACCCCCTAACCAAAAATCAAGCCTTCTGCACCTTCCCCCCAGCCTTCCCCTTGGCAGTCTTCTTCTTACTGCGGTCCCGCTTCTTCAACCCCGTCATCCCCGCCTTACACACCTCCGCATACCGGACGTAGAACGCCTCCAGCTCCTCCGGGCTCACCACCGTCGACAGCTTGACTTTCTTGGCGGCGGCCGCCGCCGTCTTCTTGTCGGTCTTCGCCTTCTTCGGGTTCGGGGCGCTGGTGTTGCCGTCGGTCGCGCGGATGAGGATGGAAGGTTGTTGTTGTTCGGGGCTATCGGCGTTGATCCACGGCTTCTGGGTGAGGTAGACGGAGCCGCGGGCTTTTTGGGAGGTGGTGGTTAGGAGGGTGGTTAGGGAGGTGAAGAACTGTTTTTGGGTTAGTCTGTTTGCGTAGACTGTAGGTGGCTTGGGGGTTGGAGGGAGTTCAAAGTGTCTTGAGGGGGACAGGTTGGGGGTTGTGTCGGACAGACCTCTTCATGGTTGAGGTGGGCGGGCATTTTGAGTAGATGCGTGCCCAGGAATGGGGAAGTGGATGGTGTCAGTTGAGGAAATGTTTGGTGAGAAGGGTGGTCTTGAGCCCCCTGTAAGATGGATCAAATATGTTGAAAGTCAAAGTCAAAGGATGGAGAGACAGAGAAGCAGACCAATCCACTTGTGAAGCTATGCTCTAATCAATGAACCGAATGGCCAGACGATCTCGACTTAGCGAGTTGAGTGGGGAGAGGAGGAGAGGAGCTCCGCAACTTGATCTCACCGCCTTTCTTGGTTTCCGCCTCCGCGGACTTTTTTGAAACGGCATTATGTTCGCAGACCAAAAAAAAAGTTCCACTGCATCAACATTCTCCACCACCAGAAAAACAAAATGCCACGTCCTAGGCATAATACAACCTCGTTACCTCGGAATCTCCGAGAGGAGCTGGGGATCCGCGATACATACGGGGAGCGGAAGCGCAACGGTCCCGGCGCGAGGAAAGATCGTCGGAAGGAGGAGCGACAGTCGAAGAAGCAGCGGGGTGGGCTGAAGAGGGGTCCTCAACGGTCTTACGGGGGCTATGATGACAATGACGACGACGATGAGGATGGATTTGGTGGATTTGATGACGACGATGCGGGCGATTCGGACAACGACGACGATGTTGCGGCGACCATGGCCAAGTTGAAGCAGAAGAAGGAGGCTGCTAAGGCTGCTGCTCCCGAGAAGCCGAAGAAGAAAGCGCAGACGACCGACAACGATGCTGAGGGGGCGGCTGCCTCGCGTCCGATCTCGAAGACAGTCAAAGCGAAGCTGGACGAGGATGATGCGGAGATTGCTGCGTTGGAGAAGAAGCTGGGTCTTAAGAAGGGCAAGAAGCTTCCCAAGGCTTTTGAGGAAGATGGTTTGGGTGATCTTCTGGGCGATCTGGATGAGGGCTCTGATGATGAGAATCGCAAGCGCAAGCGAGAGGCTGATGACTGGCTGCGCAACAAGCGGAGAAAGGCGCAGGGTTTGCCGGTCGAGGACGACGTTGAGTCGGATCAGGATGACAGCGATATGGATAGTGAGGATGGGTTGGATGGGTTGGAGGCTTTTGACGAAGACGACGACTCCCTTGGAGACTTTGATGAGGGTGAGGATGAGGAGGACGAGGAGGATGACGACGAAGATGTGGATATGGATGGCATGGATCTCGACGAGGATGAAGAGGAAGAGGAAGAGGAACCCGTTCCTAAGAAGAAGGAAAACCCATACGTTGCTCCGGTCCAAGAGTCCAGTGGGAATCAACCACAAAAGTACATTCCTCCCTCGCTTCGCGCTAAGGCTTCCTCCGAGTCTGAGAGTCTTGTACGTCTACGAAGACAAGCGCAAGGACACCTGAACAAGCTGTCCGAAGCCAACATGATCTCCATCCTGGCGGAGTTCGAGAAGCTATATCGCGATTATCCCCGTGGAGAAGTCACCTCGACCCTCATCACACTCTTGTTCGGAATGATTTGTGAACGATCCGCTCTGTCGGATACCTTCATCATCCTGCATGCGGGTTTCATTGCTGCCGTCTACAAGGTGATGGGTATGGACTTTGGCGCGGAGATCGTGCAGAAGATTGTCGAAACCTTCGATGCTCGTGGAGACGAAAGAGGGCCGTTCTCAGGGAAGGAGGCAATCAATCTGATCTCCCTTCTTTCCCAGTTGTACAACTTCCACGTCATCTCAAGCACCTTGATGTTTGACTACATCCGGATCTTCCTCCAGGACATTACAGAGGAAAACACCGAGCTTCTCCTAAAGATTATCCGAAGTACGTATCTACCCCCCTGCAAGCTCATCTACATACATAGTACTAACGACGAACCACAGACTCCGGTCCTCAGCTCCGCCAAGATGACCCCTCCTCCCTCAAGGACATTGTCCTCCTCATCCAACCAGCCGTAGCGAAAGCCGGCGAGGCCTCCCTCTCCGTCCGCACCAAATTCATGATCGACACGATCACCGACCTGAAGAACAACCGCCTGAAAGCCGGCGCCGGCTCCACCATTTCGTCCGAACACCTCACGAAGATGCGCAAGATCCTCGGCGCGCTCAACAACACGCGGGTCATCCGCGCCTCGGAGCCCATCAGCATCTCGCGGGAGGACATCCACAACTCGGCCAAGAAGGGGAAATGGTGGCTCGTCGGCGCCAGTTGGCGCGAGGACCCGCTCGAGTCCGCGCGTCAGGAGCTCTCAAGCCTGCCCGCCGCCGCGGGCCAGCAGCAGCAACAGCACGGCGCCCCCGACGACGACGACGACGATAGCGACAAAGAACCCGACTGGGTCAACATCGCGAAAGCCCACCGGATGAACACGGACGTGCGCCGCTCGATCTTCGTGGCCATCATGTCCGCGACGGACTACCAGGACGCGCACGTGCGGCTGCTCAAGCTCCGGCTCAAGCGCGCCCAGGAGTTCGAGATCCCCCGCGTACTGACCCACTGCGCCATGGAGGAGGCCGCGCACAACCCCTACTACACGCTGATCGCCCGCCGGCTGTGCGGCGAGATGGGCCGCCGCATCAAGGTCTCGTTCATGTACACGCTGTGGAACATCTTCAAGCGCATGGGCGAGAACGGCGACATGCACGACGACGACGACTCCGACGGCGGCTTCGGCGACGACGAGGACGAGAACAACCGGCTCGAGATGAAGTCCATCGTCAACCTGGCCAAGATGTACGCGTCCCTAGTGGTGGACGGGACCCTGAATCTCGGCATCTTGAAGATTCTGAACTTCGCCTACCTGCAGCCCAAGAGCAAGACGTTCGTGGAGCTGCTCCTGATCAGCGTGATGCAGCAGTCGCAGCAGCAGAACAAGAAGAATAAGAAGCGCGGGAGCAAGAAGAGCAAGAAAGGGGAGGAGGACGGCGATGATGAGCGGGATGAAAAGGCCCTGATGGAGATCTTCTTGCGTGTCAAGGAGACGCCGCAGATTGCCAAGGGGTTGATCTTCTTCCTGCGCAAGGTCGTCGCGAAGACGGATATCGTGCCCTCTGGAAAGGATCTGAAGTTGGTGAAGTGGGGGTGCACCGCTGCGGTCGATGCGCTCAAAGTTGTGGTGAAGGATACCGGTGCTGAGTAAGTCAGTGGCCATGAATGAGTTTTTTTACTGGTTTTTGGTGCATCCGGCGTTGCAAGGAGTGGCGTTTGTTGGGCTAGGGCCAAAAGCAAGTGTATATACAGATTTCATTTGACATCGTCGTTACGATGAGGTTGTTCATATTATCTCATGCTCATGCATGTAACGTTAGGGTATCTAATTTATGTACGATCTTGACCGTCTACCTCGGAGACCAGCTCCCATTCCAGGACCACAGTCCACTTTCCTGACGCTTGCAAAGCAGTATTTATAGAGTGGTTGTCCCTGATTCCCACTCCTATGTCACTCTCCCCCAGATCGATGTCCCAGGTCAACCCTCGACAAATGCCGATGGCATTTCCAGGGCGAAGTTCAGGCACTATTGAGGCAACACGGCGCCGGGGCTGTATCGTCGTCTCAGACCGAGACCGGGGTGACCCGATGAGAAGCAGCTTTCTGAGCCGTGAGTCTGTTTCTGCCTCTGTCCTTGCCTCATCACCAAGAGCATCGGTCTCATGCCCGCACACAAACGCAAGAGGACCGCAGCTCGGCAGAGAAGACTGATGCACACTCTCGATCCGAACCACTGTCGGACTGTACCGCGGATCCTGCCCGGGGGTATCCGCTCCTGTGCGTCGGGCCACGCTCGTCTGTCGCTGCTGTTCGTGTCGGGTGCCGATTTCTAGAACCCAGCTGCGCACTTCAGCAGCCATCCCGTCAGGGAGATAAGCGTGGGCGGGACCGCGCGCACGTCCGCGTCGACGCAGCGCACGCGAGGATGGTGAGAACGGGGTCGGGAGGGCAGCGAGCTCGTCGTCCATGTGCGAGGGGGACGGTGAGCGAGGGAGCACGAAGGCTGGTGGTTTACGTCGCTGAGACGAGGGTGGTGGCTCTTGCGTCGAGGTGGAGACCCATGGTTTGCTCCTTGGTTGGGGTTGGGTGCTTGGAGGTAGGTGAGAGGTTGAAAAGAGGAATCGACGGGGATTGGTTGTCGTGTTGATGCTTGCCGGCGCTGTGGGTCGGGGTGTAGCTGTGGCTGCCAGGGTACGATGTGAAGGAGCTGGAGTGGCTTGCGTCTGGATCGAAGACTGTTTGGGGGCAGCTGGAGTTGGGGACTGGAATTGAGGCGTTGGAGACGCGGGATGATCTTGTGACAATGACACGATCCGATCTGTGTCTGATTGTGTCGCTACTGGTTGCGATGGGGAAGCACCGTTGTTCGCTGAGATTCGACGTCGCTTTTTCCGCTCCTGAATGATTGCGAAGAGATCCTCGAATTCGGAATCTTGTTCTGCCGGTGGTACAGGGGAGCTGCTCTGCGTTTGCCCGTCATCGAAGATGATTTCCCCCGAGCGTACGTGTGGCGTATCATCTTGCTGGTTGTCTTCCGTATCGTCTGAATCTTCGATGATCTCCTTCTGGCGAGGCGTCGAGACCGCACCCCTGTCGCGCCTCAGAAAGCGGGCAGTTGGTACTGGAGTGCTCTGGGGTCCGTCGTCTTCGGTGGAAAATGCATCCTGGGTTGCCTGCTGCGATGCGGGGGTCCTCTGTGACACGAAGAACCGAGGGGTCGAGGCGAACTGTGGCCCTCCACTCGATCGCGAGGATGCGCGAAAGGGTGTCTAATGGTACGTCAGCTTCAATTCAAGGCAATAATATGACGGAAGCAGTGCATACAGCTACAGGGCGCATTGAAGCAGGCGAGAGTGAAAACACAGCATCGTAAACTGGTGATGAGAACGTGTAGGGGAAAGCAATTGGAGACATCAACCGCGCCCGCGTCATATCAATCTATCCTTATTGGGCAGGCGGTCAGGGCCTGGCAGCTAGATAGCTTCCGTGCGGGTGCGGGGATTCCCTTCTCCAATTCTCATTCTATACTATTTATCCATCAAATTCGTCTACACGAATCTTTCTCATTCATCAGGCCTGTCACAGTTGGTAACAATACGAGTCAACACAACGCTTATCATTTGCTTTTGCATATAGTGTACCAGGCATTTCTGGAAGCCATTTACGCAAAGAAATCCGCATATGATCCGTGCTCCTAGTTATGGGAGAGAGCCATTGCAATTAGTAGGTGACGAGTCATGGCTAGCAAAGGGCAATGTCAGCCACATTCACACGGCAGGATGCTCTTTTGAACTGTTTTAACCATTCATTCTCATCTGGTCAGGATAAATCAGAATGAAGTATCGATTCCACTCGTCTTCAGCCCGCCAATGATGAATATAGAGTTCAGCAAACTGCATTAGCCAGTTCAGCCGCTGTTGTGCCACATCGAAGAGATCGTCAATTTGATCGAGAGAGGTAGATGATCCCTGATAGTGCAGCATGTTTGCTTTTGGTGGCAAGATGTTCAGCTGCGTTCTCGTCCAGCCTTTGCAGTTCGGACTTCATGAAATCATCATCCTCTTGTGAGGGTGCATATATAGTGCCCCTCATATCACAATTCTTGCTTTCGGTCCCTCCTCGCTTTTCTTCTGCTTGGACTTTCGACTAAGTCTAAGCAACGCTCAACCACGTATTACAATGTCAGGCCCACCAGAAGGAGTGGTCTGGTTCCCAAAGAACCTTTTCTCGATTTGGTGGGACTCAACGCTGGATATTAGCGATGCGGAACGTATGAAAGGGCTCAAGTGAGAAGGGGAGGACTTTTATAGGTTCCTTTGGGTTGACATCACCGTCAACGCGAAAGTCGAAGACAAAGACAAGCCCAAGAAGAAGCATCCTCGCACTGAATTTGCTGTCGGAGGGGCGACGGCAAGCTACGACAAGATCTCAGCTCTGTATGGCAGGGATGCTACCAACCCAACTCGGGTCGTGGCCTTGCATCAGGATGGAAATTTGTTCGCACAGCCGGAACAGGCATATTTGGTGCACTTCCCCATGCCGACTCCCGTGGAGCGATTCCTGTGGCTGGACCTCACCTATGCAATTCGTGGGGTCTACCTCCCACAGTGTTAGAACTGTCCGTGGCCGTACGAAGATCTGGTCCAGCTGATCCGACTGGATTTCAAACATCGATTCGTTCAGATTCCGTTCGCCATCCCGTACAGCCCGAAGCTCTATACCCAGCCGGAAAGAGATCTCTTGCCGGAACAAATCGACAGAGCTGGGCTCGAGATCATGCCGGAAAAGACCATCGTGGACAATGTCCTGCATCCGATCTTGCAAAATACGACCAGGTTCACGAAGAAGATACTTTGAGAGAAGGCCACTAATTCTGATGGGGAGCCTTCTCACGAGGCTCTTTTCCAAGGCTCGGACGCAGAAACAAAACGAGCCAAGGAAGATCTCCGCAGATGGCTGGATAGCTGCCAAGGCAAGGGTCCACAAGATCAATTAGCCAAGGCTGGAGACCTCGATGCCTTAGCCAAGAAGTACAATATTGATCGCAATCCCAAATACTATCGTGCGGAGGTCGACCAAGAGGATCTCAGAAAAAGCTCCAGCGGCACATTCCAAGAATCTCTGAAGAAATGGATGTTGGATTTCTGGGCTGAGAACCGACCACATCTCTTTGGGAATCAGAAACATGCAGGCTCCGCCACGCTAGTCGCAGAGAAGTGGTCACAGGAGATAGCCGAAAAGCCCGAGTTCAAAGATATTACCATTCAAAGTCTTTTGGCACAAATAAACACCGGAGAACGTGAGAAATTCGTCAAGGCGCTCTCCGACGCGATCAATGCAGGGCCCACAGGATGGAAGGTCGTTCCCAAGCCCAAACTCGGTCCTGTGGATTCTTTCGGTGCTGCCGTCACGGAGATGGGGGTGTTTCTGAAACTTGAGTTTGGAGACGTCTTCGAATTCGACTTGGGGAAATGGGTGCTGAAAATGGCAGACTGGAATCAGTTTGGTAAATGGATATACCCAGACTGCCCGGTCCAGCCCAAAGACGACGAGTTATGTGGCCTGCCAAAGTACACCCCATGGCCTTGGTGTCAGCGACGGGCGTTGCTCTCCTCTCCCGGCGGTCAGCCTGATAGTAATGTAACCGGCCACATTGACTTCGCTACAAACCCTACCTTTGGCCTAGGTCTTGGCCATGCGGACGTGACGCTTCGACTGGACGTCACTGAATTGATGTGTATTCTGCCCATGCCAAGGGAGATATACACCCGTCAGGGGGAAGGCGAAATTGGCTACCAGAATGTCTCTGCAAAGGGCGAGAAAGGACGACCAATCGACTTTTACAGTCGCGACCTTGTTCTCGCATTTCCCACTAGGGAAGTGATGACTAGCGCTGCAACGAAGGACGTCACTCCAGATCATGGAATTATCACTTACAATGGCAAGACTTTCCCTGATATCATCAAGCGCGAGTACGGCTTGGTCCTGAACTATAAGATCACCGAGTCGACCCCATGGGAGAAGCAACTTGCACTTTTCATGGTCCAGATTCTGGCCATCGCAGCGGACGCTATACCGGTCGTGGGACCTCTCGTTTCCTTTACTATCTACATGGGAGGCAATTCGATCATTGATGCTGCATGGATCTCGCAGTACGAAAACTCGAGCCCACCAGTATTTGCGTTGCTGTATTCTCAGCGAAGTAATGTGGCGAAGTACAAGGCGAAGGTAGCGCCGAAGTTCAAGTTCAAATTGAACCCCTAAGGGCGGCTACAGGCACGAACTCAAATATCCTCGTGGGCGAACACAGCTGGAATCAGCCACTGACTGTCTCTCTGTTTATGGTTGGGAAATTTGTATCCGGTCTGTGGCCAGTTACCAAACCAGCCTTGCTGTTGAGACCTTCTACGTCTTGTTCGCAATCATTTTCGATCAGTGCACATCAGATTGTAGCTCATACCTATTGAAGTCTATTCTGCGTTTCTAATATTGTGACCGTCCTAAGCAAGAGACTCGATGACGAAGCATAGGTTCAAATGGACGCGTCTTCAATCTCCTAGACAAAGCCCGAGCAGATTCCAAAATCACAAGCCATTGCCAACGAGGCTTACAGAAAGTATCTTCACTGAGCCTGTGTCATGGCTAAGTTAGCTCTCCAGAGTACTCGCAACATTTCGACGGAATGCATTTGTTGTGGCTGAAATTACAACCTCCTCCTCCCCCAGCCCCCGTAATGGCTTACCAGTCGACGAATCGATGATATCAAACATGGAGGGCATCTGAGAAGTTTCAGAGGACGATCAATGGTTTCATCGATATTTTCAAGGAACAGGCGCAGACGTGTCAAGACTCATAATGCTTTCCGGGCCCCGATCATAAGACAATACTGAGAAAGGAGGGCTTCTGGTTATTTTCAGACTGTATATAACCCCAAGGGGCTTAGTGGGGTCTTTAACAAGCATGTCCAGCGCAGATTCTGTGAGGAGCCAAACCAGTGTTTGATCGGATTGTCAGCCCATGTAGGCGTGCGGGAGCTGAAGATACCATTCGGGGAAGGTGGATGCAGTGGCCGAGTAGAAGGATCGACTGCTCATCATAGATAATGTGTGGGTCTGCCATCAGTGTGTAAGTAGGTAGCGAAAGCATATCAGCGCGCAGGGCGCTGTAGTACAGATGGATATACAGTGCCCGTTCAACTGGTTTAGGGTTGCGGAGCTCCACCCAGTTAGCCTAGGTTTCCCTGCGCTTCGGGCGAGGAAGGAGAGGCTCGCTATAGCTACATTTGAAGGGCAATCTTCATTTTATTTAATATGAAGCTAGGCAGAAGATGAGCTATGGGTGAAAAGAGAGCCAAACCATCTCTAAAGGTAACCTGCTACTTTGTACCCCAAGCAACGTGACAGCATTCGTAAAGCAAGCCATTCCATCTCCAACGGGAAGCCCCTATAGGAATACTCATCCCCCAGAAAACGAATATCCTTGGCCCCCGATTTCTTCAAGATATCTTCCCACAGATCCTCCCAGTACATGAAGTACGCTGTGTCCCCATGCGCATTGCCCTCAAAGCACATTCCAACCACATACCCGCCACCGTCGAACACCATCGATCCTGAGTCCCCCCATAGCATCATCATCACCCACTTGTACGAGTAATACATTGAATGCACGTAATGAACCAATGGTTCTCCTCTTTCTTCCGAGTCACCGACAGTAGTATGGGTGATCCACGCTGTGCGCAGTCCGTTGTATGTCCGTCTGGTTTTTGCCTTGGAATGCCCTATCGTGTATAGAGATTGTCCGGGTTTGAGCTGGTCCCCCAAATACCAACTTCCCACAAGTTCGGCTGGTAGGTCCAACACACCCTTAGATGGACATGGAGACTAGAAAAAGACGAACGTGCTTAGTAGAAATGCGATTATCAGGGGCTAGGATATTTATCTTGTTCTCGCCCGGCCGTCGATTTACTCGCATGCGGACAAGGGCCCAGTCCAGGAAGACCAAAGGTGAACTGACTTGTGAGAAGCGTGGCTCCTGTTGTCGTGATGTCAGGCCGGATGTGGCAACCACAGCGCCGAACTCGTAGCTCTTGTTGTCAAGATACTTCTGGAGCTGGCCGCGCTCTGCTTTAATCCAAGTGAGGGTGTCGTTGAAACGCGTCCAGAATCTTAGATCAGCCGGGGACACGGGTTCGTTTTTCGCTTGCGCGGGTCGGGCTTGTTTGTAGCGCATATTGTTCTCATACTCTCGTGCGAGATCATCGAGGCTTTTCATCTTCATTGTGATTTCATACAAGCCTGGGCTATCAACCTGGAGGAGGCTAGCCGCTGTGTCGTCTTGGAACGGTACACCATATGTCTTCCACTCATCAAAAGCCGGGTCTCTCTCTCCTCTCTGAGCACAGAACTCAACATATGCATCGGTAGGCAGGACACAGCGCGCGGACGTCAGCGCGTACGGCATCCATTCATCTGTTTCCGGATCCTGGAGCTCCACCCAGCAACCCAGGGTCCCCTGCCCATCGGGTGAATGACCTGAAGCTAAACTATCCCCACTCTCACAGGGTGTATTCTCTGTGAAACTGCGTGTAAGGGACTCTGGAAGGTCACGCAGATTCAAAGGTGGTCGGCTTGCCGAGTCTGTCGGATAAGCACCCCAACTGAATCAAGATCGAATGATTCAAGAACGGTAACGATCTGTTCCCGAACCACTTTCCAATCCATGGATGCCATCGGGTCCACCCCTCGCAAGACAGTGGGTGAAGAGACCGAAAGCCAGGCCGTCGCTCCAGCGCGACAGCAGCTTATATAAAGGACTCCTGTCAAGGAGATCGTCCGGAGAATCGCTTTCAAGACTGCGGAAAGATGGCGTCCTCTTCGGTACACGACTGCAACCGTAGGCGGTGCCTTGCGGACAAGAAATCATAGATCTCGACCGCCACGTTATCCTCAACAATGGCGGGGTCCTTCAACTCTCGGAGATAGTGGTACACTGCCCAGGCCGCCCGCGTTCCTCGTGCAGCCCAGTCGGGGTCCGTGGGTTTCCTTTTTACTGAGATCGTCACAGTTGTCACGCTCGGTTTGTCTTGTTCGAGTAGGCCACGCTGCTTCCAAAACTGCACACCATCGCCTATCTCCAGGTCATGTTCTTGACAGATTTCGAAAGACTTTAGTGTTAAAGCGAGGTCCTGTATACGGAGAGGATGTTCTGGACCGATCACTTTGCGGTAACAGACTAGTTCAAGCAACGATGGGGCGCCCACGCGGAGATCTTCTTCGATACGTGGCTTGCCAATGGTCAGGCTTAGGCTTTCGTCTCTGGATGACCGATTGTTTCGTCTGACCCGAGCGCGCTGGCCGGACGGGGATAGGAAGGATCCTGATGCGTAACTGAGTTCGCATGCAGTGACTGGCACTACCTGAGGTCCACCTGCCAGTGCTATGGCTAGTAAAAGAGTTAGCAGATGCGACTTCTTCAGATCGAGAAATAAAGAGAGCGAGAAGGAGTGGGAAGAGGCAAAATAATCATACCTCTCCTGTCTTTTTCCTCTTCGGAATCCACTGATAGCAACATACTATTAGAGCTTTGCAGGAGATATGCGATAAATAAGGTTGTTGCTAGTTAGAGGAAGCTCTAGGAAGGATGAACAGGGTTGGATTATACTGTGTACATTCCATCTTTCTTCTTTTCGGTACCTCATCCAGTGAGTCATGAGGGTCATCATATTGACTGTATCCTTCTGGTGCTGCGCCATGCGAACCGGTCAAGTAATTCCAATATGATAAAACGAGGTCATTATGATTGAAGAATCGGCACTGGAAAGATTTTTGAGTTGACGTGATGGATGATTCTTTCTGTTCGGCTGAAATGCGTAAGGCTTATGGGGTTGACTCTTGGTAGGATACAAACACTTTCCATTTGAATGGATCGCGGCTTGTGCTCGATGCGACTGTAAATAGCCAGCCATACATGAAATTTGAAGCATTGACATATCTCGTTACCACTCAGGTTGTTTTATCTTTTCCCCACCTATATACGTATACTAGTAGAGGAAAGACGCAGTTTGCACTTCAACTTCCCTATAGCCGGCTTTTCTCGCTGATCTTGGTCCAGGCACTCTCCTTAACCTTCTGGAAGTCCATGATTGCATCCGAACCACCGAACCGATTCTGGGTCGCTTTCCAGTCCCGATTAACGGCAGTCTCTGGTCTCCATCGGACAACATCCTTCAACTCCTTCTGAAGATGGCCTTCCAGTGCGTCCACAATAAATCCTCCGATTGAGGGCATCTGCATCGCGCCGTTGCCGGAAGCCCCTACAGCAACGATCAATGAAGGATGCTTGGGGTGCTGATCGATTAGAAAGGCACGGTCTGGCGTATCAGCATCCCAGCAGATACGAGCAAAGGAAAGTGGTCGGTCCGCAAGCTGCGGCATCGTGTCCCGAAGAAAGTCCCTAGCACGAGCCTCGGCTTCTAGCGGAATCTGATGTGCTGGAAATGGGATACTCCTGATGTCACCATTCCTCCTAGGATCAGGAATGAAGTTGCAGTATCCGGGATGCTCATCGCAGATCTTCAACTCATGCTTATCCTCATCGGGCTCCATGAAGAAGCCCTTGGCAATGTTGAACAGCACGGGAAGGTTCTTGTAAAGTTTGGCCTCTTCGGGAGTCATCTTAATGTGGCATAAAGTCCAGGCTGTAGGACGCAGCTGCTTCTCAAAGTCCATAAGACGGTCACTGCCCGCACCAGCCGATAAGATGGTGCGATCCGCGCGATGAACCATGCCATCGGATGTCTTCGCTCCCACAACATCGCCATTCTCAAAGACGAGAGCCACAACATTTCCTTGCGGGGACCCAGTCAGAAAATTGGCTCCCAAACGCTTGGCTTCCGTGTAGGCGGATACCATGGCTTTCTGGGCGTGGATCCATCCCGCGTTGGATCTGTTAAGCCAGCCCTGCCAGCCGGGGAACTTGCCAGTCAAGACTCCTGCCGGCATTGTCTTACGAAAGTCCTCGGCTGTTTCCAGCTTCACAAAGTCACCCACCGAGGGCTCAATATCTGTTTCGCGGATGTGCTCGATCAAGGCAGGGGTGTGGCCCGATACGACCACCCCGGTTTCGTGGAAATATGGCTTGAAAACAGGATCTGTTTTCCAGCCTTTCAGAGCAGCACGGGTGCAGGTTGCAAAAGCAATGCTGCGGGGATCCGTATCAGACTCTAGTCACCTATTAGTCGGTTCCTCTTTTGCCCATTGAGTCTCAAGGGTACTTACCGTTGGGCTCTCGATGTTCCATGATTTTATTGATATCGTTCCCCGCTGCAATTGCAGAGGGAACGGTATAGGGATCTAGAACCGTGACATTCTTGTAGCCACGACGGACCAAGTGCAAAGCTGTTGAGCATCCCCAGACACCTGCACCAACAATGAGGATGGTCGAATCATGACTTAAGTCTGAGGGAGCCATGATGCTGAGAGTTGTGTACTGTATGTAGCGGACAAGTGGAGAAGGACTTGCTCTGGTACAGAATGGAACAAATCAAGTGGGTATCGGCCAAGAGGGAAGTATTTGAAGGGAAGGCTTCATCATGCCATGTCCACCTGTTCATCGCGGATTCGTACCGGGAGGAAGTATGAGGCAAAGTGGAAGAAGCATGGCAGGGAATCAGCCATCGAGCAGCCAAAAGGCGGGGTTCCCAATGCAGTTTAGCCCACCGGTTGGACCTTCCTTGCTTTTGAGCATATCGACTCCTCCGCCGATACACTTCTATACACTACTATACACTCTACAGTGCCTACATGTCTACGCTCCTAACCGTCCACTTCTCCGCACATCCACTACCGTGATAAGGTTGTCTCGTGGCTGATGTTATCAGTCGCGTGCAGTGTCCAGACCTGCTTTAGTTGGTGGATCTGACGGCTTCTCCGCATCTTCGTCTGCTTGCCCTTCTTGGCAGATGCCATCAGTCTCAACCCCGTTGCGATAACACCCGTCGTTTGGAGCTTCCTCGACAAGTATACTTATCTTTGTTCCATTCATTCTGCCTCAATGGCTCGAGGGAAATGGTCTCACTCCACATCCCTTATCACGAGGCACCGCGTTCACGGTGTCGCTAGATTTTGGTCATCGTCGGATTCGTGATTGCGGTGGCGGATAAACCAAGGTCCAAGATCATCTTGCCTTGCCTTATCGATCATCACCTACCATGGCAATATGCTCGGTTATTCTCATCCAATCGGAGGAACAAGTGAACCTTGATAGAGCGGAATCCTGACACCTCCCCGGGCCTGAGGATGCTTTTTGACTCAAGTCAAAACTGCGTTGGTGCTGTAGAAATGCATTTAAAAGAGCGGCCACTTCCCCTCCCGATCTCCTGTTTGTTGTCCTGCTTTTTGTGAACCAAGACACCATGACTCGCTCTGAGGATATACAGACAGACGTACCGGGAACGGTCTACCTCGTCGACGCAGGGGGAAACCTGAGTGACGCTGCCCATGCTGGCAGTCAGGATATCCTACTGATTCCCCAGCCTACTTCATCAGTTGCTGATCCTTTGGTACGTGGGATAAAGTAAATTAGCTGACCTCTGTCCTCAAGACTGACTGTTTTTCTGTTAGAACTGGCCCAGGTACAAGAAATACTGGACGCTCTTTCTGATTTCTGCCTACGCATGCTTGAACTCCTTTGGCGAGAACAATTGGGGAGCAGCATGGACAACAATCTCGGAGGATACAGGTGTGAGCTTGAGCAATATGAACGGTGGCTCTGCTCTTAACTATCTCATGCTCGGCTTCTTCAACATAATCTGGATCCCCACGGCCATGAAATTCGGACGAAAGATTGTTTACATCCTCAGCTTGGTCTTTGTACTCGCTAGTGGAATCTGGGGCGGTGTCTTTAGCGGTGTTGCACAGTACTACATCATGATGACAGTCAATGGGATCGGTACCGCTGCCTATCAAGCCCTAATTCAGCTAACGGTACGTCGCCTCTATAGATCTTGCTTGTGGATACTAATAGATCATAGATCTTTGATGTCTTCTTCTCCCATCAACGTGGCCGTATGCTCGCTATCTATATTTTCTTCCAGCAGCTTGGTTCCATCATTGGCCTGATTTGTGGTGGGTATATCTCTGATGGCATCGGCTGGAGATGGAGCCAGCCCATCGTGGCAGGAGCATGCGTAAGTTCTTGTGCGCACCAACACAGAGCATGGTCGAAGCTAATCGATGATTAAGGCTTGCTTGATTCTTCTCTTCATCTTCACTTTTGATGACACGATGTTCCCGAGATACCGGTTCTCAGGCGATACATCGTCTGAGGACTCGAAGGTCGAACCCACCAATACACTGCCCATGGACGACAAGGACCGGAAGATGGAGGCCCCTGTATCCGTCGTGGACAGCCATAGTGCAGGGCAGATCTCAATGCCCCCAAGGACGTACCGCCAAAAGATTGCTTTGGTGCACTATTTCAAAGACGACCATACAACCTGGTTCCAGTATTTCCGCCGTCCATTCTTCCTCTTCGCTTTCCCCAACATCCTCCTGGCCGGGATCCAATTTGCCCTAGGCTGCACCGCCGGCATCGTCTCCTTCAACACCATCTCCGAGATTATGACCGAAGCGCCATACAATTGGAGCGCTGGTCCCGCCGGGTTGATCTTCCTAGCTGCCCTCGTCGGCAACTTCATTGGGTACGGTGCCTTATCTAGTGCAATCCAACATTCAAGCTAACCATAGACTTCAGGATGGGTATTGGTTCGCTGTCCGACTGGCTCGTCATCTTCCTCGCCCGCCGCAACAGGGGGTATAAGGAACCCGAAATGCGTCTCTGGGCCTACGGACTCCCCACCATCCTCGCCGCCGTCGGCTACTTCCTCTATGGCTGGGGTGCTACCGAGGGTGCCCACTGGATGACCATTGCCGTCGGCCTCTGCTGCATGATCGCGCAGCAGGTCTCCGCCACCAGTATCGCGACTGCGTATGCGATGGAATGCTTTGATCAGGTTAGTTGCATATACCCTACTATACTGGAACCCCTGCAACCCTTCCTTCTCGTGCCGATGCTCTCTTCTGCTTCCCCTTCACCTTGTATCTCAGCTCGGACTATCTAACCATAAAAACAGATATCTGGAGAACTAGTCATCATTCTAGCCTGCTGCTCCTCCATCATCAACTTCGTCATTTCCTTCACGGTACAGGACTTCATTGACGGCACCAACTACGGCTGGACCTTTACCTTCTACGGCATTTTGGTCGTGCTCTCCATGCTCATGGGCGTGCCGATGCTGATCTGGGGCAAGAGTTGGCGCCGCAAGTGCAAGCCACGATACGAGCAGTTCCTCGCCGAAAAGGATCTTCATTGAGCCGTCAGCGCGGCCGAATCCCGGACGGCAAGCAAGCTTGCTACATGCTCGTACACCCTCCTTTTATGATTCATGATTGTAATACCTGTTTCCTCTTCTACTCGCTTGCTTCGTCGATATGTTATTAATTCATTGGGCGCAAAAAGAATCGCCGGCCTTCAATGCAAGACAAACATGCAATGCACAAATAATCTATTCTGCCTGAAAATACCAGTGGCCTCATTCTCTCCTACACTATCAGGGTATGTCTAGTTGGAAGATAGAATTGTCTCCGGGGGATGGGAAGCAAAAACTGCTGAAATGCCCATACTGCTCTGAAGGCAGGACTAGAAGCATCAACGGGGCTTGGGCGTGAAAGCCACGAGCTACTGACTTCGCAGGGTCGATATTGGGGAGGAGTGTGTGTGCACACACGCGGCGATTGCGAGATATGGAAGTGGGGTCGGAACCATTAGACTAAGCGGGTGAGATGGGAAGGTAGATTGCGTCACTTTTTCTGGAAGTGCAAGTAGCAGAAGTAATGCTAAATCATGAATTCATGAATCATGACGGACGGTCACGTCTCGTCTCTCACGAGAAGAATTTCTGAGCGGCAGCGCGCTCCTTAGCCACGCGATCCTTAAGGGCCTTCTTTACCTTGGCGATTTCGTTGGTAATACCAGCGTCACCGGGGGCCAGGCGGTCGGCCTCTTGGAGGTCCTTCAGGGCCTCGTCCTCCTCCTTCAGGCCGCTCAGGGCGACGGCACGGCGGTAGTACGCCTTGGCCTTATCGGCATCCTTGGCCTCGGCGGCAGCAGCCACATCGAGGGCGTAAGTAGCCCAAGTCTGAGCGTTCTTGAACTGGCCGAGCTTGTTCGCCAAGAGGGAAGAGTTGGAGTGGAGGGTGAAGCGGAGAGCCTTCATCTGGGGTCCAAGCTCCTTGGGGTCCTGCTCGTCTGGCTCGGGGAACTCGTTGAGGTAGCGCAAACCCTTCTGGTACTTTTCAAGACCAAGGGCGATGTTACCGCTCTTGAAGGCGGCGTTTCCGAAGTTCTTCAACTCAGCGGCAATCTTATAGCACACAGGAGCACTCAGCTGCTCGCCCTGGTGGTCATCGGGGAAATCCTCGTAGGGGTCGCCAGTAGCATCAGGGGTCTGCTTGTCGGCATCCTCGTAGTCTTGGCCGGTAAGCTCACCGCAGTCCACAATAGTGACGTCCGTGGTGGGCTTGTCCGCCTGGGTAGACATGTTCTCAATCTTGCGAACAACGCTCTTTCCGTTGATTACCTCGCCGAAGACGACGTGCTTGCCGTCAAGGTGAGGAGTGGGGACAGTAGTGATGAAGAACTGACTGCCGTTGGTGCCGGGGCCAGAGTTGGCCATGGAGAGGAGGAAAGGCCGGTCATGCTTGAGGTCGAAGTTCTCGTCGGGGAATTTCTCGCCGTAGATGGATTCGCCGCCAGTGCCGTTGAATGCAGTGAAGTCACCACCCTGGATCATGAACTGCTTGATCACACGGTGGAAGATGGAACCTGGTCAAGTCATGGGTGGTAAGTTTCGGCTTGCGAGGACCAATGTCGGGGAGGACGGGAAGTGGGAAGGAGAAAAAAAAATTGGGGCCGGAAATGGTCAAATCGTACCCTTGAAGCTCAATGGCTTGCCCTGCTTGCCCACACCCTTCTCGCCTGTGGAGAGTGCGCGGAAGTTCTCTGCGGTCTTGGGAACAACTAGAGTATGGTCAGGGTGTGTCCGAGACAAACGTCGTGGAGCTTAGATCGTTACTATACCATCGTTGAACTGCGCGGGCGGGGTAGGTTAGCAAGGCTCTCAGTTCAAAACCAACAACCTCGGCATAGGAAAGGAAATGTCTGTAAACTAAACGAAAGGACTACTGACCAGCTCGAGAGCAATGCGACCGGCCTTCTGCTCACCGATCTGAATGTCGAAGAAGACACGGGGACGGCCTGTAGGAGCGCAATGGGTCAGTTATCGGAGCTTCGAAGCTGGGTCCCCGCGGCGGGGAAGAAGGGAAGTCGGAACACACGCTGAGACTCAGCCATGGTGCTGGATGATGGATGTGTGTGGAGAGTGAATGAGGATGATAGGCGGGAAAGCGGAAGAGGTGGATGTGAATGAGCACACAGGAGAGAGAGGAAAGAAGTTTAGAAAGTATAGGGACAAGAAGTCAGACAATGGGTAGGTAAGTGGATAAAATGGCTGAGTGACAGACAGAGTAAATGAGGAGAAGGAAGGAAAGACAAGAGGAGAAAGTGCAGGACTAAAGAGGTAAGAAGTGGGCTGGGCCGGGCCCTCTGCTTGCGATGCTTCAAGAAGCTTCCATCGTTTTTAGGCGCCTGCCGGGACTCTCTGCCTCTGCCTCTGCCTCTGCCTCTGAACTGCATTCCGCCTACTACGACGGACTGGACAGTTTGTACAGTACGTATTCGTTTTCTTTTCTTTTCTTTTCTTTGCTTCCCCCTCCCTTTCTCCGTCTTGATTGATGGATAGATGAGGGGAAACTTACACTAGTTCGCGATCGATCGCGGTCTGATAGGAGTGGATCTACGCTCCTACTGCTGTTCATCGTACCGAGAAACGCAATCTGGGGAATTCTATACTTCACGAATCTAAACGCCCTCCCTTCCCATCCACCCCAATCCCCCCTCAAAATCTATTATGGGTATGTCTATAAGGAACTTTTTATATACACCTGAACCAATCTGAATCTCGAGGGATCATTCTCCTCGTATGTTCATCGTAACGCCCTTCCATCAATCAATCCAACAACTCCGCGGGTATCTTGAACTCGAAAGTCTGAGGCCGCGTTTCTTGCGGCTCGGCCTCCTTCTCCTTCTTCTCCTTCTTGGGTAGTTGGGTGTTGATCTCGATCGTAACCTATATCAGCCGCAAAAAAAACCATCAGCGTCAGCCCAGCAACATCAGTGAAGGAAGCAGGAAGAGAAGCGAGAGCTTTACCACCGCATCTTCACTGCGGTAATCTACACCCACCGGCCCGTCGTTCTTGAGCTCGACCTCCATCATCGCCTGGAAGATGCCATTCTTCACCCGTTCAGGCTTGTAGCTGTTGCTCAGTTTTTGGTAGAAATAGTCGTAGAGTTTGCGTGCAGTCTCCACATCGGCTGCGGCGTGGAAGTCCGGCTTGCTGCCCTTCTTCAACTCGCCATAGAGGGTAAATTGTGAGACTGGGTGGAGGACGGCCAGGGGTGTCAGCGAAGCGCATCCAAGAGACTATCCGTGGAGGGATCTGACTGTACCGCAAAGCACTTCTCCATCGATATCTTGGACGTTCTTCTTCCACTAGATTTGCAATGCGCCGCGTTAGATGTGTGCTGCAGGCAACCGAGCGATCGCGGGCCTCGTCTCACCGGTTTCTCGTTCTCATCGGACCAAAGCTTGGCTTTCAATATTCGCCCAACCATCGTATCGGCATCTTTTTCCGTGTCCTCTTTGCCTACACCGGCAAGCACAAGCAGCCCCTGGCCAATCGACGACACAAGTTGCCCGTCGACGGTGACCGAGGCGGACTTGACTCGTTGGAGTACCGCTGTGCGAGGCATCAGTCAGAGTTATTTGATTTCGCACGCATTTCTCATAAATTGCGCACCCTTCATATTGCAACGCGCCAAACGATAATCAAGAATATGGTCGTGGCAGTTCAGCGGGAAGAAAGTCTGCGAGGGTTTATGAATGGCTTGTCAATATCGGCCTTGTTGCGGCAAGCGGGTAGCTGCAACCGGCGGCGCATACTACCATCACTGTCACTGGACAACAACTGACTGCTAAGTAATATGCTGGAAATTATGTCAGCGCACTCCTGTACAGAGAACCAACACCAAAGGGGGTGTGCACATTCAGCCTCCTACCTCAAATCTTGCCAGCCTGAAGACAAAAACAGTTGTCGTTGTAGATTTCACCAACGCACACCATGGATCATGTATGACGGAGGAGAGATGATGAACAGTAGTTTGAGAGTTGCCCGCTCGCTCGCCGCCCCCGGGCTCGGTAATGCCCATCCCCCGTGACCGCCTACTGCTTCGGGCATTATCCCAGCTTCTGAGAGACCAGGACCAAAGTATCAGGAGATTGACACTCCTTCACTGTGTCCCCAGAAACAATCACAACCCCCCCGCGTTCTTTTGTCAACAAAGAGCTGCGCAGGCAGTAACTTGCCCCCACGCGCTAGACTATTCGAAATTCTCTTCAATCCGCCCTGCGATCTTCCCTCCCGTCCATCCCATCCCGTTCCTCGGCCATCCCGAGTCTCACATCACCCACGTCAATTTTTCGTCGAGTACCTGCCCTCTCTCCTGTTCATGTGAAAACGGTCGCCGCGATGACGTCCCGAAAAACGCAGCAGGAGATCGACAAGACCTTCAAGAAGGTCGCCGAAGGCATCGTAACATTCGAAGGCATTTACGAGAAGATCCGCTCGACGACGAATCCCACCCAGCGGGATAAGCTCGAGGAAAACCTGAAGCGCGAGATCAAGAAGCTCCAACGGTATCGAGATCAGATCAAGTCGTGGGCGTCTGGAAATGAGGTGAAAGATAAGGGTCCGCTGCTCGAGCAGCGCAGAGCCATCGAGACCGTGCGCATTCTCTCCGCCCTTCAATGCCGTGGCGAGGAGGGGAGCTTGTTTTGCTGACTATAGGGGCTTTTAGTGTATGGAGCAGTTCAAGGCCGTCGAGAAGGAGATGAAGACGAAAGCATACTCCAAGGAGGGTTTGTCGGCAGCATCGAGATTGGATCCCAAGGAGAAGGAGAAGGTGGAGACATGCGACTTCTTATCGAGCATGGTCGACGAGCTACAGCAACGGATCGAGGCTATGGAGGCAGAAGAGGAGACGTTACATATGCAGATGAAGAAGGGGAAGAAGGATGTGGCCAAGACGAATCGGTTATCGGATATCTCGCGGATCACGGAGCGTCATAAGTGGCACGTCAACAAGTTGGAACTGCTGTTACGGTCGCTGCAGAACGGCAACGTCGAGACGCAACAAGTCCTGGATCTCAAGGAGAGTATCAAGTACTATGTGGAAGACGGGCACAACTTGGACTACTCGGGCGAGGACGAGACCCTATACGATGATCTGAACATGGACAACGAGGCGGAGATGCAGTTCGGCATCGCGGGCGACAACGACCGTGTATCGTCGCAAGATACCCAATCCGTTCAAGAAGAGGAACCGGAGGTTGTCAAGCCGAAAGTGAAGCCCGATACCTCGGGACCCCGACGACCTTCCGCGCAGATGAAGTCCCCTCTTCCCGTGCTGGCCACCCTCCATCCCGTAACGTCGACAAGTGCCACCTCCGGCATGAAACCGGCCCCGCCTCCAACGCGCCTGCCAGGAGAGACACTCAAGTACGCCTCTGCGGCGGCCGCAGCTGCTGCCAGCGACAAGAACGGCGTGGGCATCGCACCTCTGCCGCCACCGCCAGGCGCCAGCCCCGCTTTCCCGCACGCCGTACCTGCATCCAAACCCTCCACCTCCACAACCGCCTCCCCCAGCATCGCTCCTGCACAACCCGCGGTGAGGTCATCGTCAGGAGTCACGATAGCGGGCGAGGAGTCGAGTAGTGGCAGCCGATCCAAGACCCCTGCTGCGAGTCCGCACGTGGCCAGCGCGAGCACGTCGACGCGAGGCGTGCCGCAGACCCCCGCCATGGAGAAGGCTGAGACCTCGGGTAGCGGCAGCAGCACTAGCAACAACATCACCACCAACAACAACAAATCCCGACCCACGACGACGACGGCGAACACCACCAACGGCGAGTCAAGCGGCAAGGAGGACTCGTCGCGCGAGAGCGAGGAATCCATCTACCACCTCCCGCCGGGCCTGCAGGATCTGATCCAGTCGTTCGAAGTGACCAAGAGCCGTGCCGCGGCCAGCGCGACCAACCCGTCCCCGTCGGTGCAGCGGTTGCTGGCGGCCTCGCTGGCCAATTGCCCCGAGCCGGCCGACGCGGAGAAACCCCGTCACTACAAGCCGCAGAACCCGTACAACACCCCCCTCTACTACCCCCAGGAACCGCTCCCGATCTTCGACGACCCGCGTCTGTACGAAACCGGTCGCATCGACACGGATACGCTGTTCTATCTGTTCTACTACCGCCAGGGCTCGTACCAGCAGTACCTGGCCGCCAAGGCGCTGAAGAACCAGAGCTGGCGGTTCCACAAGCAATACCAGACCTGGTTCCAGCGCCACGAAGAACCCAAAACCATCACCGAGGAGTTCGAACAGGGAACGTATCGTTTCTTCGACTACGAGAGCACCTGGTATGTTTTCTTCCCCGCTTCTTCCCTGTTGCTTCTTCGAAAGTAAGCCGGCCCAACACGGGAGCAAACTAACTTTGGGACTACAGGATGAACCGTCGTAAAGCGGATTTCAAGTTCGTCTACAAGTACCTTGAGGACGAACTATAAACCACCCACCCCATAACCATCAGCACGCGAACCACAATAATTCGAGGCAAACTGACGAGATGTTGTTTGTGTACATGTGTTGAATGTTTGATTTGCTCCCCCATGACATGATTTCACCACTGTAGATGAAGAAACCAGGACAGAGAGAAATCATAAGGAGCAAAAAAAAAACAAAGACTTTTTATTTTCTTGCTCTTTCTGACAACAGCCCATGCGGTTGCAGGGGGTTACTATACCTCGGTTCAATGTTCTCAAAGTGGCCGATCTGTCTTGTTTCTGATCTTATCTGGGATCTGTGTGGATTTGCTTTTTTTTTCTGTTTTCGCTGGGTTTGCTGTGGTTTTTTTCTCTTTCGAAGCATGCAAAGGGACGAAGTCTTACGAATAAGGGGACACAAACTGGGAGTTTCTGTTGCTGTTTTATTCTTGAACCTGGGGGGGGCGGACTGACGGGCAAAATAAAATCACACTGCAAGAAGGAGAAGAACCCTTTGGGGTTGGTGGGTTTGTTCGACCTTGGTGCATTAAAGGATTACTGTTGTTGTCGTTGTCGATGATGATCTTTCTCTTGGCCTCTTGTCTTGATCTGAACACCATTTGGAATGGACACCTAAGCATCCCCCTCCAACCCCCATCGAGGTTTTTGTCTTCGTTCTTCGGCCGGATAGTCTCGGTCTTGAGTAGATGTGTAGGACCTTCCGGGTAAGATCTGCATTCGAGGTTCTAGAACAGCGGGGGCGGAGGGGGCCAGAGGGCTGTGAATGCCAGGTTTATCCTGCTGTGTGTGGGTTGCAACTTGGAAGGTCTGATGTTCTGATGAAGGGAGGGGTGGGGAGGGGAAGGAGGGAGGGGAAAGAGGGAGGGGAAGGGGGAAGGGGGAAGGGGAAGAGGGAAGGGGAAGAGGGAAGGGGAAGAGGGAAGAGGATACTTGAATGGAACTGAAACGGAGTCTTGGGTGGTGGTTTCATAGTACGGACTCAGGGAGGGACGGGGGGGGGAAGGGAAAGCTGCAGTGCATCTACCGAAAGTATAATCGGGTCCTCGCTTTGCGTTCTTGGAAGGCAAGTCGGCAGATCTGCGACATGACATGCAGCAGCAGCAGCAGCAGTTCTTCAACTCTGAGTACAGTACATACATATATAGTGCTATACCTTATGTACTCATATGCACACCGTAACTAGACTCCGGACTAGGTACAGTAGGTCCCAGGAAGATCGGGGGGTGGATAGACTAAGACCCGGGAATCATGCAGGCCGGACAGAGTCCAGTAGGAGGGGGTCAAAACACAATCGAGAGAACAAAGAAAGAAAGTGCAGAGATTTTTTTGGAGACTACCTTAGAGACTAGACGTCATCGAGAACCATGAAGACGAACATCGTGTGCTCCGTGCTCCGTGCTCAGTTGATTCGCTCTGCTCTCACCGTATATCAGATGGTACGGTAGAAAGTCGGTGTAAAAATAGTCGACGAGGTGGGAAGAATTGAAGATTTTCCCCCAGCACGGACCCGAGAACAAGTGGGAAAAAAAGTGGTTTGTTTGTTTTTTGGTTTCTGTTTCTGTTTTGGTTTTGGGGGGAGCCGAATTAATGCCTCTAGCGGCGGCAATGAGCGCGCGGGAAGCAGGAGGGTCCGTAGGGAACTCGATGGAGAAGATGGGATAGACAAAGGAAATTAGTTGGATCGTAGAAGACCTGCAGGGAACAAGACTTGGAAGGTTTTCTATGAGTATGCAGTTGCCTGCCGTGAGTGAGGTTGGTGCTTGAGCCGCGACCCTCTTTCCTTGGAGTGGGTGCACCGTACGGGACGTACGTACTCCAGCTCCATCGCTCAAGGTCGTTGGAGCTAGACTAGAATCGATTTGTAGATTGGGTATCACACCCGTGGAGACCGAGAGGAAATTAAGGATGTTCGAGGATAAGGAAGAATGGGTCCTGCGATGATGAATTGCCGCCGCTTGGATCAACTCGTCGAAGGAAAGACCAGTCGAGACCAAAAGACCCTGCCTTAGCTAGGTAGGTCCGTTGTAGATACTGAGAAAAGTAAGTAGCTAGATAGCTGGTCCAGGTTGTCTGGCACGGATGACGGGCGGTTCTTCTATTGCCGTTGGATTGCTGAGAGGCTCGTGATATCTACAGTAACTTGGTTGTTAATCGAGCAAACGTACCGCGGCAGATAACCTCGCGAGGAGCCCTGCTCGGATAACTCGGTCCTTCTCCAGGCTGTACTAAGCGTCAAGTTGACCAGTGACCAGTAAGTCATGAACAAGACAACAAGTCATCCCGCGAAGCATCAATAAGAATGAAGCACGCTCGTCTGGGGAATATCGCGCAAGTCGCCTCACTTCCTCCTCCCGCAGGAACGATAGAGAGCTTCATGTCATGCGCGATTTTACACGCGCAGGAGGAACAGCTTGAGGGCTGGCAGTGTCAGATTCAACCTCATTCTGACCGCAAGAGGGGCTGTGCGGGCATTGATGGTGGTGGGTGAGTGATTGTAGGTAAGTTCTTCGCTTTCTTCTCGCCTCTATCTTGCCTTCTTCATTATCGTCATCGTCATTGTTACTTTCGTTTCCCCAGACCGAATTCCACCACCCGTGCTTCGCTTCTTGGCACTTCCAACAAGGCTGTCGGGAATCGAACAAGAGCGCAATCGATCGTTCTTTAGCGACAACAAGAAAAAGAAAACGAAAAAGAGAAAAAGAAAAGGAAAAAAAAAACCACAGAAAAAAGTTAACGCCCCGGGAAGCCCGTGCCGAACTGCGAGGTATTCCATTCCCGGCCGGGGAAATTACCCTCCCTCCCTCGCTCCCTCGTCAATTTCGAAGGGTTTTGCAGGTTGAACTTGAACTTTGCAGTGCAGTCTGTTCTCAGCTCTTATCGCCAACCACCCACGATCCATCCCGATCGATTCGATCTTTCCCCATTCGCTCGCTGCGATCACGTTCCTCCCGCCTTTCCCCAAGCTGCATTTTACTTAGTATCTGCATCTCTTTTGCCCGATGGCCCCGGGGTTCGATGACTCCTGCACAAGGGCGGCTCGTGACAGCTGCGCTACAGTACAGACATGCAGTTCAGTACTTTTGATCCTTTCTGTATTTCCGGTTGACCTCATCGGGAGGCTTTTCCGTTCAGTCTCGTCTCGCCAATGCATCTGGTGAGCTCCGTCGGCAGGCTCCGCTTCAAAGTTTCCCGCCTGGGGGAAGGGGGGAAGGCAGGAGATGAAGAAAAAGTCGAAGGGAAATGGCGGTCTTGTCGGAACGAGTCAGGAATCGATCCTAGCCCGCATCATTTTTTTCCAGAACCTTGGCCAGTCCTTCATCGAGGCCCAACTTGCGACTAAGAAGGTAGCAGCCGACGGTCCACCGAATCGGTTGAATTATTATTTATCACCTAAATTTCCTTTCGGGAATGCTTCTCAGTTGATGTGGGGGATCGCTCTTCCCTATGACGATATCAGGATGATTAGGTTGATTCGAGTGTCAGCCTTCACCGCAGAGTGTCTTGGACTTTGGCTGGTTTTGGTTGGAATGGCTCCTCTTTTTTCTCGGGCCGGAGTGGAGTCCGTCGCTGGTTACTTTCCGTGCCAACCACCAATCAACCGACCCTAATCGCCCCTAGAAGCTTGGAAGAAGGTTCTTTGGTTCTTCGGTGCTTCTAGCGTCAGCACTAGCCGGGATCGCTTCACTTCCAAAGGTTTGCAATCTGCCCGCTCGCCAATGGCAGTGCCCCGCTGGCGGGGGCTGTGTGGTTAACTGTGGTAAACTGTGGTTGTTGTTGTTGTTTTCTCCAATTCCTCCTGCATTATTCCCGGTTCCCATTTCCCAGGGCTCCCAGGCTGCATTGAGTCTATCCTCCCCCCCCCCCTCCCCTCCCCTCATTTCTCCTTCCCAATCCACTCTTCCCTTCTTTTTCCCACCCACCCTAGCATTTTAGTGGAAGATCATACTAGTCCGTAGTCCGTAGCGCGCTCACCTGATGATGTCGCCGTGGGTGCGTTCGTGTTGCTTAGCTTCTCTGGCGCTGGCCGTTTGGGCTGTTTTCGCGGTGGAGAAGCACCGGCCGCGTCTAATGCAAGTGCGACGTAGTCGACCTGACCTGATCAAAGAAGACAATGGTTATAAAAACCCGGACAGCCCAGTCTGGCTGGTTCACGCTTTTGCTTGTTATTCACTAGTATCACAGTCTCTCTTGGATAAAAGAACCCTTGCAGACTATTGATTTACTTAAACTCTCTCTCACTCTCACTCTTTCTTTCATCGCGTCTTCACCGTTGTATATACTTTCTTATTTTCCTTCTCTTGACTTCACAATGTATGCCATGTCTGCAATGGTGAGTCCCAGGCGGTGTGAGGGTTATCTATCACAAGATATCAAGACTGACTGGAGCCCTTATAGAGCCCTGCTATGCTTGAATGCCCACCAATGGAACACTCGTACTCCACCAGCAGTGAAGAGTCGATGCAATCGACTCTGGGATACATGGGCCACCCATCGTTGTATGGGATGGTAGGGACGGAGATGTCTTTCGTCCAGCCCACCTACGAGCCCTCATCATACGACTCGACTCCGTTCAGTTCGCCTCAGACGGTGGCCTCTTCGACCTTCGACATGTACTACCCCAGCAACAACAACACCTTCACGGCCTCGCCCATGGTCTATTCGCCCGAAGCCTACTCGTTCCACCAGCTTCCAATGCAACCGTCTTCGTTCCCGGTGCCCAATATCGAGTGGATCCCCACCCAATCCAGCCCGAACCCGGAAGTTGTTTACTCTCCCGTTGAAAGTTACGAGACCCTCGACGCGTCCAAGTGAGTTCCCCATTTTTTTTTTCCTCTCTCTGTTTTCTTCTTTTTTTCTTCTTAAGTGTTTCTTTGGCTGTTAGTCAACAACGCTAACCCCTGGACCCTGCAGACCCGTCAAGCCCTACACCTGCGAGGACTGCAACAAGGCGTTTACTCGGCCAGCCGATCTCAAACGTCATCAGACCAGCGTCCACAATCCTGTCTTCCAGGACTGTCCCGTGCAGGAATGTCTCCGCAAGGATGGCAATGGGTTCCCTCGTCGAGACCATCTGATCGAGCATCTGCGCTCCTTCCACCACTGGGACGTGCCCAAGCGGCGGGCAGCCAAGCGGGCCAAGACAGCTTAGATGGATGTCTGTGTGGCCTGCTTTGCCTTGCCTTGTCTTGTCTTGTGTTTTTGTCCCGTGTGTTATGAATAGAGATACCCCTTTCCTTTGTCAGATGTTTATGCTTATGTTTATGTTTATGTTTTATGTCCTTATGTCCTTTCCTATGTCATGTTATGTTACTGTCAATTATGTCTACATGAATGAACCCCACAATAGAGTGAGGGAGGTGGACTGGTGGGGGAAGCCGGCGTTTTGGATGGGGGTGGGATTATACATTGGACTCGGTGTCATGTATCAGCAGCAGCCTTTTTGCATTTGCAGTTGCATCTTGTCTTTCTTTCCTTTTGACTGTCACTTTAACTGGTTTCTTACCTTACTAGAGATACTATACTATACACGAACATACCTATACGATATGACCTTGACCTTGACCGTCTCAGACATAAACAATTTTTCCCTACCTACTTCCCCCTCCCATACCATATCCCCCAAACGTAACCCCTCCCCTCCCCCAAACCCTCTCATTCCATTTTATTTCATTTCAATGAAGAAGATGATGAGACTACCTCAGGAAACTCCACAAAACAAACCCCGCGCGCCACCCCCTCCCCATCAAACCGCACCCCCTCCGCCTCCAGCAACCGGCGCTTCATCCCCACGCCCTCCTTCGCCTTGCCCGGCGCCCCCGCCCCAGGGGCCCCGGAGTACCCGACCAGCAACCGCCCGCCACCGCCCAGCACGCGGTGGCAGGGCACCTCCGGCGCGAAGGGGTTCAGCCGCATCGCCGCGCCGATGGCCCGCGGGCTCGTGCCCAGGTGCCGCGCCAGGGCGGCGTAGGTCGTCCACCGGCCAGCGGGGACGGTGAGGAGGGTCTGGTAGATGCGGCGGCGGTGCGGGGGCAGGGTTGGGTGGGTGTGGAGGCGGTGGAGGGTTCTGGACCGTGGGGAGGGATGGGGGTTTGGGGTGGTTGTGGTTGTGGTTGTGGTTGTGGGGGTTGACATTGGTTTTTTGTGTGCTGGTAGTATGTATGTATGTATTGAGGGTGCTAGGTGTGTGTTGTGGTGAGTGGCTGGGTGAGAATAATGGGTTTGATGTTTGTATTTTAGATCATCTCGGTGGTCTGCAGGGTGAGATATGCTGAGAGGTAGCGGGCTAGCGGGTTGATCTTTTTGTTTGTGCTTTGTAGGCGAGTCTGTGATGATATCAAGGTAGATGGGTGGAGGGTCCTTTGGAGGGTATGGATTAGTCAGCTTGTTCGTGTTTCTGGAGGTCACGGTGGTTGGCTACCTTGGTCAAGTGGAGGGTGGCTGAGTGAGTGGCTTGCAACTCGGAAAGAATCTTATAGTTGAAAAAATTAATGGTTTTCTATCTGGGAGGTGACGGTATAAATACTTGAGGGGGTTTGGGGGGAGGTTTTTCTTAAGCGACAGGCAGGTATGGGGATGAGTCGGGGTTGCTGTTGAATTGACCAATCATTGCCCGTTGTTTCTCTTCGGTTCGAAAGGTTATCCGGTATGCACTCCAGGCTGCCGGGTACTGTAGTACAGTATCGACTTACTAGGTAAGGTAGTCTATGTTTATCAATTTAACCAGGTTAGCTGGTCTGGAAGCACGTATAGAAGTTGTACGGATCAAGAGATTCCCGCTACTCAGCCCCGGTCGAGCTAGGGTCTCGTCTAATAGCGCTAAACTAGCTGCATACTTAACTCACTAGGTATACCTATACATGTACATGCTCCACCACCAAACTCCCCTTCCTGGCCGTAGTCTCAACATACCCCGGATTCTCCGCCTTCAACCTCGCAAACGTCTTCTCGGCATCCCACACCCATGGCGAGTCCGCCGCGAACAACAGATCCATATCCTCCAAGGTCCGCTGGTTACTCTCCGGGTACAGCGCCCAGACCATCGGGATCGTAATGACGTTGCTCGCTGCAAACACATACAAGGTCTTCTCGCCGATGGCGCTGAACATGACGGGGCATAACAGGGTCTAAAAGAGAATGGTCAGCGTATGTACAGTCATGGTATCGTCGCTCGTGGTCTGTCTGGTTTCCCGCACTGGGAATCTTTTGAGCCTCGTCCATTTCAAGCCATCCCCCATAGACTCCAGTCATTCCTTCACTCTTCATCATCCACAAAGCCACATGCCCCAACGGGGAAAGCAAGACGAAAAGCACGGGCTCGCTAGGGGCACACTAACCAACCAGCCATTGCCAATGCTCCACCCAACGACTCCCCAGGCGTTGCCGCGGGCCCGCACCGCCAGCGGGTAGATCTCGGCTGGGTAGATCCATGGCACTACATATATTAACGTTAGCCTCTCTCCTGAACGCATCCCATCAAAGGCATACCGGTCAGCCATGTTGCGCCAAACACAGAGGTAAAGATGAAGATCATCGCAGCGGCCGCTGCACCAAACGAGGCCGCCTTATCGCTGTGGCCCGCCTCCCGAGCATTGATGGCCAGCCGCGAGAAGCCGCCCGCCAGGAACATGGCGATCCCCTGCGCGGTGGATCCCCAATAGAGCGTCCACCGGCGGCCGATGCGATCAAGTGTGAAGACGCAGACAAGGGTGGCGAACTGGGTTTTGCTCGTTAGAAATATGCGTACACAATCGTGACCGGACACGCGGCTTACCATGTAGAAGATATTGTTCAACCCACTGAGCCATTGGCTTTTCATCGAATCGAAACCTGCGATGCTGAAGATTGTCGGGGCGTCTGTTTTGGAGTTACGATAAGAGTCCGGGCAAACAAAAGACGAAGGGAGAATAAAGGGTCAACGCACAAACTGTGACGCCCGCTATACCAACCCATTCTTGCATGATCTGGAGCCAGATGACCAGCTGCACCCGTCGGCCCAGGTGCAGTTTTCCCGTCTTGTATCCAAACAACATCGCCAAGTATGAAGTGCTGTGGTTCATCGACCGCTCCAGCTCGGCCACACTCTGGATGTCCCGGAACTCCGCCTCGGCGCGCACGGCATCATCCCCCGTGTTTCCTCGCAGCCGGCCGAGAATGTAGCGCGCTTCTTGCTCGCGACCGACCTTGACGAGCCAACGGGGCGACTCGGGGAAGAACCAGACCACACCGAACAACATGAGGAGGAAGATGATCTGGAACGCGATGGGAAACCGCCAGCGGAACGCGGACTTGCCGCCGTCGATGAAGGACAGACCGCTGCATTCTGTTAGCATTGTGCTGTTGAACCAGGATCAAGACTTGAACATGGATACGTACAACTCCAACCAATAAGCCACCACCACGCCGAAGATATTCAGCGTGAACTCGATCGCAATGAACTGGCCACGCGACGTATGCTCGGCCGTCTCTGTCGCCCAAACCGGGACGATTGCATTCAGGATCCCAGTCCCAATCCCATTCACCAAGCGCGCTGCATTGGTTCCCATCAGCAACAGCCCACCGCTCTGCATCGCGTGCATCCAATTCGAAGAAACCCAACTCACCGCAAATCATCCAATCGTGGTTCTGCGCCGAACACTGCAAGCAGGCGCCAACCACCGCCCAGGCCGCCCCGACGGCAATCGTCCTGATGCGCCCGATCTTGTCCCCGACCCAGCCCCCGAGGAGCGCGCCACACAGCGTCCCTAAGTAGTAGACCGAAACAATGCCCCCCTGCAGCAGACTATCCGTGACCACGGCGGTCAACTCCCCGTTCTCCATCTTCGTGTACCCGAACCCCATCAGGTCGATGTAGTCTTTGGAGTTGTTCACGCCCGCCATCACCCCCTGGTCGTAGCCGAAGAAGAGAATCGAGAGGGCGGCCACGCTGTTGATGGCGATGAGGAGCTTGCGCTTCTCGAAGCGGTGGACGACGTTCCATGATGGTATGAGGTCCATGGTGTATATACTGGGTGTTGGCCGATCAGTGGGCGTGATATGTTGCCATCAATCGCGCTTGCATACGGTATGTACAAGCTATCGTCGTTTGTATCGAAAATATCAAAGCCACGGTGCACCGGTGGTCGAAGGCAGAACGTACAGGGAAGACAACCAACCGCGTGGGGGGGGGGGGGGGGAGCGCATCCACCAAAAGAACCAAAGCAATATAGCATGGGGGGTGAAAACTACGGGGTCACACAAACTACTTAAATAATCGTGCATTCGCTACAAGCAATCCCCCAAAAGACATGCATCAATCTAGACACGATGGTCGGCTGGTCCCGCCTGGGAGCGTGCAGAGGTGGAAGAAATCGCCGCGTTGGAGTCGGCAGGTGAACCCTAGCCAAACCCCCCCACGATCATGTCAAATATGGTTACATTCCGGTGGGATTTGGGATGCTAAGTAAGACAGACGTGCGAACCGCTGGGTTTTCCGCCGGAGTGGGTAAATGGGTCATGCAGTCACTGACGGGGTTCCAACTTCAGGCCACTCCCTTTCTTCATTCCCTCGCACCAAGATCCACCCTGAAAGTTGAATGTGACGCGATGGGGGTGGGGGTTTGGGGTCACTTGGGCCGTTATCATCCATTTTATGGGGGCTTGCGGGAAAAGCTGGGGTTTGCGGACGGGATTCGGGGGGGAGGGGGGGGCATTCGGTTCTGGAGTTTCGGGATGGGGAGGAGATTCGATTCGGGGGTGCTAGGGTATGCTTGCGGGGGATTCGATATGTGTGTGTTCATGCTGTCTGTGAGGATCTGCTGATCGTTGATCATGAGGGTGGAGTATGTATGTGTGAGTTACTTATTTGAAAAGCTCATAGCCTACAGGGCTTGGTTGTTGTGAAGGAAGACAGGCATCATTACCCCGGGTAAATATATCCCGAAGTCAGAATCCATACATCCAACATACTCGATTATCATTGACGAGACGATCCCTCAATCGTGACGGGAAAGGTGACTCATGGACCATGCAGTGGCCGTTGCTGGAGCAAACCCAGATACTGGCATAATTGAGATAGACCGTGGAGATAGACAAATCAGGCAGCATGACATGCTTGCAGATGTGTTTGCTGGTTTACCCCTCGTTCTTCCATCCTATGCGGTCCTATGCGGGGAATGGGGATGGTTAGTTTAGCTGGGGAACATCGGGCGGATCTCCTCCGACTCTCGCCTGTTCGGGCAATTGGCCTACCATGGACTGGATGCACTACAGTGTCAGCATGGTTGTCACTTATGGATAATCATTGCAAAGAGATAAGGTGTTCCCGGTTCAGAGTACTACTTGAAAGAATAGCTATGTGCTTCCCGCTGATGTGTTCTCTTCGGAAACCCATCCATTCTAACTAAACTAGCTGACTTGCTGTACAGTACACAATAGCGGAACAGAAGAGTGCCATAGTGCCAAGGCACGATCTACAACGAGAATAGCCGAAGCCCAAAGTCGATCGTGCCATTTTGCAACGTACGTCATCGTCCCACCCACAGGCAAGCCTGCTTCCCAATGCTGCTAGCTAGGCGTAGGCATGGCTCCAGCTGTGGATGGAGACTCCAATATATACCTTCAGGAAGAGGTCTTGGCATCTCTGACAGGAGTTTCAGGGAACTTTTGCTTGGATTCAAGCACCTGATCAACAGAATCAGTCAGTTGCTGTAGTTCTGGCTGTTCGCCTTTTTCTCCAGGCCAAGTGAATGAGTTCAGGCCAGTAGATCTGGAGGAAGATGACTGGGTCAACCGCTACTAAGTCTACGAAGAGATGGGGGTTCGCTCTTTGTCCGTGGTAATCTGAGGATGCAACGACCCCGGATGGATACATCCGCTAGACTGACTGACTCCTCGACCGAGAAGATATATTTTGGGGTCTACTCCGCATCAGAGCCCCTTCTTCCCAACTACTCCTATCAGGACGTCGCCGATTCATCCTGCAACGATACACGAGTCCACAAATTGCCGCTGGTATTGCGTCTTTGGAAGACCCGGGGCTACTGACTCTGCTCCCTGATTGAAAAGCGCAGTTGTCGCTCAGCATCTTTGTGATAGCGGAATCATGCCCTTGGACCTGAGGCCAAGACAGCCGCGCTGTTATCCGTGCTCATCCTTGCTTACCCGCGGGTAATGATTGAACAGGTATTGAGTAAGTAATCTTGAGGGGTTTGCCTTTGCTGCAGTCCCTGCCGGGCTCATGCCCGATGCAAGCCGCTGAAGAGCGTCGTATGTGGTGGATGACGGTGATGATTGTTGTACTGTACACTTCCGACAATTCAAGGTTCTATTGCCAACTGGTGCCAACTGGTAGAAGACGGCCAGTCCGGGCGGTGACGACCGTGAATGTTCCTGTCCTTGCCCTTCTGCAGTTGGGACGGTGCGGTAATCTTCCAGTACCGATCCTTACCGGGCTGTTCCTTCCGTCACAGAGTCAGAATCTCAACCTCAATTCCCAACTGAAGAGGCATAAGAAAGGCCGATAGTCAATCATCAGAACACTCCGGTCCGGACTCATGACCTGATACCTTACCTATATCATCTTTTACTGGAGTTACAACCCAATCTTGTCTGCATCGGCAACATGGATATGAGTTTAGTCAGTAACCGGATTGACCCGATGCTGGCTGGGCCTCGGGCTGATTACATACGCCGCTGAGAAATACAGTATCGATAATACCGGCCCGCCAAACGAACCTCAGAAGCTTCTTGTGTCCCAACACCGACGCCTTTTTCCCTATCCTCAATCAAACCTCCTTCCATCCGCAATTATCCCCACTCCCTCCCCCCCTTACCCTCCTCTCCCGACCTCGCTCACTCGGAGGATTGGTTGTCTGTTCTGATCTCGACCTCCTTCGGATTTCTTCTCTCTTCGCTTCTTCTCCTATTCCCTCGTCATGTTCCGCAGTCTCCTGCCGCGGGCGACACCGCGGGCTGCCCTCCGCTCTGTCGGCCCCAAGGCTGTCCCTTCCAACTTCATCGCCACTCCTTCTCTCACTCTGTTCACGAAACGTGGCTATGCCTCTGAGTCGGGTAGGTGATCGAACTTTCCTGACGATGCCGGCCAGGTTGAGGCCTGTCGCGGCCGATACCTGCTCTTCCGGATCAAAACCCTTTCCCGGTCTGTTCCCGGCTAACCGGTGGTTTCATGGGACAGGTGAGCACGATGTCGTGATCATTGGTGGTGGTGTCGCTGGATACGTTGCTGCTATCAGAGCTGGTCAGGAGGGTCTCAAGGTGCGAAATTCGGGTTTCCCCCCGCTCAGCGATGCGGTGAAGCTGTACAACTAACCTTGGTCGCCTCTCTTTTTTTTCCGCCTTCGACAGACTGCCTGTATCGAGAAGCGTGGCCGTCTCGGTGGTACCTGCTTGAACGTTGGCTGTATCCCCTCGAAATCTCTGTTGAACAACTCCCACCTGTACCACCAGATCCTCCACGACACGAAAAAGCGCGGTATCGAGGTCGGCGATGTCAAGCTCAACCTTGAGCAGATGATGAAGGCCAAGGACACCTCCGTCGAGGGCCTGACCAAGGGTATCGAGTTCCTCTTCAAGAAGAACGGTGTCGACTACATCAAGGGTACCGGTGCCCTCGTCGACGAGAACACCGTCCAGGTCAACCTTCTCGACGGTGGGGAGCAGACTCTGCGCGGCAAGAACATCATCGTTGCCACCGGTTCCGAGGCCACTCCCTTCCCCGGCCTGAACATCGACGAGAAGAGAATCATCACCTCCACTGGTGCTCTCTCCCTCAAGGAGGTCCCCAAGAAGATGGTCGTCATCGGTGGTGGTATCATCGGTCTCGAGATGGTAGGATTTTCTTTTCTTTCACTATTCAAATGTCCGCAGCTAACCCGTTGGACTTTGTTGTAGGCTTCCGTCTGGTCCCGTCTCGGTGCTGAGGTCACCGTCGTCGAGTTCCTCGGCCAGATCGGTGGTCCCGGTATGGACGCCGACATTGCCAAGCAGGCTCAGAAGATCCTGCAGAAGCAGGGCATCAAGTTCAAGACCGGCACCAAGGTCGTCAAGGGTGACGACAGCGGTGCCACCGTCTCCCTGAGCGTTGAGGCCGCCAAGGGCGGTAAGGAGGAGACCCTGGACGCCGATGTCGTCCTGGTCGCCATTGGCCGCAGACCCTACACCGAGGGTCTGGGCCTGGAGAAGGTCGGCATCGAAAAGGACGACCGTGGCCGCCTGGTCATCGACCAGGAGTACCGCACCAAGGTCCCCCACATCCGTGTCATCGGTGACTGCACCTTCGGCCCCATGCTTGCCCACAAGGCCGAGGAGGAGGCCGTTGCCGCCATCGAGTACATCAAGACCGGCCACGGCCACGTCAACTACGGCGTCATCCCCAGCGTCATGTACACCCACCCCGAGGTCGCCTGGGTTGGCCAGAACGAGCAGGAGGTCAAGGCCGCCGGCGTCAAGTACCGCGTCGGTACCTTCCCCTTCAGCGCCAACTCCCGCGCCAAGACCAACCTCGACACCGAGGGTCAGGTCAAGTTCATCGCCGATGCCGAGACCGACCGCATCCTCGGTGTCCACATCATCGGCCCCAACGCCGGTGAGATGATCGCCGAGGCCACCCTGGCCGTCGAGTACGGTGCCTCTTGCGAGGACATTGCCCGCACTTGCCATGCTCACCCTACCCTGGCTGAGGCTTTCAAGGAGGCTGCCATGGCCACCTACTCCAAGGCCATCCACTTCTAAGCTCCTCATCCCTTCTTACCTCGCCGATCCGCCCCCATCATGTACCTCCATCTCTAGTCTAGCCCCGCTAGCAAATCCCGTGTAGCATTGACACCATTATATTTCCTATGTCCTTGAGTGTAATCAACCTTTTTTTCATGAATCAAAGAGTATTTTGGAATTCTAGACCGGCTTGAAGCGAAGCAAACTCTGTGTCTGTGGAGAATCTCAAATATTGTACTGGAGTATGTTCCGTCATTCGAGTAGAGTATATTCTGTTCCAACATGATTACACCACCTGGATGCAGGTGGCATGCAAAGAAGGACAAAAGATCATAGATCCAGGGCAATCCCCGCACGGCAACCCGAGAGTTCGTACCCTGACTGGAGCCGAATCGATCCTTCCATCGTTCCTCTTCTGCCTTCGCATTGAAACGGAGGATGTGGGTCTATCAGCAACCCGGACATGATATAACTATCGAGGGCTTCTACATCCGACCCTTTGCTCCTCTGGATGATGTCATATAGTCACGCCCATCAGCAGATGTAGAGGATACTATGTGCACACACAGATCATGAAGGACTCGCAGCGGAAAGAAGAATTGAACACAATAGGTAGATTGAACCCACCACGGCGCCGTAAGAGGCACTCAGCATTCAATCAAAGGCTTGTGTAGCGACAGAGTGTGAGATCATTCAACAAAGTCCGATGTGGTGTAATGGCTAACATCGCTGTCTCTCACACAGCAGCTCGGGGTTCGATTCCCCGCATCGGAGTTGTCTTTTTTGTTTTTGTTCCTATCGCACGCATACAGTCCTACCGTTTTTGTATCTTTGCCTAGCAGGCTCTGTTTTTGTCTGTTTATATCTAGCCATTGCGTGAGTAGACTAGAGGGAAATTGACGTCCAGTGATGAAAAAAGACAAAGGCCAGGCTAGAGGGCTCTGGCTGCGTGATCTGGTCAACCACTCACTCACTGCTGGTTCGTTCGTCCACAACCTCCTTCCGCGGCACACTGGACCCGCCCGTAGAAGAAAGAACGGGGGCAAAAAGAAAACTCCGATGCGGGGAATCGAACCCCGAGCTGCTGTGTGAGAGACAGCGATGTTAGCCATTACACCACATCGGACCTTGTGTGATGGCAAGCTGTAATGTTAATCTCATGATGGCAATTGTGGTGTATGTAGTGGGAACATGCGGCCCTCACGCATCGGTGGTGCCTTATTGTCTCTCGAGGAGAGACTCATTCATCGCCATAAACTCGTAGATGCTTCCGGCTGCAATCAACCAGACATAGGGTGGCAATAGTCCAAGATGGGTTGCCATCGCAGGGTCCCAGGAGGGTTCTTTCTTGCGATTTCTTCTAGATGTTTATTCCATCTTTGAAAATAATTACCTTTCATTCGCATTCGCTCGCTGGGAGGGCAAGGGATGAGAAGAGGAGCCATTCTAGGCGACGAGGAAGCGTTGGATCTTGGATGTAGCGTGCTGATTGCTTCTCCTGATGGTGGTCGATGGGTATCTTCTTGGAGATAGGTTTCTTGACAGGTCGGTGATCCTATGTTAGTCTGTTGAGTGTCAAAGACAGGGAGCGAGACAAGAGAAAGATGGATGTGTAGCTGGAGTGATCATCAACGAAGTAACTGGCCTTGCGTAGAAGACAAAACTGAGAGGGCTTGCATGCAAGGCCATCCTCGAGTAATGAGAGTGTCAAGTGAGAGCACATGGCAAGTTGAGAAAATCAAATCCGGAGAACCAGCAAGAGGAGGCGTCTATACATTATATAGATGAAAGCGAAGTTGGCAAGAACGTTACAGGTAGGTCAGTCTGGAGGGTAGTAAGTATTTTTGTTTTGGAAGGAGCAGCAGTCCTCAGGGCCAAGACCCCGTGCCTTCCAATGCTGAGGTAGCATCACCTCAAGCAGACCAAGTGGCTACGCAATCAGTAGTATATATAAAGAGAGACACATATCATTCCAACAGAGGACCTCGCACTATTCTTGTAGACCTAACCATATACTCTCATCTCAACCAACCCATACCAAGAATAACCGAACAGAATATACCAAAGCACAAACAACAGCCAGCACAAATGACATGCACTCTGCCCCATTTTCTACCCACGAATAGCATCGATAAATAATACAAATCCACCAGCCAAGAGACATATCAAACTACCGCTGCATCCACGCACGTACATACAAGAAAAACCCCCGAAATCGACTGCAGCATGGTGATCCCCCCTTCGCCTGCTGATCTATCTCCCAACCCCGTACAATACCAATGAGTCCCTCGCCCGCTTCACTCATGATATGCACCAGAATCTAGGGCCACCCCGCGAGGAGACATCCACGTCCACTTCGAAATGAAACGTCCTATCCCCGTCTCCGCCAACACGGCGGCGGCCTCTCTCGAGAGACTCCAAGTATAGATCTGCGCGGGTGTGGGTGTGGGTGTTGGTATAAGTATGGGTGTGGGAATGGGTGTGGTGGCGATGGAATCGAGCACAAGGGTCAGCGTGGAGTCTGACGGTGCTGCAGAAGGTGTACTGCTCGCTGGATCGGGGTCCGTCGAGAGGGTAGTGGTGTTGGTGATGGTGGCGATAGCTCATGCCGTCGCTGCTGTATCTACGGTGGCGAGAGTCATGGTGGTTGTTGATGTAACAGTAGTGGTCGTCGTCGTCATGGCTATCGAGAACGTAGGTGGGAGGTTAGGTTCCGCGGTCTGGGACAATGCAAGAACTAAAGAATAAGACAAAAGCTTACAACCGAGAGGCAGGGGGTTGTACTATCGCACCAGAGGCGACAGGGACGAAACAAGGATCTGGACGGTGGCGCACACGAGGAACATCGCTGTGGGTTGTTGGATGATACTCATTTTTGATCCGGTAGGATACCTTGTTGGCGTGGTTGTTGAAGTGTTGCTCGGGGTGATGTTGGTGGCGGTGGAGACGCTGAGTTGAGTCCCGAGGCATGTTGGCTTGGTTTAGGGGCAGTCAATGGCAACAATTGCTCAAACGGTGTATATTGAAGATGGATTCAATAGATGGGTGGCCGTCTACATATCTATTTCCAAGAAGCAGAGGAACAGAGCTATTTCCTGCAGCGGCTGAAGACAACAACCTCACCGAGTCTGGCCATATTGTGCTACACAGAGTTTATGGCCATGTCATACAGCATGTCATGTAGTTTGCCTTCTTCCTGCAAGGCCTGCCCGGGGTCTAGGCACCAGAAAAGAGGAAAACGACCCCAAATCACCTACACTTCGGTATGAAGTGACTTCGGGAAGGTCGTAGTGGTATCTCAACGCTGAATTCATGCAATCTTGCAGTAATGGGAATCAAGAGTAGAGTCAAAGCCTCCCTGCAACCAGCCAGTAATGCTCAATGTGTTTCACGGGATCATCAAACAGTAACCTGATGCGAAGTGTAGTTTACTCCAACTTGAAGATATGCCCAGAGGACGTAGGTAGCTCTTTGCTGTAGGTCATTGACGGGGCAAAGGGTTGGACCCATTCTTTCAGCACAGCTAGGAAAGTATCACTGACGGCCCTCACAGTCTCATCCCGTGAAGTGCCAGAGCTCTCAATGTAGACTGAAAATGTCAGTCAGCAAATTAGAGTTCTCAGTGGTGGGCATGAAACTCACCCTTCACTTTCGGCTCGGTGCCAGAAGACCGGAACGTGAATCGCACTTCACGATCAAGCCATAGAGTCAACATCTGACTGTTCCGGTCAATCGGAAGCTTGGGCTTGTGGTCCTGCGTGCCGGAGTCATAGCCTTGTGTCATGTCGCGCCACCGGTGAATTTTGAACGATCCAAGCGATTTCTCAGTCCGGAAGGGACCGGCTCTGATTGCATCGAACAAGCTCGCTGTAACCTCAGGGCTGGGGGACCGGAAGTAAGTGTTCAGTGTTTCGTGATGTCCATGCTCTTTGAATAGCTGTTGCAATTTCATATAAGGTGTCATGCCCTCGGCCTTCCATTTCGCCTCGGCCAGGAGGAACACCATCGCGGCGGAGATGCCATCTTTGTCGTAAGACACCTCGGGAAACATGTACCCAAGAGCCTCCTCGTAGGCAAACGGGACATAGTAGCCCAGCTCCTCGAGTCTGCGAGCGGTGTTTCCCATCCACTTGAAGCCCGTGAGAGATTCCTCATAGTGCATACCCTTCGCTTTGGCCATTTTCTCCAGCATACTGGATGAAACGGCGGAATTCAAGACTGCAACTCGTGTGTCACTGTCGATGGTTTCTAAGGAGTCGAACAAGTGTGACGCCAGAAGAACACCCAAATGGTTCCCAGTGTAAATAAACCATGATCCGCTACACAGGGGGCATCAATTAGCGCAGAATTCGTAACTCGGCCATCAGTGATACCTACTCCACTTTCTCGGCCGCAGCAAATCGATCCGCATCTGGATCATGAGCAATAACCAGAGGTCTCCCCTCTTTATCCGCAAGTTGCAAAGCCAGGTCTAGAGCGCCAGGCTCCTCCGGGTTGGGGAAGGCGACCGTGGGAAAGTCTGGGTTTGGATCCGCTTGCTCTGGCACCACATTGAAATCACTTATGCCTACTGAGCGACACAGCGCAGGAAACACCAAGCCACCTACTCCGTGCAAGGGCGTGTAGACGAACGGCTGCGGCTGTTTCCACTCCCGGACGGTATAAGTCTGCCGACAATGTCAGCTGTGAAGAGCACGACAGCAGATAAGGTCACTCTTACAGCGTACTGCCAGACTGCCGTGTTGTAATGGGGCAGGATACTCTCGTATATCTTGTCGCGCAGATATTCGCTGGGTTGCAGCTCATCCCAGGCAGTAGGCCATGGGACTTGGTTCTCTTCGATGGATTGGGATATTTCCACATCCATCGGACTATTGATCTGGGCACCATTCTTGAAATAGCTGGGATTCGTCAGTGATACTCAAAAGTGGTTGGAATTGTGCATTCAGACACTTTGTAGCCTGCATGACAATCAATCAGCAATCCTTGTCTCAAACGAACAAAGCGATGAGGAAGGCCTACCATTGTCCTGCGCTGGATTCTACAGTTTGAACATTAGCCACCAGGATCCCAGCCGCCCAATAGACATCGAACAAAAAGCTTACATGGCTTGCGGTAACCATAATGCCTGCAGCAGCGTGCAGATGGGTCACACCGAAAGGGACGGTTGGAGTAACCGAGGACTCTGAATAGAACCAGACCGGGATCTGCTGTGCGATGAAGGCATTGGCAGCCAATGCGGCGAACTTATCGGAGTGATACCGCGCATCGTGGCCGATGACCACACCGTAAGATGCGATGTCGCCGTGGCGGGTTTTCAGGTACTTTGCTAGGCCTTGGGAGGCCTGAATGACGGTCAGGGAGTTCATACAAGAGAAACCTGCTGCCATCCGTCCCCGCAAACCCGCAGTCCCGAATTGAATGCCTGCGATAGACGATTAGACATAGCTATGATGAGGGAGGCATGCCGCATGTGCCACCAAGGCGAATGAATTTTTTTTTTGCTAAGAAGGATGTCAAGCCCCGTCGTGACATACGTTTTTGCAAGCGCAGAGCCAATTCAGCCCAGTCCCCGGAGTCCCGAAGCTGGTCAATTTCGGCACGGGTGGATGGATCCTGTCATGGGGCGTTAACATTCACGTTTCAAGATCCGCAGCAGAGCCTATCGATAAACATACCTGGTCCCACTCCAGCCACCGTTGGATCAGTGGAGTGAGGGCCTCCTACGCCAACAAGTCAAGTTAACAACAAACCAAATGGAGTCGGAAAATAAGCTGATATCGGGAAGCCGTGGATTGCCGGAGAAAAAAAAGATAAAAATAACTATACCTCTTGTGGATTGGTGGGCATGTTGGATCATACGACGGAGGGGGGACAACCACAAAGAATAGGTAATAATGGATGATCGGAATGTTGTTCACGTCGGGAAGAAGACCGATGGAGGGGGGGGAAGGGAAAGGAACAACTTGGAGAATAAGAAACAAGAAGTAAAGGGGAAAAAGGAAGAGCACGGAGTACGGAGTAGATGGGGTATTGAAAGGGGAAAGAAAAGCAAGCGAGGAGAGCCAGCAAATGACAATAATAATAATCAGCAACGAGAATCAAAAGAGAACAAAAGCTTTGACGAGTAGGTAGCTAGTTACAAGTCAAGTTAAGTCAAGTCATCAAGATTGTTGGTGTGGGGGGGGGATGGGGGGGGGGGGGGGGAATTCAAAAGGAGGAAAAGGCAAAGCAACATGAATTGAAGATGGACAGACTCAAGAGACACACAGAGTGGCTTTGGAGCGGGATGTCTGGATCCGGTGACGATCGGCGGCTCTCCCCGCCCTGGAACTGTTTTATTCTTAGCTGTTGTTAACAGTCTGTCTGTTGTTGTTGTTGTTGTTGACTGTTCCACTATGGATGGAGTGCTGCTTAGTTAGTGCTTAGTGCTTAGTTAGTCTCCCGCCATTCTTTCCACTGGACCTCTTTCAAGTTTCAACATCCAACCCGCGCGTCCTTGCATTCCCTCTTGCCTCCCTCCCTCCCTCCCTCTTCTACTTCTTCCTCTCCTCCTAACCCCCTACCTTATTATCTCTTCCATCTCACACTCACCCAATTCCTCTTCTCAATTGGCAGTATCAGCAGTACAATGCCCTTTCCCACTCACCGTTCCTGAATACCCACGATCCACGACCCGCAATTGTGTTCACCGCGCAGGCAGCAATGGCCGCAATGGGGAAGAGTCCCGCGACCCGGAAAGAAACCCTCCTCTCGCGCCGCTACATCGAGGGCCTTATCGCGGATGGAAAACAGATCATCATCTTCGACGATCGTGTCCTGAAAGTCGACGCTTGGATTCCATATCACCCCGGAGGTGATAAATCCATTAGACACATGGTCGGGAAGGATGCAACGGATGAGATCAATGCGTACGTGGCCTCGCGCTTGGGCCATACCTTGCCTTGGAAAATATAGCTGATCATCTGCATGAATATAGATTGCACTCCAAGGAAGCGCGTCAACGCATGCTATCGTTCCAGATCGGCCGCATCCAGGGTCCATGGTTAAACTTCCTACCTCCGTTCCAGGGCGGGAAGTTCCGTCCCTACACCGAAGATTGCCCATCCGACGACGAGAGTTCAGGCCAGGAGAGTTCCGGACAGGAAACGTCACAGCCTCCGTCCCCGATCTTCGACGCAGTAGATTCGACTACGTCTCTTCGCCAACGCAAGGCCCCCTCCGCCGAGATCCCGGGTTCAGCCGCACCGCTGGAGGACGAGTCTAAACCCAAACCGTTCTTTCTCGATGCGCGCACGCGGGAAGAGATCGTCTTTGACACTGCCAAATACCCTTCCCTCGATGCGGCAAACCAAGACAAAATTCGGCAACGGTACCGTCTCTTAGACCAGCAGATCCGGGCAGAGGGTCTGTACGATTGCCGCTACTTCTCATACTTCATCGAATGTTGTCGGTATACACTGTTCGCGGGCCTGTCCTACTACTTCCTTCAGCTCGGGTGGTATGGAACGTCTGGGTTCTTCTTGGGATGCTTCTGGCACCAGCTTGTCTTTACCGCCCATGATGCTGGCCACATGGGTATAACGCACAACTTTCACTTCGATTCAGTGATTGGTATTATTATCGCCGACTACCTGGGAGGATTGAGTCTCGGGTGGTGGAAACGGAGCCACAACGTTCATCATATCGTGACCAACGCCCCCGAGCATGATCCCGACATTGAGCATATGCCGTTCTTTGCCATTTCCCACCGGTTCCTCACCAGTCTCCGAAGTACATACTATGACCGCGTGATGACCTTTGACGCTGTAGCGAAGTTCATGCTGCGCTTCCAGAACTATCTCTACTACCCGATTCTACTCTTTGGGCGATTCAACCTGTACCGGCTGAGCTGGGAATATCTCTTCATGGGCCAAGCACCGAAGAAGGGTCCTGCCTGGTGGCATCGCTGGTTCGAGATCGGCGGGCAGGTTTTCTTCTGGTATTGGTTCGGCTACGGTGTGATGTACTGCACCATCCCCGACTGGAAGAGCCGGTTGACCTTCCTCATGATCTCTCACATGGTCACCTCGCCCCTCCACGTGCAGATCACCCTCTCGCACTTCGCCATGTCCACGTCCGACATGGGGGTCACCGAATCCTTCCCCCAGCGAATGCTGCGCACCACCATGGACGTAGACTGCCCGACCTGGCTCGACTGGTTTCACGGCGGCCTGCAATTCCAGGCCATCCATCACCTGTACCCGCGCATCCCCCGCCACAACCTGCGCCGCACGCAACGGCTGGTCCTGGATTTCTGTCGCGACACGGGCATCCCCTACACCATCTTCACCTTCTACGATGGCAACAAGGAGGTCATCGGCAAGCTCGGCGACGTGGCCAAGCAAGTCCGCATTCTGGAGGAGTGTAGAAAGTCGTGTGCTGAGCAGGGCGTCTTCTCAGATCATCACTAGAACCCAAACCCACTGGGAATAGACGGATGCTGAGATTCGGTGGTTACTAATCCCCCGTGTGGGTTTGTTCTTCGGCGGTATCGTATGTAAGCGTAGAACTGCCTTTGTATATACTTCAGTCCCCTTGACCCGGACACACAGACACACATTGTACACTTGGACGCAAGACTTACGTTGACGTTACGGAGCAGTGTTTTCGATGGTCACTTATGAAGAATCTGATATTTCTCATGACATGATATTGTTTAGGCTGGGCTCTTTTGATCGTCGATAGAATGTTGTCATTTGTGCTGGGAGCACACAATAAAATCTCCCATTGGAGTATATGTTAAGTATGTGTGGCTCATGCTACCAGCAGAAGCCCGGAAGCTCAGACGAATCTCCCTCTTAATCTAGAGTAGGGGATCACCTACAACCTTCCACCCCCCCTCGCAAAACTCCAATTCCATCTGCCCATCTAATCCTCTCATACCCACTAACCGACCATCCCCCCCGCCCTCGCCACCTTCTTCGCCCTCTGCTGCCTCCGATTATGATTCGCCCGACTCGCCTTATTCTCCTCTTTGCGCTGTCTCGCCGCCGCCGGATTCTGTCCTGGACTGTCTGTGACAGCACCACCAGCACCACCACGTCCCGCGCCCCTCCCTCTCCCACCTCTCCCTCTGCCCCTACCACCACTACCGCCAGCACCACCCCTCCCTCCCCTCGAGGACATCTCACCCCCACCCTCACTCCCATCCTCCGCCTCTCCATCCTCAGCACCGCGCCGATAAGCCGTGGAGACCAACACCGGCTGATTCAGCCCCCCTCCGCTGCCTCCGTCCTTCCCATCCACCACCAGATCCTCCAACCGCTTCAACCGCCTCGGATCCCGCGCCACCATCACCGCCCACCCCTCGATCGCCTCGTCGGTCATCCCGGTCTCGCGCTTCAGCGCGGCGCGGGGCTGCGCGCGCCGCGTCGCCGCGTCGCGGGCGAACAGAGCGGGGTTGGATTTGTAGGCGCGGTAGAGGGTGAGTTCGTTTTCCTCGGGACCAGGGCCAGACCGGTTGGCGGGTGCCGGGGGCGCGTCCTCGGCGGCGACGGTCGTGTCCACCGTGCCGCCGACGTCGGTCACGTCGTAGGTGTCGTCGCGCTCGTCGTCGTCGGAGTCGAAGGTGGCGAGGGCGGACATGATGGCCGCCTTTTGAGCGGCGTGGTTGGTGCGATCCGACAGGAGGGAGTCGGCGGTCAGGGTGGGGTTGGCGCGGCCGAAGCGGAGGGTTTGTTGGTGGATTGGGTCGGTGTCGGAGCGGGCGAGTTCGGCGAGGTCGATGTCGGTGTCGAAGATGTTCTTGCGCTGTGGTGGGGGTGCGGTTGCGGTTGTGTTGGGGAGGGTTGGGGAGCGTGGGGGGAAGGGGTCGTGGTGGGAGGTAGTCGACGGGGATGGGGTGGGGAGGGATTCGGATTTGTCGAGGGTTTGTAGTTCGGAGGCCAGGGAGTCGTCGAGGAGGTGCGCGACGATGGTTTCGGGGTCGTCGTTGTAATGGTCGAGGAGGCGCGCGATGTAGCCGGTGCCCAGGTCGGGGAAGAGGTCTTGGACTTGCGTGATGAGGGACATCTTGTGCATGTGGAGGTCCTCGGCCGCCTTGGGGAGCAGGTCGTCCTCGGTGGCCCGGCCTTTGCCTTTGTTGATGGCGGCACGCTTGCGCGGTTTCTGGTAGCGCCGGTGCAGGTGTTGCGTTTCGGCTTGGAATGCGCGCAGGCTGGCGAGGAGGTCCTGGCCGCGCTTTTGAGGGTGGACGTCTGTGCTGAGGTGGCGGTCGAGGCGGCCTAAGAAGTCGGTGCTGCAGATGACCTCGGACAGGAGGGAGGGCTCCTTCTTCGTGCTGGTGCCAACCCCCGCGCTGGCTTTCATCCCGTACAGCTGGTCCAGGAGCGACGACAGGTTGGGCTTGGAGCTCTTGAGAAAGGAGCACAGCCCGACGTAGACATTCGCCACGAGCACTTTGCGGACGTCCTCACGCTTGTGTGCTTGATATGCGTCTACTACAGTATCGAGGAAGTCGGAGCCGGCCATGAGCACCTGGCCGCAGCCAGGCAGGGCCGATGACAGGATCGTCAGAAGTCTGAGATCCACTAAAACCCCGGACGGCTTGCTGAAGTTCAAGGATGAGAGATCCCGGATGGCTTGGACCTTGGCCGTCTCCAGGCTGGACGTGATCGCGTCCTCATGCTTGTCCCATGCATCAGCCAGTAGCCTCTTCAATGCGGAGCTCGAGGGGTAACAGCAACACATGCCAGCAAGAACCCTCCAGTCCAGAAGCTCCGGCGGGGGGAGCGAGACCTCAAGGAGAAGCCTCCGCGTGAGAAGAAAGCATAATTTCCGCAATGAGCGTGTGTTGGGCGCCGTCTGAGACCGTAATAAGCCGGAGTTGATCGATTGGCGGTAGAAAGAAGTCAAGAATGCCACTGTAGACTCGTCGCTCGAGGCGTACTCTCTGAATTGCGAGGCGGGAGCTTCTACGCGCAAGCTCAGAAGCATGATCCAAGCATCTATATAGAGCTCCCATTCCGCGGGTGGGATGTTGCGCTGCACCTCCGGAGGTGGGACCGGCGCAAGAGGTGGTAAGCCCGGCATGACTGTAAGACTGTAATTCAGCGTAAGCAACGATGGAGGTCTGGTAATTCAGGATCGCAACAATGGCACGGAAGTCTATAATGAAGGACAGATATCATGGAATCATCAACATCATCACTGGTTGTTGTAACAAGACATCATCATCGGCTCCATCACCGCCCGCCGCCGGACCCTCGAGTCTATTCTTGGCTTAACCCGATCCAGACGCCGCCGCGGAGTACCTGCTGACTCAGCCACAGTCACACTCAATGCGGGTTAGCGGCTGATAGGCGAGCATGCCAAGGCCAGCACCCGCACAAGAGCCGCTAAGCGCACGATGAAAAAAAAATAGAGGATTGATTTCAATCGATTAGTCCGCGAATAGCTACAGACCCTCTTCAACAGCCATCATCACCTTACCGAACCCCCGAAGTTCAGGTCTTGATTGGTAGCCAGCCTCACCTTACGGTATGTTCTCCTTTTTCCCTTTCTTCTTCTCTGTGAACGACAGCTGATCTAACCTCTCCCCCCCCTTCCCTCCACAGCCATCTCAATCCCACGGTCTCACCCCACCGCTCAATTCATTCAAGATGTCTTTCCAGAAGCCCGAGAAGGATTTCGGCGAGGGCCCCGTACGTTCCTCCTCACCACTCGCACCCTGCTGTCTCGTCGCAAGACACGCATTGGGATAGAAGGACATTTGATGTGTCTTATACAAAAGGAAACGAAACATGCGACTAACCTCCTCTTGCTTTCGCTGGTTCTACAGAAGGTCCACAAGATCCGCATCACCCTTACCTCTCGCAAGGTCGCCTCCCTCGAGAAGGTCTGCACTGAGCTGATCGACCGTGCCCGCTCCAAGTCCCTCCAGGTCAAGGGTCCCGTCCGTCTCCCTACCAAGACCCTCAACATCTCCACCCGTAAGACCCCCAACGGTGAGGGTTCCAAGACCTGGGACAAGTACGAGATGCGCATCCACAAGCGTCTCATCGAGTAAGTCCTCCCGACCATTGCATGACACAAACGCACGTGTGAGCGGATGGAACTAACGTCGAACGCAAAAGCCTCCTCGCCCCCACCGAGACCGTCAAGCAGATCATCATCAACATCGAGGCTGGTGTTGAGGTTGAGGTCACCATTGCCGCTTAAATGCGTGTCGAAACTCTTCGTTGAGACTGGTGACCGAGGCGGCAGCGGCGCCGACGATGTGCTCGTCCGGCTGCTTGGGAGAGACTCCGCTCCCAGGCCTGTGCCACGCAATTGTCGATACCCGCTTAAACCTGGCATAAAAATGAAAAACTTCTAAAACATGCGTAATCACGAGTTCTTGACGGATTTGTAGCTTTGTCCAAATGCTATTAGGCTATAATTCAGACCCAGTGCCGATATCCTGTCCAATCCAACCGGGACGCCATTCGTCTCTGGGAATAATAAGTAAGCAGCTATTTACAATACAGAGGCTAGATATAGTAGTCCTTTCCGCCCGGTTCACCCTGTCCCACTAAAAGTCGAAGCTCACCCACTCGGTCTTTGGCGGTACGCTCGGAATGACCCCGTTCTCGAAACACCCATTCGTCACGAAGTACTCGTACTGTCGAGTGATCTCGGCCGTATATTCCTCGGGCCGTGCCTGAGCATCCCGTAGACTAGCTTCATCAGGCGGCCCATCTGGGAAAAAGATGCGGACAAAGGTTTCACGGTCCTGCGGATGAAGATAGCACGGTACGTCGTTGATGTACCTCACGGGTTGACCCTTCCAAGAGGTGAGCCTTCTGGTCATAGGATCACGAATTGTTTGTCCGTTGAGCGGTGGGATGGGGCTGAGCTCGCTTGGGTCTCTCGTTCTGATGACAGGGGTTGGCCCAGGTCCCAATGGCGCAGTAGGAGCAGCAGGGGCCGCTGGAGAAGCCGCTGACGTTGTCGGTATGCCAAAGCCGGTAGGTGCGGGCTTTGATGCTGCCCCGAACCCAGAAGTTGCCGGCGTTGATGCTGCCCCGAACCCGGAAGTTGCTGGTGTCGATGCCGTCCCAAACCCAGGAGCTGCTGGCGTTGATGCTGTCCCAAATCCGGGAGCCGAAGGAGCCCCGAATCCAGGCGCTGCTGGTGTACCGAACCCAGGTGCTGCGGGCGTTGATGCTGCTCCAAACCCAGGAGCTGCTGCCGGCCTTGCAGCGGATGCTTGCTGGCCCAGCTGCGCGAAACCAGACTGGCCGAACGCTGGCTCGGCTGGTCGTTGGTTTGTGACTCCAGAGGATGGAATTGGTTGACCAAATGGGTTTGATGGCTGAGCACTACCAAATGGCGATGCTGAGGGTTGACCAAATGTTGACCCACCAGATTTTGCATTTGCGAACTGTGCAAACGGTGAAGGCGTGGATGCAGACGCGCCAAAGCCGCCAGATGCCTTGCTAAACGGAGAGGCTGTGGCGCCTGCAGCTGATGGCTGGCCGAATCCAGATGCAGGTTGCCCAAACGATGGTTGACCAAAAGCCGATTGTGCGGATGGCTTGCCAAACGACGAGCCCTGGTTGAAGGCACTTGGTTGACCAAAGCTAGTTGCATGTGCAAGATTCGAAGGTTGACCGAACCCCATTGGTGGAGCGATAGACGGTTTGGCGTAGGCTTGATCGCCCAACAGTGCTGGCTCACCGAAGGCTGGACCTGTGGCAGGGGGAGCCTTGATCTCGCCAAATAGCTTAGGCGGAGCACCGAAAGTGGGACCGGTCTTGTTGTTCACAATGTCAATTCGATTCGGATGCTCCTTGGCACCGTCTAGAATATATCTGACAGCTCCATCCAGGTCCCTGAGAGCGTTTTCCATTTGGTTCCGTGCCTCGTTGTGGAGGCCCTGGGCTTCTGAAACTGCTACCTCAATGGGGCTACCTTGAGCGACTAGTACATAATGGCGGAGTCGTAGTTCTTCGAAGCTCTGTTCTCGCTGGGGGCCTCCAAATAATTGCCTAGGAGCATCTCGTCCAGGGCCATAGCATGAGAATATCCATTCAGGGAGCCCCTTGCCAGGAGTCAAGTCTGCTTTGATATCTGCTGCAGTGATCCCATATCTGGCCGCGTTTAGTGCCCATTCTGAGAATTCGACGAGATGGCATGATCTACTCACTGTGCATTTTGCTGGTTTTGTCCACCACGACCTATATAGCAATCAGCAATCGCGTAATCATGGGTAATCCGTTGACAGCATCATGTGAGCTCCGATAGACGAGGTGAGAAGTAACGAAACCAATGCAGGCGCGACAATCTCAATCAGACGAACAAAAAGGTTTACATTAGACACAAAAGAACCATGGGATCACCAAGAGAGCCAAGAACAAGATCACAAGCATTTTAGGGGAAAGGTGCATCTTGCGCATAGGCAAGGCGATTCACATACCTCCACCTCCGCCGCCGCCGCCTCCGCCGCCGCCGGACAGAGCTGCGAATTTGTTCCCGCCTACTGTTTGCTTGCCGGGGTGCTCATTGTAGCATCTGTCTGTAGGCTAAATTAGTCATGTGTCCGTAAGACATGATTCAGAGCCAAAGCAAGCCAAGCCAGAAGCAAGAGATCCAGCAAGCTCATACCTCCATATTTACACCGGCCTTTCAAGAAGTGCTGGCAAACGGGCATGTTGCGTTCGCGTCGGGCGTCCTCACTCGGCCAGCAGGAGCATACGAGAACGTCCTGTCGAGTCTTCGTTCGCGATAGCGGCCTCTCAGAGCCTGTCCGTTGATTCGCGATAGACCAATTCCAATCTGTATGTACCTCTCTATTGAAGAAGAAACAAAGTAAACTGAAAGTGATCCAAGATACAAGAATCCTCGCAGTTTTTCAGCGTCCAGTGACTTGCAAACGAACAATTGATATTCTTTGTTGCAAACGAAGAGTTGTTCCGGTGACAGTACGTTTCCCCGACCCGGACTCTGTTCGCCGCCTTCTGGCAACATTTGCCGTATCTGACTTGTACCGGCAATACATTCATAGTACTCCCTGCACTCACCCTCACCCATCATGCTTGTGCTCTGATGGGCTGTTACTTCCTTGTCTATTGCAAAGTACAATCATACTGTTACATGAAGAACGGTTCACCCTCTATGAGTGTCGAAGTTCATAGTAGTCATTACCACGCCTGTTGTCTATGCACAGTAAGTAGATCGTATAGAGGAACAACAGCAACCATGCCCTCTTATCGTTATGCCAATGCATCATAAAATTACATTAGTCCCCATGTGAACTCCTATTCTCCGAGCAAAATCCCATCAAGTTGGCTTCGAGACAATTTGTGGCCAGCACCGACGCTGTGCCTCAGGACCGTTGGTTAGTGCCGTTGGCCGACGAGACCAGTTTCGAACGGGCCAGGCTTTGGCGCAGAACGTCCCAGTTCAATCCATCGACCTTTTCTCCACCCAGCGACTCAAGATCGGTAGACAGGCCATTCAACTTCCCTGTCGCTAAGCGTCGCATCATGACCGTATCTTTGTGGCCATGAAGCCCCCGAGCATTGCCCCGGAGTAAAGACTCCTCGAACCATTCTTCCTCCTGTTCATCAAACGGGAGACCGATCAGTTCCATAGCCCTCGCGCTCCGCGCGGGGCCGGCCTCGCTTGTCAGGACAAATTCAATGAGCTTCTCCAGGTAGCTCTGGCGGAGCTCTTCATCATGCTTGCGTGTGAAGTAGAACGCTTCGGTGATGCTTGCGCGGCACATGGTCTGGAAGAAGGCTCGCTGGACCTTCTCGGAATCCAATGGCGGGGCCACAGTAAGGTAGTAGGCCATGACCAGGCTGTCGTCGTGTCTAGGGAGGTTGGGGAGGGTTAAAGCGTAGAGGATTTCGTCGGGAAATGTGGGGATAATGGAAGGCTCAGTCAGGTATTCGACAGCGCGCTGCTCATAGGCGATGGTCAGTCATCTGTAGTCGGCTATCACATCGGCGAAGATAAAGCGTACCTTGAACTCCAATCTGTCAAGGTTCCAGAGACCGTCTATGAACAGCCTATACTTCTCCGGTAGGTGACACCGGCGGGAGAACTGCGTAGCCGCATCGTTGCTGGCGCCGCGGCAGTCTTTGAGGATATAGTATATCAATGATTGCTTGTGATGGATGTCGAGTGGAGAGGATACAATATGTCCGATCAGTGTGCGCAGGTCAGTATTTGATCGAGGAGGGTAGAGCCGCGTGACTATAAAATTGTGCCTGGTCAATCCATTGTTCGAGTTTCCAACCTTGAAGAGCAGAGAGAGCTACCTGCTTTGACGCCGAGCAATCCCAAGAGTCTGTCTGCAAACAGCCGGTCCTCTAAGGCGCGGCGATTTGATATAATCTGTTCAATGAGCTTGCCATCGTAGCTGAAGTCCTTATTGAACTGAAAGATGGAGTCGAAGTCCTCCCAAGGCGCCATCTTGAGCAGTGCTGGCGAGTTGACACACTCCTCTTGGAATCTCCTCGAGCGCCGACGGTAATATTGAAGCCGACATTGACAGTACCGTACGGCTCGATCGGTACACAAAGGCGGTGGGGCATGTGACTGAAACAAGATGCAAATGTTGTGGCAGAAAAACAACACTATTCCGCTTCGGGCGGCGATGTAAACAACCCACTTTCCACCTGCGGCGCTTTCAAATGTCAACTTTGGCACCTGCACACGCTTGAGATTCCGCCTTGATGCAGCACCCACAGGCGACTAACCACAGTACAGCATAATGTCGTCAATTGCCAGAGGCCGGCCATCCCGGCGTGCTGCCCCGCGCAGAAGTTACGTCCCAGAAGAAACGCCATCAGACGAGGAAGATCCTGGAAATGTCACCCCCACGGCGCCGTCCCGCCACGGGGAGGATGACGACGAAGAGGAGGGCGAACGGACCCCGGTCCCCAAGAAACCCAGCGCAGTCAAGAGATCATCACGCAGACAAGTCACTGCCGAACCGCCTGCATCCACATCGAGTGTCGCCCGCACGACACGCAAACCCCGCAAGTCGAGGACGGTGGATCCGTCGGAGTCGTCGCAACTGATTGACGAAGGCGAAAGATTTGCCAGCGTTCAGGAGCCCGAAATTTCATCTACGACGGGCGCTTCTCGCGCAACGCGCAGATCACGCAAGTCGAGGACGGTCGACCCATCGGAGTCATCGCAGTTGATGGATGAGGGTGAAAGTTTTGCAAGCGTCAGAGAGCCAGAGGAGCCCACGACATCGAGCGCGCCTCGCACGACGCGCAGGACCCGAAAATCGAGGACAGTGGAGCCGTTGGAGTCGTCGCAGTTGATTGATGAGGGTGAAAGTCTGGCTAGCATCAGAGAAACAGAAGAACCAACTGCATCGAGCGCTCCTCGTACAACGCGCAGGGTCCGCAGGTCGAGGGCTGTAGACCCATCGGAGTCTTCGCAGTTGCTTGACGAAGGTGAAAGTTTTGCAAGCGTCAGAGAACCGGAGGACCCGTCAACAGCTGCCCCTCGGCGCAGAACACGCAAATCAAGGGCAGTAGAGCCGTTGGAGACATCGCAGTTGACGGAGCCTAACGAAGAGGGTGAGAGTGTTGCGACCGTGAAAGCACCGGGCTCTCCGTCTGAGGAAACTCCCGTTGCAGTGAAAACAAAGGGTATGATCCCATTTTGCGAGAGTCGCATCTCCACGCCCAATTTGGACCATAACTCATTTTCAGCTCCAGCGCCCTCCACATCCCCGCAGCCGCAGGCCCGAATTCAAAGAGAAAGCGTTCCTCCACTCGCCGATATTACAGATGCAGCTGTGAACAAGTCCCCGTCGAAGTCGCCATCGAAGTCCGTTGAAGACGAAAAGCCGCAGATACCCGTGATCAACCCGAATACAACATTGCTCGAGAAGCCCATGGACATCATGCTGAAATCCCGGTCAACCGCTCCGTCGGCCTCCCAGGAGCCGTCAGGCCCAACCAGTCGCTTGATGATCACTACCCTGGTCATGATGAACTTCAAGAGTTACGCAGGAAAGCAGATCGTGGGCCCCTTCCATGCATCCTTTTCCTCCGTTGTCGGGCCCAATGGATCCGGCAAGTCGAACGTCATTGATGCATTGTTGTTTGTTTTCGGATTCCGAGCGAGTAAAATGCGTCAGGGCAAGATCTCGGCTTTGATCCATAATTCGGCCAATCACCCAAACCTGCCCTCCTGTGAAGTTGAGGTTCACTTCCAGGAGGTCCTTGACCTGCCCAACGGCACCCATGAAGTAGTTCCAGATTCCCAACTTATTATCTCCCGAAAGGCTTTCAGAAACAACAGCAGCAAGTACTATATGAACGCCAAGGAAACCAGCTTTACCGCCGTGACGACGCTGCTCCGTGACCGCGGTATCGATCTAGACCACAAACGATTTTTGATCCTTCAGGGTGAAGTCGAGTCTATTGCTCAAATGAAGGCTAAGGCTGCCAACGAACACGAGGATGGACTCTTGGAGTATCTCGAGGACATCATTGGAACCTCGAAATACAAGACGCCTATCGACGAGGCGGCTACGGAACTCGAGACACTGAACGATGTCTGTGTCGAAAAGAACAACCGTGTCCAGCACGTTGAGAAAGAAAAGGTTGCCCTCGTGGATAAGAAGGACAAAGCTCTGGCTTATATTCGGGACGAGAACGAGCTCTCTGAGAAACAGTCCGCTCTCTATCAGATCTACATTGATGAGTGCGCGGACAACATTCGAGTCACCGAAGAAGCCATCCTCCAAATGCAGGAGCTGCTGAACATGGAGCTCGAAAAGCACGAGGGTAACGAGTCCGGGATCAAAGAGCTTGAGAAGGCCTACAAACGCGGAATGCGCGAATACGAAAACATGGAAAAAGAGGTGCAAGCGATTGCCAAAGAAATGGCCAAGTATGACAAGGAGAACGTCAAGTTCGAGGAGAAAAAGAAGTTCTTGCTTGGCAAGCAGAAGAAGCTAGAAAAGACCATGCAAAGCACACGCCTGGCTGCTTCTGAATGCGAGAGCCTGGTGCAGAAACATTCCGATGATATCGAGAAGAAGACCAATGAGACCTCTGAGCTTGAGAAAGAGATGAAGGCTGAAGAGCAGGAACTGGCCGAGATTCGTGAGAGCCTCAAGGGCAAAACCCAGGGGCTTTCAGATCAGATCACTGCAAAGCAAAAGTCGTTGGAGCCTTGGGATGAGAAGATCAACAAAAAGCTCTCGGCCGTCGCTGTGGCGCAGAGTGAGCTTGACATCCTTCGCGAGCGAAGCAATGCTGGTACTGTTCTGCTCGAGGAGGCGCAGTCGAAGATCTCTTCGATCGAGGAAACGCTGGCGACCAAGGAGAACGATCTCGAGGAACGTAAAGCTCAGAAGGCTACCCTTGAAGAAGAGGTTGCGAAGCTGAAACACGACCTCAAGAAATATGCTCAGAGAGAGCCAGAGGTACGCGCCCATGTCTCCAGTGCTCGACAGAGGGCCGAGGAGGCAAGAGCCAGTCTTGCAAGCACTCAGAATCGTGGTAGCGTTCTGTCTGGTTTGATGCGCCTCAAAGAGTCCGGCCGTATTGAGGGCTTCCACGGTCGGCTTGGAAACCTCGGTATGATTGATGAGAAGTTTGACGTTGCTATCTCGACCGCGTGTCCTGCCCTGGACAACATGGTGGTTGACACGGTTGAAGTTGGCCAGCAATGCATCGACTACCTGCGGAAGAACAATCTTGGTCGAGCCAACTTCATCCTACTCGATCGCCTCCCGCGCCGGGATATGTCCAAGGTCTCTACTCCAGAAAAGGTTCACCGACTCTTTGACCTGGTGAAGCCCAAGGACCCCAAATTCGCCCCAGCTTTCTACAGTGTGATGCAGAATACGCTGGTGGCGGAGGACTTGGAACAGGCCAACCGCATTGCATACGGTGCGAAGCGGTGGCGAGTTGTAACCCTGAATGGCCAGCTCATCGACACATCCGGAACGATGAGTGGTGGTGGTACCCGAGTCGCCCGGGGCGCCATGTCGTCCAAACAAGTCGCTGACACGAGCCGTGAGCAGGTGGCCAAGCTTGAGGGTGATCTGGAAGAGACGGAGAGGAAGTTCCAACACTTCCAGGAGAAGCAACGACAGATGGAAGCTGCGATCCGGGAGCGAATGGATGAGATCCCGCGGGTGGAGACCAAGATCCAGAAGATCCTGATCGAAATCGAAAGTGCCCATCGCAGTCTTGCGGATGCTCAGCGTCGCGTCCAGGAGCTGAGCGCCGAGCATAAGCCGTCCAAGACGGATGCCAGCCGAGCTGCAAGCCTTGAGAAGCAGATTGCCGCTTTAGAGGAAGAGATCGAAGATCTCCGCGAACAGAAAGGTGGTATCGAGGAGGAAATTCAAACTCTTCAGAACAAGATCATGGAGGTTGGTGGTGTACGGCTCCGTGGACAGAAGGCCAAGGTCGATGGCCTCAAGGAGCAGATCAACCTATTATCTGAGGAGATCTCGAACGCTGAAGTCGGCAAGTCGAAGAATGAGAAGCTCATCACGAAGCATTCGAAAGCCCACGCCGAGGCGGAGAGGGAGCTGGGACATGTTGCCGAGGAGCTTGAGAAGCTGAACGAGGATGTGGCCAACCAGGCTAGTGATGCATCTGGATGGAGGCAAAAGGTGGAGGAAGGTCAGGATGTAAGTTATGGTGCAATATCAGCTTCAAAACAGTTGACTAACTTGTGACAGGCACTGGAAAACAAGAAGGAAGGCCTCCAGGCCATGAAGACTGAGCTTGATGAGAAGGTCGCTGAACTGAACGAGTCTCGAGCCACGGAGATTGAGATGCGCAACAAGCTTGAAGAGAACCAGAAGGCTCTCGCGGAGAATGAAAAGCGCGGGCGTTACTGGCAGGACAAACTGTCCAAGCTGACGCTGCAGAACATCAGCGATCTGGGCGAGGAGCAACAGGCCACTGAACTTCAGGTTTTCACCAAGGATGAGTTGTCCGAGATGAATAAGGAGTCGTTGAAAGCCACCATTGCTGTTCTCGAGGAGAAGACTCAGAATGCATCCGTTGACCTGACCGTCATTGAAGAATACCGCCGCAGAGCGGCTGAACACGAGGCTCGCGCGGCCGACTTAGCCACTGCTGTTGCATCGCGAGATAGTGCTAAGGCTCGTCTCGACGGTCTCCGGTCGGCCCGTCTGAATGGTTTCATGGAAGGCTTTGGTATAATCTCCCTTCGCTTGAAGGAGATGTACCAGATGATCACCATGGGAGGTAACGCTGAGTTGGAGTTGGTCGACTCGCTCGATCCCTTCTCCGAAGGTATTCTGTTCTCCGTGATGCCACCGAAGAAGAGTTGGAAAAACATTGCCAACCTGTCTGGTGGAGAGAAGACACTGTCCAGTCTGGCGCTGGTGTTTGCTCTGCATCACTACAAGCCCACGCCTCTCTATGTCATGGACGAGATTGACGCGGCTCTGGATTTCCGAAACGTGAGTACCTTCTGTTCGAATTCCTCCCGGTGGATAGCCAGCTAACAGGACATTAGGTTTCTATCGTGGCCTCTTACATCAAGGAGAGAACCAAGAACGCCCAGTTCATCGTCATCTCGCTGAGAAACAACATGGTAAGTTTATCTGCTGCTAGCTGTGCGGGCCGTACTAATGACTGGTGTTCTAGTTTGAACTCGCCTCGCGACTCGTCGGCATCTACAAGGTCAACCACATGACCAAGAGCGTGACGATCGAGAACAAGGACTACATCAACAGGCGGTGATTGTGTGGGGCAGATGCGTGCTCATAGTTTTTGTATGTATTCGGGACGGGTTGGATAGGTTCGGCAACGGTGTGCGGGTTTGGGAATCTCTTGCTCTTTTTCCTGCTCTTACTCCACGACTGGAAAGGATGATGACAATGATGACTTTTTTTTTCTTGTGACTGGGCACTGGATTCGTGCAATTCTTACTATGATATGCGGGAATTCCTGCTTTGATGTTCTGGCACCTTCCTCGTTTCTGGTTGCTTTTTCGATGTTGATGACTTTTGATGTGGATTTTTCTTCAGAACAGGGTATATATTTTGATTACAGGTTTATATTATCCTACCAGTAGGACTGCTCAGTCGACGTGAGACTGCGCAGTGATCAGTGCTTTGGCACTGTTGCATTTGCAGTGCATGCCCCTACCATGGTTTCTAAAATATATCTTGCTACCTATAGTATACTTATCGGGTAAACCGGTGCTGCAGTCAGTACTTGTTGAGCCCACAACTAACACCTTATCCCAACAAACAACCAAAACGAATCATCCAGCCAGCACAACCCGACACATTATATGTAATCTCTCATGACCAAGGCAGACCACCCAAGTGAACCTGGTCATTACCGATGCCCGCCCCTCCCTCTTCCGAATCGAGAATCCCTATACAATCAATTCAATTCAATTCAGTTCATGTTCTATAACCTAGATCCCTATACGTAGCCTATGTACAGTACAGTACCTTGAGC